CTCGAGCGAACCTGAAAACAGGTGGAAGTTCTATAAATCTGCCAACATGTGCAAGTAGAAACAAGTACCCTGCCAATTCATAGTCACCATATGTTGTCAGATGTTACAGTGCTTTGGAGGGAGAGAGGAATACAAAGCAAGTGCTCCATGCGAGGTGGAGAGCCGTGTATACTGAGCCCGTGGAGCGCCAGAAGAGCTGAGAGGGTCAGCTGTTTGCTTGGGCCTGTGGAGGAGGAGGAACCAAAGTGATGTGTTGGAGGAGATGCTTCCTGAGGCTGTGACATCCTCGTCTATCAGAAAGCACAGGATGCGTTTGTGTGCATAATACTCAGAGGAAGGTGCAGTTGGAGGATCTTGAAGAAGCCACCCAGGCTGCCCCATAGTTTGTTCCTCTTCGATGCTTGTGTCTCTTATTGTTTCTTAGTTTTTTATATATAACTTTGTATATATGTATATATAAACCTGGATTCTCAGGTTTGAAAGAGGAGTGTTATTTCTTAACTATGTATATTGATTGATTGATCCATCCAGAAGGTAAAGTTCAAGATTCTTATTGACAGCCTATGGAGAACATGGACAATTACCTGCTATCTGTGACCTAAATCGACTGTAGATAAGTTAAAGTGTTGTCATGGTGCCTCTGTTACGGTCTTGCTCTGTGTTCTGATTTCCCAGACCAAAAGCACTAAAATCGTGGATGTCAGGGTTCAGGCCACAGTGATGTTTCTCTAAAAATTCTAGAATGCTCTTGTGTATCTACAGTTCCTTTCCATCCTTCTTTCACTGTTTCTATTTCAAAGCAGGACCTTTGCCATCCCTTAGTAGAAACTAACTCCTGCTGTAACCAGGATCACCTACTATAACTTAATGGCATAACTTAGTCTCAGTGCTTTTAATTCAATTAAGTAAGCTTACATTTAAAGCCTGCTATATACTAGCCACTGCCATTCAGGCAAGATGATGAGACACATATCCTTTTTTGAAGGAATTAGAATCAAACTGAGCAAAGAAACAAGCACATAAACTAACAATAATAGAACTACAAACTATGACTACAAGTATAATTGTTGTGGATGCATAGAGCAGGACAAGTCGATTCCTATTAGGAGAAATCATAGGAGGTTTCCCAGAGATGGTGGCATGGGAGCTCTAGGCCTTGATGATGGCAAGAATGTCCAATGACAACAGCAGAAAGGAATAGGAAGAAGCAGCCTGATGAAGAGTGTCAGAAATTGGTTTTAAGAGCATCAGTGGACATCAGCTATAAGGCATATCTGGACAGAAAGAAGGAGTGAATGCTTATGGCAAAGACCAGTTGTCATAAATTAGCACAAGGTTGTGACGATAGGCCATGGGAGAAATATAATTGTGTGTTCCTGAACCACTGGTGACCTGGGTGACTGCTGCAGTAATTTGGGATGGTTGAGTGTTCCTAAGAGGAATACAGTGATATGTATATATTATTGGATGCAGTTGGGGGTGGGGCTGGAGTTGTCCTGTGAGATGTGAAGCCCTGCCGGCCCTTGGTTTGCACTGCCAAGGAGTGGACACAGCTTACCTGGTACCTACACCCCTAATCCTTGATTTGGCAACCCCAGAAAAGTCACAACCTCCTGGAAAGAACCCTGGTAAACAATGAGTAGCAAGACCAAAGGAACTGAGATTTTATGGTGAACCCTAGAGAGTCCAGTGTAGCTTGAATTCAGTGTCTGGGAGAAAGAAGAGGAGCCCAGCTTGTTAAAGGCCTGGAGGATGCTTTGCTTGGACTTGGGGTGATGACCCAGGCGGTAGGCGAATAGGAAATAGGAAGAGGAAGGTGACATGCTGAGCCTGAGTTTCCTGAAGGTGACTCTAGCAAAGGTCACAGTCCAGGGGCGAGAGAAACTAGAGACTGCCCTTTACATTGTAATTGTCCAGGAAGAGAAGTTGAGGACCTGTTCTGTGGACAGTGACGTTGGCCATGAAATAGAAAGTAGAGCAAGACAGCCAGGTACCAAAGCAGAAGCGTGTGCTCCAAGGGTCTCGACTGGGAACTGACCATCACTTGAGGACCTGTCTTCAGCCATCCTCTAAGAAATAGAAGAGTTTTTGAGATCTTAAGCATTTATCATAAGATCTTCTGAAAAATGTTCTTTCTTTGTCCACATACTTAGACTTCCTGCCCACTCCCAATTCTATTAGATTTCATAAGGAATTGAACATTCAGAGACAGTGAGCCACCTACCAAATGCACCTATGTCCACTATCCATAGAACTGGGCCTCGGGTCCAAGATAAACAAAAGATGTTCCAAATACGTAGAAGAGAAAGTTTTATCTTTCTGGTTCTAAATAAGTGATAAATGGAAATGCACTACTCCGTTAGTTGTGTCGCCTGTACTTCTCAGGCAAACAGATGTTTCTAGGGAAAGGTGTAAGGTAGTCATTTTTAAGGGCTTTTAATGACTCATAAAATTTAATTTAAATTTAATTTTTATTCCAGTTATTTTGAGTGCTAGACTAGGACCACTGTAAAGACACTAGCAGTTATGTGGGAATCTTTAAAACAGAATGAAGTTTACAAATATCCAATAGTGCATAAATAACAAAATAGAGTTTTTGCTCTCCTTGTACCCAATTTCTGACCCTTTCTTCCCAGCCCAACCTCACAACCTGGCACTCTCTCACCAATCCTTCAGGATTTCTCTTTCCTCTTATTTACTTATCTACCCTTTTTGGACCGTCCCAACATGCAGCATTCTTCTTCGTAACTACACTGTCCAGCACAAATCCCAAACACCCACAGACAGAAAGGTTTTCCGTAACAGCTTGCTCTCACCAAACTGACACATCACATCATTATGCTGGATGGAGAGTGGGTTCCTGGAGGGCAGGTGCTATGAGATCACTTTTCCGTGTGTTATCAATATTGAGAAACAATCCTGGATTATGGGAGATCCACAATAAAAAGTTAAGTAAATTGAATAATAGTTGGATATTACATAGTACCTTAGATTGTAGTGCCAAAAAGGCTGTGAAACTTCAAGTACAAACTTTCCATCTTACATAGGAATTTTTTCTATGGTATCCAGCTTCTTAAAAAAAGGAGAGAGGGAAGTCTTAGGTCTGACAATATTTGCGTATCCCTGTTAGGAAAAAATTCCCTGCCATTACAACAATCCGCCGTTCTGTAGCTTCTGCCCTTGTTTGTTAGTCCAGACACTGGTTAGCACAAAACGCGGGACCGAGTCCTCAGTGTTCTGGTGGAGATGTGCGAAATCAGTGGGGAATAAGCTGTGATCTCAAGGATAAGGTGTGGAGTGTCGATGCCACACAGTCTGTTAGGAGGCACACAGTTCAGTTTACAGACAGCTGCAGAAGTTACCACTAACCTTCTGATGAGGCAAAACAGGTATTTTTAAGCTGACGATTGATGAGTTTATTTCTAGCCAATGTGCCAGGCATCGGTGAGAAAAAGGAGGACTTGGGAGCGGAAACCTTCTGCTCAGATCCATCCAAAGACACCCGGCTCGTCTGATTCTAAATCTAAAAGCTTTCCGTCCATGTTCTTTATACAAGAAATTTGCATTTCAGTCTAGGACTGCAAAATAAAACAATGTTCAGAATGTCCCACCCTTCTAAGGGGGATGTAACTCTTTTGTTATCAGGAAGTTTTTCTCTCTAACGCTAACTACAAAAAAATCTGCCTGGACCCAGAAGGAAAGACCCATATGTAGTAAGAGCAAGTTCTAGTGTAATGTTTTTTTCCTGATAAAATTGAAGAAAGTCTCATTTCTATTTCACTTACTTTAACATCTGTGCTCAGCAGTTCACCAGTAGTCTACTTGCCTTCTGATGGGAAACAGTGCTAGGCCTGAGAGGTTTACGAGGGAGGCCGTGTCTTCTTGGAAAGCCTCATAACTGAATGAAGCCCGTAACTGCAAATTAAAGGAAGTTCACACAAAGATGGGAACAATAGAAAGATATGCGATGCCTTAACATGTAAAAGTTGTATTCACTTAGTAGATTCCTTTCTTAGAAAAAATCCATATAAAAGTGAATTTCAGTGAATCGTATTTTACGCAATTTCCCATTATATAATCAGATACAGAAATCAACATAAAAAAACCATTTCAGAATTTAACAAGTCTCATAAATTATATTTCAAAGTAAATAATCAATTGTAAGGCTCTGAAAAAATTAAATTGTCTATAAATAAAATTGGACAGCAATATATCTTACAGAAACTCTAGTTTACAATATCTGGCTTTTATGGCTGAATTGTAGAACTGTGTCCAGTTTCAATATTTGCCCAATAATATCAACACTAACTGAATATCTAATGTTAAATCCTGCCGGAAACAAAACATGTACTTATTTGGCTGGACTTAGTAACACATTACTACATAACTCACATTTTGATAATGAAGGGTTTTAATAGGACTGATTGACAATTAAAACATAATTTTCTGTCTTTCTTTCTTTTATTTTTTTGTTTTTGCTGAAGAAGATTCACCCTGAGTTAACATCTGTGCCAATCTTCCTCTATTTTTTAGTATGTGGGCCACCAGCACAGCATGGCCATTAACAGTGGTGTAGGTCTGCACCCTGGAACCAAACCCTGGCTGCAGAAGTGGAGCACACTGAACTTAACCACTAGGCCACCGGGGCCGGCCCAAAACATAATTTTCTAAAAGGTGTGCAAAGATTTAGTATTAGCTAGATTTTTGAGCCAATGTAAAAGATCATCTGGCTAGTGTTGACATCAGTTTTATACACACACACACACACACACACATATATATAATTTAAGGATATATATATTATATATGTATTATATATATACATACATATATTATTTAGAGATGCAGCTATATATACGGAAAAGTAATGAAATACCTAGGATAGGATGAATTAACCAGGACTAGCTCATGAATGCAATAAAAACAAGATGTTTTTATTTTGTGTTAGAGACACAGATCTTTGTTGCATCTTTTTAATATTTTTCTTTGTTTTTAAACAGGTTGTTTGGTATCAAATCAGTCATTCAAACAGACTGTTCCAGCACGTGGAAGATCATAGCGAACCCAGACCTGTCCTGGTATCACCACGCCAACCCCATCCTCCTGCTGGTGATGTACTACACGCTGGCCACTCTCATCCGCATCTGGCTACAGGAGCCGCTTGTAAGGATAAAGATTTTCACAATCTTGTCTGCAAAGTAACCTGGAAACTCCAGGTGAAATCGTTCACTCTTATTAACTGCTGACTAACTAGTACTATAGTCCAAAACAACTGTAGTATCCTGGTTATGGTGTTCTGATTCTGCAGAGACTGAGTGAATACAAATAGTATCAGAACAAAGACTAGCTTCCCTTGGGAAGACCCCACGTGCCACAAAGAATGGTAGGTGGGCAGGAGAACGGAGACTCACTTTGCTGATCACTTCGTAGGTGGCGGGCCATATGCTAGGCTGCTGACGCACCCTGTCTCATTCAGTCCCCTGCATAACTCTGAAGAGGAGGTGTAGTACCCATCTCAGAGACGAGGACATTGAGGTTACAGAAGTAAACTGGTCTGAAGTCACACCCTTCTGGAACGGTAGAAATCAGATCAAACCCGTGTTTGACAACAAAGCCAGGGCCTCAGGAACTACACACCCTCTTATCCTGGTGACTGGAGTTTGCCAAAGCTTCTCAGACCTCTGACTTCTGATGATGCGATAGGGCCCTCCCAGCTCTCAGGGGTGCCTATAGCCCCCTGAATATCCCACTGCGAGGCAGGGGGTGAGGACATCTCCTCAGGCACATGCGAGGACTGGTTTCTTTCCCTTGGGAATATTAAGAAGGACATGGCACTTTTGAGCTCAGGACCAGAGAGGGTGTGTGACTTCTCTCTTTTCCCTTTCAGTGATAGAAAACCTCAGTCCACGTTGTTTCCTCCTCTAAAGGACTGTAAGAAGCTCCGTTGTAAGGTAGCTTATTGGCATGTGAGGGAGGCAAGTAATGTACACAAAGGTTGTTATACCATCCGTCATCCGCCAGTGGAGGAGCCCAAGCTAGAAGCCAACTCTAATGAGCACGCTGGGTTGAGGTCTCTGGGATCCCATCATGCCTTCTCCTGCGTCACTTCTAGCCTGGGCCCTGGTGCAATTGTATACTTTTCCTTTTCTGTCTTCACACCCACAAACTATATCCACACATTCAGTCAGTCGGTCAGTCAGCAAACGTTTGTTGAAGGCCAAACGTCTCAGACACTAACCTAGGGGCTGGGGATAGAGCATTGACACAATAGGCAAGGCCCCCACTCAGAGGAGCTGTACATTCTTCAGAGAAAAAGCATCCGAAAGATGTAAGCAGGATCTGAATCCAAGTCAGATAGTACGGTGAAACTGGGTAAGATGCATGTCTCTGCCCGTCCCTGGTGGAAGTGCCACTTGCAGAAGGGGCTCTGTCTGTCCCCCTCCTGTGCGAACCCTCCTGCCCATTGCGCGGACAGGCCCGGTGATGAGGGCCACAGAGGCCATCCTCATCACAGGGTTCTCCTATATCGCCTGTCTTTTGGGCCCACTGATGGCAGTTGCATAAAACAAAAATGCCCTATGGGGTCACACAGAATCCAAATCATCTTGTGTTACATTTTCTCCAATTCTCTTCCAAACTTTGAATGTGTCAGTAAAATCCTTTAAAATTTTTATTGTGTTCTCTTCCTCCACAAACACACATAGAGATATGTATATACAGACAAATAAAAATGTGTGCAAAGGAAGTTAAAATGTATGATGAGAACTATTTCTGAACAATGTCTTCCCAGCGATGGAAATTGCTTTGAGGCGCCCTGGGCAGTAAGTGTTCCACGTGCCCTGAGCTTTCTCTGTGATGTCTCGGGCGGTGTGCGGACCGGGAGGAGCTTGTGTCCGCATGCGCTCATGCTGTCATGAGGGGCGAAGGCTGTGATAGCCCGCAGGCTCAGGAGGCACACAGCTGCCTTGGCCAAGGGCCGTCTGGGGACAAAGGGAGGTGGAGCGCTGGGAAGACATCGAAGTTGGAGGCAGCACAGTCAGTAGCAGGGCTACAGATCACTGCGTCCGAGGTGGGTGCGGAGAACAGGCCCAAGTCATCCACGAGTCAGGTGGTCTGCATTTTAAATGGCTGGAACGCAGGACTTTCTCACTGAGGCAATGATGGAAGACAGCTGGCTGATTATATCATAGTTCCAGATGCCCAGGCATATTTCATGAAAAGTGTCTGCCAGCAAATATCAGTTCTGAGGTAAAAAATACAAGTTTGAGAAACAGAGAGGGAGAGCAGCAGGCATCAAGAGTTAAGTGTAATATGTGGGCTCCCACCTGGCGAGTATGAATTCCCACCCGGGGCGTCAGGGTGCTCCCCATGGGTGCTCTACGCTGGCCCACCAGAACCCAGGAGCTGGGCAGTACGCTAAGTCCCCTCCCTCGCTCCAATATCGCTGGTGCATTAATGCCCTTTTACTGGGCTGTCATTGCTGGGAAACCATAGGAGGTCCACCCAGGTGCCTTCTGCTCCTTATCCTGTCTCCCAAGACCAGTCGTCTGATTGAGGCCAGTGTCTCATTAGGCAAGGCAACAGTTTTGTGCATTAGATATTTTCCTGCTTAATAGTGTGTGTAAGCTCTGGAGGATTCTGCCTCTAATGAATTTCTTCTTAATTAAAGATTGCCCGTGGCTGGCTTACACAGTAACTGTGCACTTTCGGAAAGCTCTTCCTCTAAGAACCATTTGCACAACTTCTTTCCAGGGCAGTGGAGAACACATGTTGAGAAGCAGCGGATATTTACCATTAGAGCATATTCCTGTAATTTACGGGGCTTAGTAGGAGTCAGGAAACATTTAATATTGATGTGCTGAGCATTTACAGGCAGCATTTTTGTCATCTTTTTAAAGTGTCTTGATAAAAGCCCATATATTTTATACATTAACTTTAAAAACTAATCATATTGAGGCAAAGATGAAAGCTTTCTCCAGGGGTCACTCAGGCCACTGAGGGAACTGCTCTGGGAAGTAAAGCTGGTCCTGTGGTTATTCTGTGTCTCAGGTGCAGGATGAGAGGACCAAGGAAGAGGACAGAGCCCTGGCTTGTAGCCCCATCCAAATAACGGCCGAGAGGAGGCGGAGCCTGTGGTACGCGACCCATTACCCAACTGACGAGAGAAAAGTAAGCCACGAAGAAAGGAATTTTCATCTCCTAATTTATTTTGCTATTTTTATATTATATTGCTGAATATGAGTCATGTAGTATCATGTGCAAAGTCAGATTGTGCATAGTTTATAGAAATGGTTTGGTTTTGAACTCTTAGTACCAGAGTGCTCTCTTCAGAGAGGGGAGCCCAGTGCTTCTGAAGGAAATACTGTGGTTCCATTCTACCCTACCATTTTACATTCCAGTGCTTTCTGCTGAAATCTTAATCCGAAAAAGAAAGAGTGTTCTCAATTTTTAAAAGTAATTTTGTATTTAAAACAAACAAGAAATACCAAAGCGATCTGTTAGCCCTGGGTGGTGAAGTCTCAGTGTTGAAATACATTGCAGACAATCATTTCACTCTTTTATTAACTCAAGGAACCACTTAGAGAGGTCAGAACTGTCCATATGAATATGATTAAGTGTCTCTTACTACTTTGAACAACAATACGAATTGACAAGGAGATGTAAGTGAGTTACAATTGGGCAATTCATATAACCTTCTGATCTTTTACTGATCATTTTGAATTCAACTCAGTCAGGCTATATTAACTTATTTAAAGGGCTTATTTGCAATATTGTAAAGACAAATACTCTTATGATTCTTGGATGGGGTCAGCATCTTGCTCTTCAGCATGTTAGAGAACTGAGGGGTAGACTATCTGATTTATTTGGTGGCAGGTGAGTTTCTCTGGGACACATAGTCTTATCCTAGGCATGACTGTCCTGTATGGAGAGAGGGTGACACAGTAAATGAGCTGGCTTAGGGATGACAGCATGTGGAGCTCATGTGGTGCCCTAAGAGGGCCGAGGATTCCCTGGGGCCCTTTCTCTCTCTCATTACACCATGTTTCAGATTATGCTGCCCATTTCACTGCATGGTCGATATCAACAGAGGGTAGCACAGCAATTTTCAAAGTGAGGCCTTAGAACTCTCAGGATTTCTGAGGCCCTTACATGGAGCCACAAGCTCAATCTATTTTTGTATTAATATTTAAAATATTTACCTTTTTCTCTGTGCTAAAGTTTGCTGCTATGGCACGAAAGCACAAACCCCCATGGGTGTGGCCGTGCCCTTGATGGCTATGCACTCACAGAAGGCAAAGCAGACAGGATGGTTCCACTGAAGAATATCCTTGATAAACCAGAAATGGCTATTAATTTTCTTAAATCTCAACCTTGGAGCACAAGTCTTTAATATTCTGTGTGACAAAATGGGAAGTCTGCATCAAGTGTCACCTACTGAAGAATGACGATCATCGTGATGGACAGCACTTGAGTGATGGTTCTAAGTGTGAGCTGAACTAGCTGTTTCCACTACACACCAGATTTATTTGAAAGGACAGCTGATGGACAAATTATAATTATTCCAGTGTGGGTATTTGGCAGACAATTACTGGAAAATAAATGAAGTGAGGTCGTCGCTTCAGGACATAGGCATTTGTTGCCACTGATAAAATTTGAACTTTTTTTTCCTTCCCCAAAGCCCCAGTGCATAATTGTACATCCTAGTCGTAAGTCCTTCTAGTTCTTCTATGTGGGACGCCAGCACAGCATGGCTTGATGAGCGGTACTAGGTCTGCACCCAGGATCTGAACAGGCAAACCCCAGGTCACTGAAGCAGAGTGCACGAACTTAACCACTATGCCACCTGGCCAGCCCCGAAATTTGAACTTTTGTGTGAAAATTAGAATACTGGAAAACTTGCATCCACCACTGAGAGCTTGAAAACGTCCCAATACTTAAAGACTTTTCTGATGAGATCAGTGGTGATATTAAGAAATATACTTTTTAAATATTATACAATGAAATGTGGCAATATTTGGCAGAGCTGTATAACTCACTGAAGCAAATCACCAACACATGATACTACCATGCGTGGGTGAAGCTTCCAGTCAAGGTACAGGATGCATCAGTGGGTTTTACTGTAAGTGTGAAAAGTTCAGTGAGACGGTTTCAGTGTCCACATTGCGACTAACCTTTGAGTTACCACACTTGCTGAGTGTGGTGTAGTATCAAAGAAGACTATCCACGATTATCTGGATCGACTCAAGAAATACTCCTTCCTTCTCCACCTGCGTAGCTCGGTGAAGCCAGATTTTCTTCACGTGCCTCAACCAAAACAACATATCGCAACAGACTGAATGCAGAAACAGATATGAGAACCAGCTGTCTTCTTTTAAGCCAGATGTTTAAAAGATGTGCAAAAGTGTAAAACAACACCACTTTTTTCAGTTTGTTTTTTTAAATATAGCTATTTGGATAAAATTATTTGTGTTAACATGTAATGCTTTTTAATTTTTAGTAAATTAATAAAAAAAATTTAAATGCTTCAATTTTAAATTCTAGTATGGTAAATATTGATAGACAGAACCCACATAAATAAATCTCTTTGGGACACTCAGTGATTTTTAAGAATGTAAATGAGTCCCGATCCAAAAAAGTTGGAGAACAGTTGGCACAGCAAATGTTTACTGATTGAGGGGAGTCCAAACCACCTGGCACCAATGTAGTTAAAAAGCAGAGTCACAGCATAATTATTTTCTTGTACAACATGCAAATCTTAAAATAATCTCAAACCACACTACAAATCAATTTTTCTTTATTATGAAACCTCTATTTCCTGAAAAGTAAATACTTTCATATTTCTGCAGATGTCTTGAAGGGTTCTAGGAGTGTAAAACTAAGCAGCTTATTCTATGAGAACAAAACATGTGGAAACATAATCACCTTTTGTGTCATGTAGTACATGGCTGCTAAGATTTGCTGTTCTAATGAAAAGTTAACATGAGAAGCTGGAAAACAATTATAATAAACAGCAACGTCCAGTTCAATTATTTGTCATTTTACATTTTGCATGGCAGTTTTAACATACTAGCATCCATCTAGTTTAGGAGAATGCGTATGTGTATAGTGAAAATTTATAGATACATGTAAAGGTTCCAGTGCTTTCTGCTTGCATATTAACACTGTCCTGCTTTGCTTTTTGCAGCTTCTATCCATGACTCAAGATGACTACAAACCATCTGATGTTAGTATATCCTTAGAATTTTATCATTTATGCTCGTGTAAGTGATGTAAAAGTGACAGAATGGAATTAGCTCCTTTGAGTGTATTTTAATGATCTATAAAATTGCCACGAGTTTTCAAATAACTTTTTTTGCAGAAATTATATCTGGTTTATTGCTGTTAAAACACTGACTCATATAATATGAGCTCGTGTAATCCTGCAAAATGTATTTAAACTTTTAAAAAGCCATGTTAGAGGGTTTTTTGAAAGCACTTGGCCTAGCAGATAGGCCTGTTACAGAGTTTGAATAGGAAGTCTTGCGTGTCCATCGACACACACACACACACCTATATGTGCACGTGTGTATGCTTGTATGTATATGTACACCTCAGAAATTGTAAAACCGAAGAGACAGGGGGGAAAAAACAAGACGTTGCCCTCAGTGTATGAAGCGCTGCAGTAAGGGAATTGCAAGCTGGCAGCATCAGGCAGAGATCCTCAGAGGAGGTGCGAGCTAACCTAAGACTTTGGTTAGTTCTGGGTGGAGCTGCACTAGCTGTGGGACAGGACAGGGAGGGGGCAGCAGTGCTCCCAGCCAGGGTCCCAGGGTCCGGGAAAGGTCTGGAGTTCTGTGTAGCTGGAGGGATGGCCGGGAGGAGGACATCCCTGAGGCTGAGGCTGAAGAGGCCATCACACCAGATCTGAAGGCTCAGTCAGCCTCTTATGGGGCTCACGCTGAGAAGAGAGGCTGCGTTGCATGGTGTTCAGCAGAGGTGGATTGGGACCGCTCTGGGGAGAACAGATTTGGAGAGGGAATGTACGTGATTCATCTTGCTAAAGTGGATGGTTGACTGAGTTGCTCAGCTTCACTGTTTCTTCCCTGCTGAGTTCCGCTTACCTAGCGTGAGGGAGGGAGGCGGGATGTGCATGTTGCAAACCGCGGCTGCTGTCACAGGTGTGCCTTGCCCCGCACTCCCCCGGCAGGGTCTGCTGGTGACTGTGAACGGCAATCCTGTGGATTACCACACCATCCACCCCAGTCTTCCCATGGAGAACGGCCCCGCCAAAGCCGACCTGTACTCCACCCCGCAGTACCGGTGGGAGCCCTCCGACGACTCCTCGGGTAAGGAGCCCACTCCAGGGCACGGGGCGCACCCGGCCTTTCATTTCCTCTCATGCGTTTGCTGAGCATCTTTCTGTCTTTTGTTCATTGTTTATTGAATTTGGTTCTTTTTTCCTTTTTTTTCTAACAGAAGTGTTGTCTTCCACAGTCAGTATAATTAGGCTTATTTCCTTAAGTTCTGCCTATATTTTGCACCAATAAATTGTTTTGTGTATTCTATCCTTATATACAAAGTAAGCGGCATAATTGGGGTGAACTTTGAAAAATAAAAGGTAAAAACATTATTTTAAACATGTCAATTTATGTAGGAATAGTATTAAACCAACATGTGTATATGTGTTTTAGTCTTTCTATAATTTGATATTATAATCATGGTCAATAGTTTTGCTGGTTAATGGATGAATGTTTTCAGAAAGAGTTCTTTTTGTCTATTTAAAAAAAGAGAGGGTCAAAACTTGTACTAGACGTTTTTCCCTTTTCTCCCAGTGTCTTATGTTAAAGGAAAGCAGGCTTACTGGAGATGACAAATTGGTGGCTTGGGGTGGAGATGTGGCCCTCAGACTTGTTTTTTTTTTGGCCTATACGGTGTCTTCTTTAAAAAGTTAAATAGTAACCAACATTTAAAAAGCTGCAGCTCTGACCTAGAAGTGGAAATTTCTGGAATCCCTTGAAGAATGTGAGTATCTGGCACCACTAGCCCCCTGTTTCTGCAAGGCAGCAGTCAGCTCAGCCTGTGTGTCCTTGCTCCATCAGAGGCCACGCCAGTCACCATGCCATGAAGACAGAATTCGCTCAGTTTACTGTTGAGAGAAAAAGAGCAGAGTACATGCAGGTGGCAGCAAAGCGGCTGCAAAACCGTAGTGGGTTTCCTCTCTGTTTGTGTGGAACTGAAGCTTGTGTTGTTACACATATCCTGCCTTTAGGAAACAGCCAGCAGCTATTCCATCTGCTTTATTGGCACATTCAGCTTACTCTAATGCCCTTTTTCGTATAATTCTTTATCAGGCTTATCCTAATGTGCTGTTCTCCGTAGTTCTTTATCAGTGTGTCCTGCAATTGCCCCTGACAGTGCATCTACTCAGCAGTGCACATGCTTAACCACGTTTCCCAACGTTCCTCAGTGAGGTCAGACCAAGTTCAGCGCCCTCCTTCCCATCCTCCCAGCTACGCCAGCCCCAGATGGCAGCTGTGACGTCCGCAGAGCACCACACTCTACAGGGTCGTTGCCTGTTTCTGCTTCCGCCATGCATGTGTCTTAGTTTGCAACTCGGACTTAAAGGCAGGTTTTCTCTCACTGAGCATCTCAGGGAAATACAGTCTTTTCTAAAGTGTGGCTTCTGGAGCTTCCACGCTGGAATCACAAAGGGCGGCCCTGACAAGCAGCATTGTGACTTCCAAGGCTTGAGATGTTCAGGTCCCTGCCAGATAGCCTCTGTGTACACCCTGCTTACGTGGGAAGGAACGAATAGAATTGTGACTGCTGAGAAGGTGGACCCTAAAGGAAAACAAAAGCCGGAAAATTGCTTTTTATTTGAATCTATATATGCAAAAAATGTCACGACCAGAGAAGTTGCGTGCCCGTAACTGCAGAATCCATCGGATTCAATTTGTTCATCACTGAGTCTGATCCATGGGCTTCCCCATCTGAACCCCAGGCTTGTCCGACCCACACGCTGGAGGAGTGACGGCTTCTGCACGAGGAGTTGCTGCAGCCTCTCGTAGAGGCTGCCTTCCCAGCCTGCTTGGGGTGAAGCTCAGGGTCGCTGACTTTCCGGTAGTTTATACGTCCTCCTCATGGTGCTGAACAACTCCCTAAATGGGATGCACCCCATTTATGTGGCACCCATTTAATTTAAACAGGAAAGGCAGAAAGGGCATTTTACTTAGGTGTGTCACTAGTTACTTCATCTGTGCAGTCAAAGTAGCTTCCCTGAGCACTGCAGGAGGGTCCCTCCTGCACCCACGCCAGCACTTTCCTCGTGCTGGTCTCCGCTTCCTCTCAGCCCTCCGCACTTTCTCTCTCTTACTTCTACCTGATCTTTCCAACCTCGCTATGACTTTCCTGCCTCAGCATGACCTAAAGGGAAACCGTGGGACACGGAGCTCACTCTGGCAGAGTGGTTGGTTGGTTGGTTATCTGCACCTTCATTCTATCCATACTCTATATCCTCATTGTATAAGTTACCTATTACTGAGTGACAAATGTAGCAGCTTACCCCCAAACTTAGCAGCTTAAAACAACATTTAGTGTCACACAGGTTCTGGGGGCCAGGAATCGAGTGTGACTAGGCTGGGTTCCTCTGGCTCAAGGTCTCTCATGAGGTTGCAGTCAAGCTGCGGGCTGGGGCTGTGGTCTCATCTGAGGTCTTGCCGCTGGAGAATCTGCTTCCATACCCACTCACATGGCTATTCGCTGGCCTCCAGCTCTTGCTGACTGTTGGCCAGAGACATCAGTTCCTTGCCACGTGGGCCCCTCCACAGGGCAGTTTACAACATGGCAGCTGGCTTCTCTCAGAACGAGTGAAGAAAGGAGAGAAAGCGAAAGCCACTGTCTTTTTTTACTTAATCTTGGAAGTGATATTCCATCCCTTCTTAAATATTCTGTTTGTTAAAAGCCCATCAAAGGTCCTACCCACACTCAAGGAGAGAGGGTTTCACAAGGGCGTGAATACCAGATGGTGGGAATAATTGGAGACCATCTTAGAAACTTTCTTCCTAAGGTTTCTGAGTGCTGAGTTCCATTACACTTACGAGGCAGAACTTATCGATGCTGTTTGAATTCTTAGGGCTTTGTTAATTGGAAATAATCTCTGAAGTCTTAAGTAAAAGGCTATGCTAAAACCATTCAAGTATTGCACTGCTTGGGACATCTATATAAAATTCACATAGTTGCATAAAATATTTGTCCATCTAGAAAAGAAAGAGGAAGAAGAAGATGAGAAAGAAGAATTTGAAGAGGAAAGGAGCCATGAGGAGAAAAGAAGTGTTAAAGTTCACGCCATGGTCTCTGTGTTCCAGTTTATTATGAAACAAAGTTACATCTGTGCCCTTATTGCTATGATGGTATGTATGGGCGGCGGCAGCGTGTGCTGGAGAAATGGTGAATGGAGCTCCAGAGGCTCCAAGCTCCATCATCCTCTCATGGCCAACACAGATATCTTCATGTTCCCAACATCTTGGCAGAGAATGGTTGGTTATGTTAATTTTTCCTGGGATCTTTATGATATGGATTTCAAAATCCCGTCTTCTACTCTATTTAGCCTCCTTTTAAATCTCAATACATTTCTCTCAAATTGGCCTATCAAGTCAGACCGTCCCCTATTTTGCCAATTTAAAAGGCCGCTTTGGATAGTTTTTCTATGTGGTATTGAAGGTATTCAAGATTCACATAGACTGCTTTTATTTCTTTCAGATGGTGAGAGTTGTATTCACCTTATCTTAGATTTGAGGGAGACTTTATTCCATCTTAACTGCAATAAATTTTTACCAGTATGAACATCAAGCAATCAGAGCTCCCAAGAGCTTTTCCGATGTGAATGCTCGGTTTATGTATGTTTCTGCTCACCTCTCGGTACATCCTCCATCTGTAACATCGCAGCTTCAAAAATAGTCCTTGGGCCTATAGATAGACGATAAAAATTTTAATTGCTACCCTTCCTAAAAACAAATTTTCTTGGGAATTCTGATTTACTTTTTAGAAACCTAACACTTATTTAACACAAAACTCTTCCAAATTTTGTGGCCAATAGTGAGATACCATGGACACCTTTGATGATAAAAATGAAAATATTGTATAACTTTAGGGGAAACAATACCTAAACAAGATTTCCCCAGGTGCTCAGTCAAGATGCCTCCTAAATGAACCTGTGTGTAACTCACCTTCAGTTTCTAGTAAGGACTACTGCCAGATCTGAGAGAGAGTTGGGAAAGAGAAAGTTCCTTGAAATTAAAGATGGGTGATTTAGGGATTGCAAACTCTGTTCTCTAAATAATATTAATTCTGTGCTCTTTGGGTACTTTTGGACATTTTCTAGGTATCAACCTCTAATTTAAACTACAGCAAAACTCTGATTTTAAAATATCAAACATATTATAAATGCAATTTATAGTTTTGATTATGAACTCAAAAAATTATACACTTTTTCTCTCTCCTGCTCGCTCTTTCTTAAAATAAGCCAGACAAATTTTGACTTTTTTTGTAAAGAAGTAGAGCTTTAAGAAAAACTTTGAATACACATTTTGTTACTTAGGAAAAAATCTATTGTGAAAACAACATAAGTGAGTAGATCCTTCATGAAAGACGTGCCCCTGTCTGGTGCCACTTCTGTTGTTTTAATGGAGCCACAATATTAGTGTTTTAAAGCTGCCCGCCTTCCATGGATGCACCCTCCCTGCAGCAGACTTGAATCCCAGACAGAAAGAGAAGTCCTGAGGAGCCAAGTCTGGGAGAGTGATGAGTGTATTTATGCAAAAGGACAAAGTGCTAAACTGTCAGACAGTCCGGAAACTGAACATCGGAAGCAACATAATGCAGAGCTGGCTTCCCAGCCCCGCAGCTGAAGGCGTGGGTGACATAGGCACTAAAAAAGAAAGAAGGTTTTATAAAATCCTCATAAGTTTTCTCCCTCCTCCACCCTCACCCTCCCAAACAAGAATTGTGTGCAGGGGAAAAAAACCTGGAATTATAATCTCTGGGAGGATTATTTTCCTGGGTCTCACACACACAAAATGGCAGTCCTGTGTGCATTTCATTCTGGGATAAATGCGTTAAATATGTTATTTAGTGCAAATACATTAAATGGTACCTAATCTTTGCTAACCACTATTTCCAAGAAATAATATTTTCATGAAAATAATTCAGCTTGATAATAGTTGTCAGTCACTAACAATTTTAATAGAAGCAATTTTAATTTCCAGTTTGTACTTACCATGTTTTAATCAACAGTTTTAAATAATTCGCCACTTAAAAAGCTAGCTGTGCTTTGGGACAAATTTGCAAATTGCTGAGAGTAAATATTTGTTACCTGTTGACTTCATTTATCTTATCTACTTAGCAAAAGCAAAACAGACTTGTAAAATATTTCAAACTTGACAACTAATTCTTGATGATTTATGATATTTAGGAATATGGTTGATTTCAGTTAGCCCCAAACATATTTAAAAAGTGTTTTTAAAGGTCTTTTCAAAAAAATTTGGTATCAGAGATTATGGTAAGAGATGATAGATTTCCTGAAGCTAATAATATTCATGAACCTAATTTACAGATGGTTCTGGTAGCTGCCCTTTGAGGTACCTTTCTGATTCTTTGGAAGTTTAATGAGAATGGAAAAAGATGTATTGTTTGTTCCAAGGGTTCAATGGCTCTTTAGGCCTAGCCCTTACAGGACAGAAGTATTACCGAACAAAGGGCACAATCTGCTCGCTGCAGGACAAAAGCCAATCATCAAGGGGCAAGATGCTGGCAGAGAAAGGGCATTTTATTACAGCTTGCTAGCAAGAGGGAAGATGGCCGACTAATGTCCAAAAGAACCATCTTAAGGAGGGCACAGAATCTTGAAGCAGTGATGTAGGCCAATGACTTACAGGGGAGGGGGATAGGAATGTTGAACCAGGAGTCGCCACACCAGACCTTTCAGTTGTCATTGATGATGGCTATCAGCATAGACTCTCTGTTTGTGGGTCATCACATTCCTAATGAACTCAAAAGAAGAAAGTTATCATCTTATTGCAGCTGGGAGGTACATGCACAAGAAGTGGTCATAAAATCTACAAAGCAGGTGCATCTCCTGGAGGGTACATATCCAGCTGGGATAGTTAGGCAGAGGTCATTCAAAGTTACAGTATGGTCTCTTTTCTACAATATGGCTTCCCTTATGTCAACCTTGTGTTGAGCTGGTTTCAGAAGCTGAAGCTACCCTTTAAATTAACTTGGCTTTATTGTTTGGGGTGACCCACAGCTACCTTGTGTGAATTTTCCAATTTCTATCATGTGTGTCTTCTGGGATAGTCGACTGAGAGTGGTCTCTGCAGCCCAGCTGGTCTGCCTGGCCTAGTGCTTCCCGCAGCCTCCACTCCTGAGCTCAGCCAGGGCCCACACGCACTCCACGCTGCATTGCTGACTTCAGGCTAGTTTGGGAAAAGAAGGGAGAAAGCACTTATGGTCGCTTTTAACCCTGCAAAGTAGGGTAGAGATGAGGCATAGAACTTGGAATGAAGACCCCCTTGCCTTAGGCTCTGTTCCCCTAGGAGCTTCAAAAGCAATGTGATTCTCAGCAGAATCAGTCTTTCTCTTCTATTCCCTCCCTATGCCTCAGGTTGGGATCTCTCTCCGTGATTTCACCACAAGTCTCTCCTCTCTCTAGTTTGACCCTAGTTTGAATATCATTGACTTTTTCCTTTTAGATAACTTACTAGAGCGGGGACAATACGTTGAATTGACGCTGATTGTTTTTCTCTCCCTCTCTCCCTGAGGCTTGGAGCATCACCTATCACAGCTGGTTGACCTTCGTGCTGTTGATTTGGTCGTGCACTCTTTGGATGATTCGCAACAGGAGAAAATATGCCATGATCAGCTCTCCTTTCATGGTTGTTTATGGAAATCTACTGCTGATATTACAGTATATATGGAGTTTTGAACTTCCTGAAATTAAAAAGGTCCCAGGATTTTTAGAAAAGAAAGAGCCAGGAGAACTTGCCTCAAAGGTAAGTGAACAGGGAAACAAGGAAACAAAACCACGTGATCATAATAATCATCTCTAAGCAAAAACTTACACAGATAGCTTCCAAATATTCACTGCTTCACAGAAATGAATAGATATGAAACTATAAGAAATCATTTATATTGCTTAGAGATCTCTATAATTTAAACACGAACAAATATTACACCATGCTTTTAGATTTTATTTTAAAATGACCATGCTTTCCACTCAATTATAGTCTAAGTTATATTTTAGCATAAATTACAGTACAGCGGACGTGGAGGAATAGGTGAACACAGCGTCAAATACGTCAAGGGGGGAGAGGACTTTCTGGGATAGGTAGCAGTTTGCAAAACAGGCCAAACACATTGCTGCTGCAGAGAATCATTGATTATTAATGAAAACATTTTTTTCTCCACTTATGTCCTAAAGAAAATTTTAGCAGCAAAAATTAAGTATGACCCTTGCTTTTGTTTCTTCTACTGACTTTATGATATGCTTTCATCTGTAGTTAGAAAGTTCCTCATCTTTCACTGCTCATTTATTTTCATGGTCCATTTTAATAGTTACTATTTCAGAAGATGAGGTGCTCCAACTTTTCTGTCTGTTTTGTGAACAGAATGGCAGACTCTAAGCACACGTTCTCTTTGTGTCGATGGCTTTGTGTTAAGACAGTAAAAGCAACATCATGCGTAAATACTGAATGAGCCTTGAAAATCTTTCTCCTCTGTGCAGAGAGGAAATTTAGTATCTCTGAAAGAGACATTCATTTACGTCACATGAAAGCCACCTTTCTTGGGAGCAACCCCCTTTTTTACAGGTTACCAGACACCCATTTGCAAGGGAATCAGGTGTAAGTGGGGGTGCTGAACAGACTTGACCAAGGGCTGGTCCCTATAGCAGGTTTTTGGTGAAGGCTCTTGGGGTAAAGGAGAAAGTCCTAACAGACAAGTGCTAATGACAGAAATTAGATCATCATCCCCTGTGTTCATAGACCAGGGCAACTTCATTCACTCATTTATTCACTCATTTGTACAAAACTCCCATGCCTACCCCACTCCCAAACCTTACTCCGTGCTGAAGTCCCACATGAGACTCTCACTCGCAAGTCACCTTTATCTGACGCTCTTCCTTTTCATTCTCTCCCTCGTCTTTTCTCTTAAACACACACACAAGACTGGTAAGTTGGTCTTGTTTATGAGAGAAGTCAGAATCTTATCCTTTGACTGTGTAAATCCATTACAAACTGGCTCAGCATATCAGTGAGATATCTAAAAATGCATGCCAGCTAGCTAGTTGAATTCCCATTCCTGTCTCATTCAAAATTAAGAGCTCTTTGCGGGGAGGGGCCATTTGGGGGGAAATAAATTTATTAATTGTAGAAAGAAAAGAACAGTATTATTCTGGGGAAACTAGAGTCTGCACTTAAATTTTAATATATGCAAGAGTGCAAAAAAAGAAAAAAAGCGAGGGTTTGTTAGATGATAACAACAGACCTGCAGGATCATAGCATCTCTATCACAGTAACATTCGTCACAGCACGTGATTAAACACACACTGCAGAGTACTGCATGGCTCACTGTGATGGAAATGGGAGGAAGAAAGCGTGGGGCCTGGGTCCTCAAAGTTCAGAACCCTCTGGTGGGGCCAGACTGAACTACTTTGCAACATTCTTCATCCCCTGGAGCATCTCCTTCCCGGCTCCATCAGACCACATCAACTGCACTCTTCCAAACCTGGCTTTTGACTCTCCCTCGCCTGGGAAGGATGGCTGCTGTGCCCCCAGGGATTCCTCGGCTCTCTACATAGGCGTTAGAGATACACGTTTCTTTCCCAAATGGCAGCTATAGTTCAATTTGCTGTGACTTCCAGAAGTTTAATGCCAGGTTTTCAGAAGTGTAGACACTCTGGTTCTTATTTCCTTAGGTCCTAAGCATGTTTACCAGGACTTATTGGCACCGGTTTATGTTGAAGGTAAATGATAAGTGAATATTTACGGATAGTTAAATGGGCAATTATTCAAAGTGAAAATGACCCATTCATTGCTTATTTATTCAATGCCTATTTATTTTTTCATTTCTTTGGCAAATGTTTATTAAAATCCTATTATAAACCACAATGAGATACCACTTCACACCCACTAGGATGGCTAGAATAAAAAAACAGATAATAACAAGTATTAATGAGGAAGTAGAGAATTTGGAACTGTCATACACTGCTGGTGGGAATGTAAAATGGTGCAGCCACTTTCAAAAACAGTCGGTTCCTCAAAATGTTAGACATAGAATTACTTAAGAGCCAGCAATTCCACTCCTAGGTATATATATCCCAGAGAACTGAAGACCTGTGTCCACACAAAAACTTGTGCATGAATCCTCATAACAATGTTCTGTACACAAAAGAATAGTAACAACCTAAATGCCCATCACCTGATGAATGGATACATAAAATGTTGTCTGTCCATCCACTGGAGTATTATTTGGTAATAAAAAGGAAAGAAGTACATGCTACAACATGGATAACCTTTGAGAACATTATGCTAACTAAAAGAAGCCACTTATGAAAGAATGCTATGTAATTCCATTTATATAAAATGTCCAGATTAGACAATCTGTAGGGACAGAAAGTACATCAGTGGTTGGCTAGAGCTGAGTGGGGACAACAGGGGGTGACTGCTATGGGGCTTCTTTTTTGGGTGATGAAAATATTCTAAAATCAATCGCAGTGGTATTTACACAACTCTATAAATATACTAAAATCCATTGAATTGTACACTAAATGGGTAGATTGTATGGCATATGAATTATATCTCAATGAAGCTGGTATGAAAAACTACCGAGTGCCGGGTGCCATCTTCCCTGGAGAACAGAGCTCCCCGAAATCATAAGCTTTTTTTCCCCAGTCCTCAGGAAAATGTTAATATACAAATGTGGGCACTTAGAACAATTCTTCCTTCAGCTTTGGGAGATGAATGCAATATTAAGGGGTCCTATTTTCTGGGACGAAATGTTCTTTTTCCCATCTGTGGAATTCTTCAAAATAAGGAACATTGCAGAGGCAATGAGTGTTAGAGAAGAAGTATGTCTTCCCCTCCAGCTATGTTGATGTCACCGTCAGAGCAGGAAATGAAGGACTAGCACCTTGAGAGAGACCAATTGCCAAAACTGATTTCCGGCCCAGATGGAAGTAGTTTGGCCTTTCCACTGCCTCCTCCCCTGGGCCTCGCAGGGTCCCCACGTGTGCTCGTGTCCTCAGGAAACAGGGTTTAAAGCCAGTGACTTTCAGTTGAAATCCAGTGGGTGCCTGACTCTGTCTCAAATGGGAAGGTTTGTTTATTGTGCTCCCACTGAAATGTGGAGCAAATCTTCTATTTGTTGAAATGTGTTTACACTTCAAATGGCAGCTTAATTCTTGTTTTGCAAATTCTCTGCTTTCAGATACTTTTCACCATTACTTTTTGGCTACTGCTGAGGCAGCACCTCACAGAGCAGAAAGCTCTTCGGGAAAAGGAAGCTCTTTTATCTGAGGTCAAAATTGGGAGTCAGGAAAATGAAGAAAAAGGTAAATTAGTGTAAACAGTGTGTGACTGGAGGTTTTTGTGCTCAGCAAAATTATGGGGAAAAAGCCCCCAAAATACATCAGAAAGTCTCTATGCTTCAGACTAGATGGAAGACAAACATTAACTGGGAGTGACAGATAACAGCATTATAGTGCACAAGATTGGTAGTACACAAGATTTAGAGCGGTAAGTAACAGTATTACGGGACACAAGGTTTAGCGCACATGTGGGGGTTCAAAGGAGCTTTTGAAAGTGTGTCATTTGATTCTCACAGAAGTGATTCCCACTTAAGAGAAGAAGAAACTGAGGCTCAGAGAAGTTAAATGACTCTTCAAGGTCACACTTTTAGAGCAACAAAGCAACCAGAATTTGAAACCAATATAGTAGTTTTGATTTGTGTTATTGCTGCCTGTTTATTTTTCTATATCCTGCAGTACTTAAAGTTATCATTGGATGTTGGAAATGAAATAAGTGTTATAAGAAGATTAGTATAAAATATTACCAAATTTATTTCTTTTAAACTATATTTTAGGAAGGTTATAAAAGCTGACTATGGTTAGTTATAAATGCTGCTTGTTTACTAGAAGAGTCTAAAATTATTCAAATCATGTAGTGACATATAAAATGCATGCTCTGTGTCCCACCTGCAATACCTGGTCACTTGTGGCTCTGGTCAGGGAACGAGCTCAGTACAACAGCACAGTTTTCTGTTTTGAAGCTGATGAGCAAGATATACAGGTGGAAGGAGAGGCGGAAGAGAAGGAGGAAGGAGAGGAAGCAAAGCGAGAGAAGCAGGAGATAAAGAAGGAAGAGGAAGAGGAAGAGGAAGTGGAGGAAGGTGACGATCAGGACATCATGACGGTGCTGGGCAATCTGGTGGTGGCCATGTTCATTAAGTACTGGATCTACGTCTGTGGAGGGATGTTCTTCTTCGTCAGCTTCGAGGGTAAAATTGTGATGTACAAAATCATCTACATGGTGCTGTTTCTATTCTGTGTGGCCTTGTATCAGGTAGGTAAACGATTGTCCTCGATCTTTTTATCCTCACACCTGGCCCAGGAGTCTATGTGGGCTTCCTTTGATGAGAGGCTGAGTTACTATAATCCCATGAACGTACCAGATAAAGTGATTGATGCAGTTCAGACATCCCGTATTCAGAACCCTAGAATGGGAAATGACTATCTCCAGCTTGTTCGTTACTTTGAAATTGTAGGTTCTGAAAAAGTCAGAAAAGCGCCTGGCCCTGTGACCAAGTGGTTAAAGTTCCGTGTGCTCCAACTCAGTGGCCTGCGTTCTCGGGTTCAGATCCTGGGCACGGACATACTCCAGTCACCAGCCATGCTGTGGCAGTGTCCCACATACAAAAAAATAGAGGAAGATGGGCACAGATGTTAGCTCAGGGCTACTCTTCCTCAAGCCAAAAAGGAGGAAGGTGGGCAATGGATGTTAGCTCAGGGTGAATCTTCCTCAGCAAAAAGAAGAAGAAAGTCAAAAAAAATTTCATAAGTTTTCCAAAAGTTCTTGATAAAAAAAGACACCCGTAAAATTAGATTAATTTTTGAGTAGTGATTTAAGAACAGTGGCTGGATAATCTAAAATACTGGATGACACCTAGTTCCCTCGTATTTCAGACTGTGGAATCAGAAAACTGTGTGTGTGTACGTATATATGTATAATGCATCAACTGCTATAATTAGAATTTTTATAACAGATTATAGTAAAGTGAGTTAGCCTCTCCACAGATTCAGTTTTAACTGGTGATAGAAGTTTTAACCCACAATAGAAACAAGGACGACAGTGAAATATTTGTGCAGCCACCAACAGCACAAATGAACCACCCCAGTGAACGAGAGCATGAGGAGAGAAAAATGTCTCAACATTTTGAAAGCTTTGAAAAATTCAAGGTAGATGTCCTCTTGAATATCCGCAGGCGCATAGTAAAGAGAGAGGTCTCCTCTCTGTGGTGGTTTCGCATTTTTATTCACATGGCACCACTTTGAATTTCAACCTGGGGCAGTTTCTCCCAGCAGTAACCCAAGGACAGCAGCCTCCACCATGCTATTCCTTGAATGCCGTCTACTGACTAGATATCGTGCAGAGAGCCTTATAAAGATTATCATTTCATCCTCTTAACAACTCTCAAAGTAGGCGCTTAATGGAGGAGGAAACAAGCTCCGTAGGGTCCAGCGACTTGCCCAAAGACACAGTTAGCAACTTCTGGTAGACGTGGGATCCTGGTCCAGATCCATCCAACTGTGTGAGGAGCAGAGCCTCAAACACTAAAAATGAAACAGACTTTATTTTCAAGTATTTTCAAATGTCATCACCTGTCTTAGTTAAATAAACTAGATATTTTTGTGTTTTTCTGTAACTGATTTTTCTCTTGTTTTTCAATGTCTGATTCACAGGTGCACTATGAATGGTGGAGGCGAATTCTAAAATATTTTTGGATGTCAGTGGTTATTTATACTATGCTGGTGCTCATCTTTATATACACATATCAGTTTGAAAACTTCCCAGGCCTATGGCAAAATATGACTGGATTAAAAAGAGAAAAGTAAGTAATTTTGGTGTACGATGGGGTGTGAAAGAGACGCCAGGATGGAGATTTGAATGCATGTTGTTCAAAACATGTTTATGGAAGATTTTATGGAAGATTAAAAAGTCAGAAAAGTGCCTGGCCTCGATCTTTTTATCCTCACACCTGGCCCAGGAGTCTATGTGGGCTTCCTTTGATGAGAGGCTGAGTTACTATAATCCCATGAACGTACGGAATGAACGGAAGATTTTAGTAAAACACGATATCATCAATGTCTGTCGACCCTTGAGAACAGCATTCGTGTCTTAGTCATTTTGTGTTCTCTCTGCCTAGCCCTGAGATTGGCACAGAGTAGGTACTCAATGAGTATTGACCAAAAAGTGAATTTTCAGCCCCATTTTAATGGAATAACTTTTTAATGTTAGTTTCATGTGAAACACACCTGCCTAGTATTTGGCCATTCACCCTTTCTGTGTTCCAAACCAGAGCTCACTTCAGTCCATCAGAGTTCGTGGACTCACGATACAGCAGCAGCCTCTCCTCGTTCATGCAGCTGGTGCTCAGAGGCTGAGGAGGAGGTGGTGCCGTAGACGTTTCTGCCGGTGTTCCTAGAGGAGTGATGATGAAATGACGTTTCCTGTGCATGTGACTGAGAGTAGTCTATCTTTTTCTCATTTGCTTCTGTAAACATCTGAAATTAGTTTAGAAATCCAACCAGAATTGGGCATAGAGCTGAATATACTGAGGTGGCTAAGAGAAAAGCTTAAAAAGAAAGGATTGCCATGTAGCTGGACTAACACGTTCAACAAATATTTATTAGATGTCTCGCCTGTGCCGAACACTGGCTGGGCCTGGAGACATAACAGGAAGCAAGTCAGCAGAGCCCAAGCCCTGTGGAGTCTATATTCTAGTGGATGAGACCAATAAGAATCCTGCTTAATGTGCAAATAAATTAATTACAAATTGTGACAAGTCTGTGAAGGAAACAAACGACAGGCTGAAGTAGTGACCAGTGGGGGATACTAACTATAAATGGAGTGATCAGGGCAGGCTTCGCTGAGGAGGCGTCATTTAAACTCACCTGGAGGATAAGAAGGAGCTTGTCTTTAGAAAAGTGTGTGAGTTGGGAGCTGGGGTGCAGAAGAGCATCCCAGGCAAAGAGAACAGCAAATGCAAAGGCCCTAAGGCAGGGCAGAATTTGGCACATATGAAGGACTGAAGGAAGGCTGCCCTGCCGGGAGCAAGGGTCGGAGTGGAGAGGAGAGAAGAGATGGGAGTGTTCAGCCAGGCATCCGGGACATACATGGCTTGTAGGTAGTGGTGGTTGGTATTTAATTCTTGGTGAAGTTTTTAGAAGTCTTTAAAGAACCCTGGACTGGCTGAGAAAAAGTGATGTATGGGAAGGCAAGAGTAGAAACAAGACAATTAGCAAGCAATAGCAGTGGTCTTGTGAGAAATGATGGTGACTTCACCTCGAATAGGTGGCCATAGAGATGGATAGCAGCAGTGGACAGAGTCAAGAGATGTTTAGGAGGTTGAAGGCAACATGGATGAAAAGATGTGAAGGCAAAGAAAAAATCGAGAAAGACTTCCTGGTTTCGGAGTTGTGCACCGGGTCAGTGGTTATACCAGGGAAAACTAGCGTGGGGAGAAGGAGATGAAGAACAGCTTGGCTAAGGGAAATTGGGAAATCAAGAATAGTGTTTTGACAGGGCTGGCCCCGTGGCCGAGTGGTTAAGTTCGCGCACTCCGCTGCAGGCGGCTCAATGTTTCGTTGGTTCGAATCCTGGGCACGGACATGGCACTGCTCATCAAACCACGCTGAGGCGGCGTCCCACATGCCACAACTAGAAGGACCCACAACTAAGAATATACAACTATGTACCGGGGGGCTTTGGGGAGAAAAAGGAAAAAATAAAATCAAAAAAAATATATTGTTTTGAAAACACTAACATGTAATAACTGTGAAACAACCCATTTCCAGTGGACCTTGGGGTATGAGAGTCCACAGGAGAAGGCTGAGCTGTAAATGCACATTTGAGTCGTTGGCGTGGAGATGGTATATGAATGCACGGGACAAGGTGAGATGACCTAGGGAGAAAGTAAGCTAGAGGAGAGACTCAGCACAGAGTCCTGAGGATCTTTCAGCATCTGGAGTCCAATAGACAAGGAGGAGACAGTGACAGAAGAGGAAAACCAGGACAGTGTGGCGGCCTCCAGACCATGGTCCTTTCAGGAAGGACCAGAGGCAGAACTGAACAAAGATAGAGAACAGCCCCTGGATTTGGCAGTATCGAGGTCGTTACTGACCACTGTCAGAGCAGGTTGGCTGGATTGGTGGAAACCAAAGCCAAACTGCAGTGTATGGGAGAAAGGGGTGCAATAAACAGTGTGACCGACAAAAGTGAAAGACTGTCACATAATTCATAGTGGAGAGTGTGTCTTCATTGCCTAAGAAATGTTCTTGCTTGCCGTTTTGTCTTGTTTTACAGGCTTGAGGATCTTGGCTTAAAGCAGTTTACCGTGGCTGAACTATTCACTCGCATATTCATCCCAACCTCCTTTCTCCTGGTGTGCATTTTGCACCTTCACTATTTCCATGACCGGTTCCTGGAGCTCACAGACCTGAAGTCCATTCCCTGCAAGGAAGACAGCGCCATCTACAGGTGAGCGAGTGCCTGCAGCACATGCCTCTTGCTGTCAGAAGGCAGCCTTGATTCTCCACCTGCCCACGGTCACCTTGCCGGAAAGCCTATTGTCTAACTTAGAATTTCAACCTTGAACTTCCCATGAGTATCGACCTGTGAATGAAAAAAAAAGTGAGAAATAATTGTGAGGTATTTGATGGCACTTTCTGAAGCAACTGGTAGTGACTTATGACTGGTTAATAGAAAGTGATCTTGTCATCTGAGTAGTAGATGCAGGGCAACTCTGCAGACTCAGATACTTTAGAGCTGGCAATGTGTGTTTTGTGTCTAGGCTGGTTATGTGTTTTTAGAACATTTACAGAATCTGGCTAATTCAAAGGATGAGTTTTCTGTTGTGCTAACAACCAGTACAGAAGTCACTGTAAGTGAGAGCATACCAAAAAATGGTGGGCAGAATTTTCCCTTCCATTTTGGAAATGAAGAACCATAGCTAAAAGGCCAGAGTCTGCAATGTAATGCCCGGAATAACATTTGAGAAGAGAAAGTGAAGACAACATCAGCTCCCTGTTGTTGTCTTCTCATCAATAAGTATAAATTGTTTACAGGTAACAGACGAGCTCTCGCTCTCCCCGCCCGTGTGTGTGGAAACCACAGTGGATTATCGCACACCCCTCAGTGTGCTCCATCACAGGGAAATTACAAGCATTCTTCCACTGAATGTTAATAGTGATTTTCCTCTCTGCTTCATATTTAGCCTATGATTCAGTTCTTGGAAAAACACTTGTGAAGCAACTAAGGGAGCAAAGTGCTCTGTTAAAAGGAGTGCAGATGCCGCAGCTGAAAATCCCTCCTAGCTTTTTTGACTTCCCCTTAACGCTTTTTCAAGGGAAACAAAATGAGTACATCAAAAGAAGATGAAGTAGTATTTCATCGTGCACAGTTTGTGAAATACTAAATTTGCCATTTTCTGCTGTAGTAGGGGCAGGGAGTATGGATAATTCTAAAATACTTTTATTTGGTGATGAGAAACATTTTATAATCTTTATGTATTTATGTGTGACCGGCAGATTCATTTCCCTTGTCACATTTTGTTGAAGCTAAGATTACATTTCCTTTTCATTCTGGGTGTATTCTGGAGAACTGTAGCGTGTCCATGGCTCCCAACCAATAGAACCAAGAGGTATCAGCCAGTCATTACTTCTTATCCTATCTCGCCACCGTAAATATCAGGCTCAGCTAAAACCTATGTTCTCCCAACACCCCAGCAGGGAGAAGGGCACAGATGGGGTCAGTGGCTGCCTTCAGCGCTGATCAAACATTGGGAAAAGTAGTTATTAGAAGTTTGGGGACCCCCTAGGAGAGAAGATTCATAGGACTTGTCGGCAGGAGAAATAATCCTAACATTAAAAGGTACAAAAGCAATGCCTGCATAGAAAAGTGATAGTTGTCAATAATTTAAAAAATTATTATTTCATGGTTCTTTTGACATTGCTCATGATCCCTGTGGCTAAAACTAGTATTTGATATTTAACTCTGGCAATGTAATATGCGTTATTTAATTGCAAACCCTCATCAGTTTTTCAAAAAGTTATGTTCAATAACCAAAAAGACCTTTTAGTTGGCAGAGTAGATTTGTATGTTTGTGAAGAGAATGTAATTATTACTAATTGCTAATGGTGCCTTTTAAAAATTCTTTCTTCTAAATGCCTTTCTTCCCTTGCATCTTCATTTTCTTCTCATGAAAATTTCCCTTAGTATGTACGAGCTTTTCCTTGCCATTATTCTTATTATCGTATGTCTGAGTCTTCTGTCACACAATCACAAAGAGATATAGGTCACAATTTTTCCAGAAAAATAGAGATTTTTCAGAATAGTTCTGTAGAAGATAATACAGCTCAGCAAAGATTTTACCAGCCTAAAGAATCACAGTTTTTGAGACAGAAGATATGTGAAAACTGAATTTGTTCCACAGAGTCCCTTCTAAGTATATAGAAGATTGTGGAATTATGTGGGTTCCGGGGAAGGGCTGTAGCCTCCTGTCAAGGGGTTTCCTCCCTGTGTCCTCAGCCCCCACCCTCCCGCCAGGAGGGAGAGGAACGTGGAAAGGATCCGTGGCCATGGGAGGGCGTTGCTCGCCTTTCTCCCCCCGTGGCTTCACCCTCAGCACTCCCTGAACAGTTGATTTCCCCATCAAATTTAAAGGGTGAGGAGAGAGCGTAGGAATAGAAAACTACGCTCATGGCACATGGGATTTCATTTTCAGTTCTGTGAAAAAAAGTCTTTGGAACCTTAAGGAATTTGAAGGACTCACTCCAGTTTGGTATTTTGGGATTTCATGCGAGAGTTTAATATAAAGTGCCAACATTTTAACTTTGAACATATGATATATAGCCCATCTTTTTAGCGACCCTTCCTCATTGTCATATTTTCCTTACTAATAATGGCCGCCTCACAGGATTTTTTGTCTCTGGAGTCCTAAGGAATGACTACATTAAACTCAAAATGATGAAGAGAAAGAAACATTTTCTGAGTTGAGATTGACTGCCATCCTTTGCTCTCTCTGCTGCTCCCTCCTTAGTAGACGCTTGACAAACATTGGCCCACAAACTGGGAATAATCGAGGCATTGTATTCCTTCCATTGATTCCAGCTGTTGCTTCTGTAAATATCCAGCTGTTCTCCTGTTTTGTCCATTGTTTGTGTGCGTGTCCACATACGCAGTGTAGGGAAATGTCCACTCTGTTGGCGCAGAAGTGATTGTGTTTAGCCTTACAGAATTTATAAAGTTAACATTATGAAAAAGTTTTATGCTACACATAATAAGACACTATTATTATTTTTACGTAGGCATTCTCAGGAGTAGCATTTCACTTTTATATTGATAAAATATGTAACATTATAACATAATTATAATTATATAATATATACTTAATAATAATGATGTACTAAATATGCATTACTTATTTAAATATCCATCACTGCAATTTGTCCATAGTTTGTTTTAGAAAGTATTGTGATGCATACAGCAATAAAATGACTTTTTTTGCCTCAGTTTTAGAAAAGCTTAGAGAAAATATATTGAATATGGTTACTTAGTAGTAGTTTACTTTTTTAACTCTGGGAAAGGAGTAAGAATTCATCATTCACACTGTATTTTATTTGATAAATGTACTCTGAAAATTTAAACATTACAAATTTTTAATAAAGTATGTGAGATGGGGAGGGATGAGAAGAATGGAGAGACCTGTTATCTTCAAGCATTTTTCCTGAATATGTCTAATTTCATGTTGCTGCTGAATCTTGCTGCCTAGACTCTTCTTCAGTGCATGAAACGTGTCAATGAGGACCCACCTGATGACGTAAAGCTTACAAGACACGTCTACTTCATTCGTCTCTGTCTAACAATCTCTTCTTTCTCTCTCCAACCTGTCTGCCCGTTGCCACCGCATGCAACCTTGTGCTTCCATCTCTCACCTCATAGCCATGCCAAAGTCAATGGGCGCGTGTATCTAATAATAAATAGGTGGGTACTTCAATGTTTTCTCTCTTGTTTTTGTTAAAAATGGTCTCTTGGTGTGTTAAACACTTTACTGTTTTGTAAATGAAAAATTCTGACATCAGATAGTGGATGACGGTCTTCAGCTATGCTCATAAATGTATTCTGCAAACCAAACCATTTGGTGTTCATACTGGATGGTCCCGCCAAGTGGATTCGGAGGTTGCCAAGGGTCTTCAGCTGGTGCTCAGCCTTTGGTCTTGGTTCAAACATATGCCCCATTAATTTCATTCTTGGCTAGAATTAGTTCAAGGCTTGCCTGAGAGCTCATCTCCCTCTTGAACACCTAATTGAGAGCTCAGCTCAAGAACCACCTCCTCCACAAGCCTGCCCATAATTGCCAACTTCCCGCCAGCAGTCATCTGTCCTTCCTCTGAATTCCCATAGCACTTTATCATCGCTGCCTCCTGACATTTGCCTTCCAGCCCTCAATCTGCCTGCTTGTCTTATCTCCCTTGTCAGAGGCATCAGCTCCTCGGGCCTGGAGTCCCTGTATAATTCATCAGTGTGACCCCATATCACTTACCTCAGGGCCTTACCCATTCGTGGACCCTCAGTAGATATTTCCTGAATGAAGTGATGATAGTCACAACAATATATGGTTAAAAGAAAATTAAAACGTCAATTTCTTCAAATATACCTCTACTTGAAAAGTCAACATATCGAAGAAGGATATTTTGGATCACCAGATTTCACTATATATTTGCTTACCGCAAAAGCTGCAAAGATAGGCACTGAGAGCTTAGATGCATGTCGCCTGGCTGGGGAGATAAAACATGTGAATGACCACACATAATAAAGAGTAAGCTTTGATAGTGTTGTGTGTAGAGTTATCCTCAAGCGCTCTAAGAGTACAGAGAAAAGATCCTTTGGGATCTAATTCGCTAAATCTATTCTTCCTTTATTAATCAGGTGAATTAAAATACCGACTCCTATAACTTCTTGTCTTTAGTAATAAAGCCAATAATTTAGGTAATAGAAACGTATTTTGCAACAAATTCAATTAACAAAATAATCTTTGAAGGATTTGTTGGTTTTCTATTCCATTATTCTTATTCCAGTAGGGTTAAGTAAAATCCTAAGGCCGACAACCAAATAGCAAATCAGGAGGCAAGACTTCTAGAAGGAAGTGTGAAAAATTGGTGCAACACTGTGCAAATCGCTGAAGAGGGAGCTTCTCTCTCTCCCTCTCTCTGTCTCTCTTTTCCTCTCTCTCTCTATGCTTCTTATAAAGTGTTTGCCATTTGCTTTATGAAGAGATGGCTGGGACACCGGAGAGGGCAGGAGTTGCTTTGATGGGCTCCAATGGTAGAGGCTGATACAAATTTTGGTCTCGATTGTCCCAGACTTCTCTCTTGAAAGAAAGCCTATGCCTGTTCACCCAAGTCACAAGGCCAGTAAATTCACTCAGGATTTCTTAGAATGATCAAGATTTAAAGTCATCTCAAACTGAAAGCATTCTACCATTAGTATTGTCTTCTTTCCAGTAGAATCTCTCATTTTTGCCTGAAAGTTAACATGCTAAGAAGGGCCAGAGCTAGGCCCCAGGGAAAATGTTACCCAACAAACTCATCCCTCGCTTGACAACATGTGCTTCTGAAAGGCTGTATGTAAAGTGTGTCCAATTTTTAATAGGATCTTCTCTTGATTAGAACGATAGGCTGAATCCTTTTGTTACGTAACTAAGCTTTCTTTGTCCCATAATTTATTTCTTTATGCTCAGTATTGTTTCATAGGGAGAATAATGTATTTGTAAATGTGAGTTCTGGATGAAGGAGAGGACATGCCTACATTCAGCTTCTGAGTTGATTAAAATTTAGACACGACCTTACAGGCGTGAGGTCGGGGGCGGTGTTGAGGATGGTGGTGACTGATAAAATTTGATGAGGTGAATAACTGTGGGGAAGTTCCACACCCCATCACACCCAATCCTCCCTAGTAGATTTTTTATAGGAATTACTACCACTCACATTTAAGATGTGCTATTCAATTTACGAACGAATTGCTCATCAGAGAATGCAGTCTTCTAAAAGTCTTCTAAAAGTGCTTATCAGTTCTAGAAAATAATCTTAAACAGTGTAAATATTCTACTTTAAATGTTACTTATGAACCCTACAAATTTGAAAAACATCTCCTTTTTTTCTAATAGTCTAACGAATGGATAAGTGCAGTTTATATTACCACGTAATCCAAATTAGAATAGTTATGAATAAATGGTATTTAGACTAAGGAGATTTTACAATTGTACAATTTCCATTTTCTTTAATGGAAATTAGCTTAATATGTGGCTTTTCAAAGTCAAATTCTAGTACAGAATTAAACCTCTTCAACTCTCAATGTAACATAATTTGTTTCTTCTGTTTCAAATAAGAAGGCCTCTCCAGTGCATAGAAGTCACAAACATTCGGTGAATCATAGTGTATACCAAGCACAATGCTTCCTTTTGCAAGGGGAATGAGTGGAGTAAGACTGGATTTCTGCCCTGAAGGGGAGAGTGCCCAGGGCAATAATTAGAATGAAATTGTACAGAAATTCACATATAGAGAACTGTACAAAGCCCTGGCAGCATGAAGGAAGGAGTGGGCGGATAAACAAACCGAAGAATGTTATCTGCTTTGTTACGATGCAGCAGGAGAGGGCCGTTTTGTTTAAGAAGGAGTGAGAGCCTGGGTCATAGGAAACGAAGTTACAGGGATGGTTAGAGAAAATGCAAAGAGAAGAAAATTAACTCCCGGAGGGAAAGGCTTCCAAAAAAGTGGGATTTGGAGGGGGCCCTGGGGGCTTGTGCTCTGAGAATCCAGTTTGTCACCAGGTCTGTTTGGAGTCCCAAAATAAACCCCTTCATAAGATGATTAGATAATTTGCACATGATGGTCACTCAAGAATTACAAGTATTATAAATTGCATAGCCTGAAGTTTCAGGGGACCCTTTTTTTTTTACTAGAATGTGGTTTTTCATTTAGTTTTTGCAAAATCGGGATCCCTTTTTTGAAATTTGCTAGAGGAAAGAAGCTAAATGAAGGTACCCAGGCTCTCCTGGAGAACTGGCACAGTTTTTTGTTAGAGCAAACTGGAGGCTGGTTCCGCCAGTGAAGTCTGCATCGCAGCCAGCCCGCCTCTGCAGCAGGCACCCGCTCAGAGAAGGCAGTGGGGGGACTGATCTGCAGGCAGCAGAGTGCTTAGAACGTTGAGAGTATTGGAGATAGATTCTCAAGGAAGAAACCTTCGCTCTTTTTCTTCTGAATGGTCATTTCAGTACTCAAGTTCTGCTACAGAATGTGCTGATGACAGAATTATGCTCCAAGTGGAGCGCCTTGTTGCTGCGTGCCCCTTGCAAGGCAGGTTTCCAATTCCTCTTCTTCATTAGCATGGATTTATGGCACGTTGATCCACACAGTCTATGGAAATCTGCCATTAGCGGAGGGCTCCTTACTCTAAGAATATTCCTGTGTACCTTATAATCACTGTGGGACGTGCTTAACAGAAATCACCTGAATTTTCACAACATCCTATGAAATGGGCATTGTTATTCCATTTTACAGATCAGCAAACTGAGACTTAAAAGACAGGGTGAGGAGTTTTGCCAAGTCACCAAGGGAGTAAGTTATCTAGTTGAGGCTTGACTCTAAGTCTTTCTGATTCCAAAGAGCATGCTTTTAACATTATTCTGTATTGCCTCCAAAAAAATGCTATGATAAAAATGAAAGGATTCGCACGTGTCTTTTTCAAATAGTATACTCCAATCATGCATTGAAAATATTTTTGTCTATACACATTTTATGCCTGCAGATTTTCTCAGTGAAATTTCTCAGAGAGTTAACAAACTCCTGGATTAGTAAATGACACCCTGATACGTGTTTTCCCTTTTTTCTTTGTTGTCATCCATTGGAAGCTCGTGAGGTTAGACTGCTCCAGAGGGCATGCACCCAGCTGTTACATGCCCTGCTCCCCCATAAGGATTATGTCAGAGGGCAACGAGCAGTGTCAGACACAGCGACTCGCTTCTCTTCTCTGTCAGCATCATCAAGTCCCAGATCTCTTGTGGACTGTTACAAGCTTCCAAAAGTAGAGCTTCTGCACATACTTCCAAAAGGCCTCCTCTGGAGTTTTTCTTTGATGCCTTATGCCGTGACCTCCCCTCCGTATGCCCTGGCTGTATCCCCTGGCACTGGGGGCCTCCTTGCTTGAGGACTTTTTGTTGTGTAGCCATAGTGGCAGCTGCAGAAAGAGCCACTTCTCTGTAAGTTTCCCTCCATAAATAACACTAATTATTGGAAAGCTATTTTCTTGTCAATGTGAAGTCGTGGCAGTGTTGAGGTAGACATTAGAAATGCACTCTGAGATGGTCATACTTCCACACTAAAAACTACCAAATTCCTGGCACAATGAAAAGTGTCTTCTCACTTATAGCACGCAATCCCCTGGCAGTGCTGAGGAGAACACATAAATACTGACAGCCGTGTGACACCTGACTGCCTTTGCACTCAGTACCATGTAATGTGTGGTGTCCTGACGAAGCAGGTGCAGCAGATGTGGGCCCCGAGGTGTGGCGTGCAGTGCTGTCTATAAGATGGGGCATTGCAGCTTCAAGCCTGCGGCACTTGCCCAGAGACGGGAGGGTGAATGGACCAACTTTAGAAAATGAGAAAGTAGTAGGTCAGCATAATTCCTTCCACCAATGTTGAACCATCCTGGGAACATTCTTTCTTCATTCAATCAGCAATTTGTTTCTGGCATTCTATAATTTACCTACTTGACACCCTGTTAAAAGGAATTTGTTTTGAATGACAATGTCTCTAAAAGTTTAAGGACGATACAAATTCGTTAAGCAGTTAGCCAACCTCATAGGTATGTCTCAAATATAAAGCCAATGATTTGCAAGGAAGCTTAGATTTTTATCTAGATGAACTTCCTCATTTTATAGAAAATTAATTCCAGAAAGGTTAAATAATTTACTCAGAGCCCATAATTATGTAGAAAGAATAACATTATTAACTGTCCATCCTGCTATAAGCAGGCTGAAATGTGTAGATGAATTATTGCAAACGGAGAAGACCACATGTGTTTCCAGTAGACCTTTTCCTAATATCCACTTTATTGCCCACGGATGTTCCTTCAAACATTTGTTTGGCTGTGAATGCAAAGGTACGATTTTAGAAATTCGGGAGAAAGGTCGTACTTGTTCTTGTCCACTCTGAAACGGGCTGTAACTCTCTGGTTGCGTCCCCTCCCTCGGCCTCGCCCACACCATTCTCTCCTGACGACTGGTCCGGCGGTTCACAGCGGTGCCCACGGACAGGGCTGGCACGCTGACTTCTTCCCCTGAAGGCGTTCGGCTTCCCCTGCATATGCTTTAGATGGCGGCAGAGAGGGATGAGTCTAGGCAAAGGTTGACTGAAACACACATTAGTTAAGAATTTAAATAAAAACCTATTTAAAATGTGGATGACTTGATTCTTGTGGGGTAGTTTGCTGCATAACTAAAAGAAGCATGACATAATTTGCCTCAGTAGTCTATGTGTCCTCTCCTTTACAACCTGCAATCCTGTCCACTCTCAAATCAGCTGCCAAGCCTAGGTCCCCAGCAGAAGCACGCTGTTGACGCCCTGCTGGAATGCGTTTGGCATTAGGACTTCCTGCAGCCGGCCTACAGGAATGCACTAGTGGATGATGTGTAGCATGATGTGTGATCTCTGACATTCCTTATAATTCTTCTGTTCTCATCTCCTTTTTTTCCTCTCTATTTCAATTACTTTGAGCAGCATCAAGAAAAAATTACCAATCCACCAAAATGAGTAAGTCCCCCTGTGAAGCCATGAAATGCTTGCTCTACATGGTGCCATTTCATGCTTCTGCATCCTAAACTCTGGCCATTTTCTCCTCTGGGAAAAATGTCAAGTTTAGGTGTCGATAGCTCTCATTACTGACTAATCACTAGCATATGAATTGGAAAAGCTAACAAAACCTGAGTTGACAGTTTGTTTATAGAAAGAGCTTTAAAAAAAAGTGACAAGACGCTAACAACCCCACATTGCAAGGCCTGCGTACATGCACTGATTCTCATTTCCGTTTACCCCCCTTTTCCTTGCCCCTCACTCACGTCTCTCCTGGCCCCTTCCCGTTCTGACTCGGCTGCTCTGCCAACAGACTGGCGCACCCTGAGGGAAGCCTGCCGGACCTCACCATGATGAACCTGACCGCCAGCCTGCAGGCGCCGGAGATGGGGAAGCCGGCAGAGCCTGGTGCGGAGAAGCTGGAGGGGTGCCCTGAGAAAGCCGAGAAGGCTGAGCTTGGGAAAGACAGTGAGGAGGAGGAGGAGGAGGAAGAGGAAGAGGAGGAGGCAGGGACGTCAGGTAATCTGCTCACTACCAGAAAATGCTGGGCTGAGACTGAGCGAATGCAACACTGACTTACTCCAAATGGATATATATTTGACCAAGTTGTGAAATAAAAATTGGGGTGTGTTTTATTTATTTCGGTTGCTGGAGTCATAACACTCCTGTTCCAACAATTTTCTTTTACTTCTGACTTAGAAGAAGAGAGCAGATGGCTGGTTATAACTATGGATCCACCAGTGGTGATCCTGGCGAGATGCCGGAGGGCTGGCAGTTACCCAATACCCAGTCAGAAAGCTGAGGCCGGGCAGAGCAGAAACAGGCAGCTGTGTAGAATTTCTGAAAGTTCTAGACGTGGCCTTTTCAAACACATCCTTGAAGAAATCATTCTGAGGCTTTCCAGGAAACTGATCATTAAGAATATATTTCTAGTTCTGTTCTTGTGTTTTAGGACATAGGAACCAGAGGAGAAAATGAGCAATTGGATAATGATCATTTCTAGCCAACTCCTAGAGATTTTTTGTTGTAATTGTTATTTTAGGTTTTCCCCTCTTTGTTCTTTAGGCTCTTCTTTCCTATCTTTATTCACAGGCTTGAAATTAATGTTTTAAGAGGGCCTGATGAGAATTAGATGTCCTCGGTGATCAGGACACATTATCTGACAGAGAGTATAAAAGGTGAAGAGTTTCATCTGTTTGGCAATTCCCAGAAAGTCGGGGAGGAACCAGAGAGCATGGCCTTTGGGGGCGTTGTCCTGGGGCTGCCACAGTGAGAGGCTGTGCTTGTCTTTGCTGGTGCTCTGTGCTTTACAAAGTGGACAATAAAAGAGCAGCGTGAGGTGGAAGATCCCTGCCAAAGGCAAGCTCCCCAAAGCTGGCCTCCTTTGCCATCATTTCAGAAGACCTCAGGAGAGGCCCAGAAGTGCTCTCTCCGTGTCTGAGCATCATGGTTCCTCAGTGAGATGGGAGAACCCAGCTCTGCAGGACTGAGGACTCAGGCCTGGGACTTTGCTACACTCCTTGAAGACAGGTTTGGAGCTGTACTAATAGGATCTCATGGAAAACTGGACTGCACCTTCTCCTTGCACTCCCTCTTGTACCTGCCACCCACACCTCCAAAGTGTGCTCAGTTATGAACTGAATCTTTGTACAGATATCTGAGCCATTTTGTAAATAAGCATTTTTCACAATAACTAAAACCTTACTTAAACTTTCAGAACCAAGCACAGTGACTGTTCCAACCACCCAGCCATGTAAAGAAGCTACTGAGAGACACTGGGGTCCTATCTGCCTGGGCTTCTGAGCCTTTGTTGACAGATGTGGTGATGTGCTGATTCCACAAAACAGCCCTCTCATGACTGTCCTTCAGATTAACCAGGACGGTCCTTCCAGACAGAAGCATGAGGCTAGTCTACAAAATAAGACTCCCTAGCACAAGGGGGGAAGAAGAAAATTATTAACTCAATTAAAAGTTATGATTAAGAGGCAGCCCTGATGGCCTAGTAGTTAAAGTTCCACGCTCACTGGTTCAGCGGCCCTGGTTCGCTTCCTGGGTGTGGAACCACACCACCCATCTGTCAGGAGCCACGCTGTGGTGGCAGCTCACACAGTAGAACTAGAACAACTTACAACTAGGACACACAACCATGCACTGGAGCTTTGGGGAGGAAAAAAAGAGTTATGATTAAAATGAGTGTGATCATATTTCGTGAACTGAGACAAGTCGTTCAGATCCTCAGTGTTCATTTTCAGTTGCAACAAGGAGCCAGCCCTTCCTGCCTGGCTTGCTCTTCCAAGGTGACTGGTGAGCTTGATCCTCCCCCTAGTTAAAGAAAACTGACACTTCTGCAAGCACTGTTTTGGCAAGAAAAATGTCATTTAGAGGGAGCTCAGTTACTTAATCTTCTCAGGAAATTAGGGCAGTATAGCTCAGCCTTCAGAGTAAATAAGATCAAAATTATTCTTCACACTAATTTAATTAAAAGGTGGATAAAAGTAACCTTGTTCCTCAGAGTCTGAGTGTGTGATGTCCAAGTCATCATCATGCTGTGGGCTTCTTAGACTCCCCTGCCTCCAAATGTTGGTATTCTTAGAATTCATCCACTACTGTTATTTTGCAGCATCTCATTCCAATCCAAATGCTATGAGATATGCTTTAAATAATAATAATTAAAAAAAACACCTTTTGATGCTCTTTGGTGAATTTCCTATTTTGCAGATTTAAGGAACAAATGGCACCTGGTGATTGACCGCCTTACTGTGCTCTTCTTAAAATTCCTGGAGTATTTTCACAAGCTGCAGGTGTTCATGTGGTGGATTTTGGAGTTGCATATCATCAAAATCGTTTCATCATACATTATCTGGGTTTCTGTGAAAGAGGCAAGTGCACGTTTGCTGTATCATCAGGCCAAACAGAGCCACAGTAGGTCATCATTTTCCTTTTCCCACTGTCCATGTTTTTTTTTTAAATGTAATTCCCATTACATTAGAACACCCAGGTCCTAGGATAGGTGCATACACTTTGTCATACAGAAAACCAAAGGGCGGGTGTCCTGAGAAGAGGGGAGCATAGTGGAGAAGGGGGCTCCTGGCTCGCTTGCTGACTGGCTTGGTCACAGTGCACGGGTTCTTTCTTTTCATCCAGCCTTTATTGAAGTGCGTGAGAGCAGGTGCCGGTCTGACTGCACATGGGAGTCTGTCTCCGCAAATTCTTCTGAGGAAATCAGTAACATTCCAGTGTGTGTTACCAAGGAAACTCAGGTTCCAAAATTTAGGAAAATCTTTAGTGGAGCTCACTCTGTTTATTACTGGTTTTTTTCAGACAAGACACACAGTCTTTCAACATTGTAATTGCACTTCTGCTTTCTCATCTGGAAAGAGGAGAGTCATCATTCAGCCAGTAATTATTTGATGTTTACTGTGGAGAGATTAGCGTTCTTTCAATTTATCAGCAAATAATTTTCACATACTTCTAATGTCCCTGGACTATTTTTGAGTTGGTGACAATTCAGAGAGTCTGTGCCCACTAAAAATTAAGTCAGGGAACCACTGCCAATAATTTTCAAAAAGTTAAATAACAACATAATGTTACAACTATAATACTATAAACCCCAAAAGTTTCACAAGTAGGTAACTAAGGGATAAACCTTAATTTAAATGCTCCAGTCTAAACCGGAGCTTTCTCCCATTTCGTACAAATCATCTGAAATGGATGGGAGACCATTGCCAGGTGGGAACAAAGCAGAAACCACTCTCCCTGTGGGACTGGTGGCAGAAAATGACATATGCTCCACTGTTAAGTAACCACGTCCATACCTTAATTAGAACTGCAATCTAGCCTAATATGTATATTAGTTGAAAACGAAAGAGCGTAAGCATTTTAACTGTACAGGAGAACTGACCAATTCGGACAGAATCTGAGGGTCAGAATATTAAGGAGCAATGAAATTAAGATTAAGAACAAGAGAAGGCATTTGGCTAAAAATGAGCAAATGCCGTTTGTAAATTAACCAAATCTGAGGTCCAGATGACTTGTGATGGCATGAGAAGTTGTGTTGCAGAGTTGTGGAGGCGTATTGAGACAATTTGATGATGGGAGTGTTAAATGAAAGAGAAATGAGTGCTATTAGGGCACAGAAAGTCCACTCTCAGTGATCCATCCTAAAGAGTTCAGAAAGACAAAGAGGTGTTCAGTGACACCACTCTCTTACAAATCCTAAACAAAAGGCAGACATAGTTTTTTAAAAATCATCTTTAATGAGCCTCGAGCATATCTTGTTAATAGGCTGTCAAGACAGTAAAGTCTCATGACCTATTCATCCTATTACACTATTAGAAAAATGGCTTTTGATCGCATATGAGCAATTCCTTCTCTATGATCCACACGTTGTGCAGACTTCTGGAATTTTCATTCCTAATTCCAACTCTCTCCTCTATAACTTTAAAGCATGTCAGAGACTCATGAATCAGAGCAATTGTGCTCCTGCTGCTACTTGCATCTGCCGGAATCCCATTGTTGTATGATGGTTTCACCCCCACGTGTATCCCCCGAGTTCCATATGATGTCATCCCACGCACCGAAAAGGTTTCCTCACCCAAGTGGGAGTTACTGCAGGATCCTCGGATCCTGTCACCACTGAGGTCTCTCCCCTCCCTACACTGACTTTGGACTCTGGACTCCAGTCAACATGTTCACAGCTAATTCTTATTAACGTCCTTGGAGCACTGAGTGATCGGAACATGCGGGGCGTAATTATAAAAACAACTTTATTTCAGGTCTCTACTGTCGCTGTAAAATGTATTCCAGAGGGAAACTTTTCTCCATGCTCCGGAGTGCAAAACACTTTCTTATCATTCCTAGGACATGGAAAGTCCTCTAGTTACCTTAAATAGCAAGCAAAAGCTCACTTCATTAATTAAAATTGTCCAGCCACAGGAAAGAATCAAAACTCTGCTCTCTTACCCAGCTAGAACCATGTCCTCTTCTGGCTGCTTCTTTCTTTCTCCCATTTCTCTCCCTTCCCTGCCTCCCCTGCTCCAGTGAACTAACGTCTGTTACCAGACTCCCGGCGAGTGGGCCAGGTGAGAATGGGGGATATTCTGATTTGACTTTTGCTATCATAGGATGGCCTCACACTCTGGTCTGGCAGCCGATTAAACCTACCTTTGTCTCATGGAGGCTCCTCTTCAGGGGCCCCAGCAGCACCTCTGGGGCTGTGACCCATCAGGCAGCCCTGGGTTCCCAGCGTCCGCTCCTCCTGGACCCTTTCTGGTGAAGCCCCATCATCCTGGCAGGCAGTCCCCTTGAGCAGTACTCAGAAGAGCTTCTGAGGCTCTCTGCCTCCCACATCAGGTCCAAGGGCAACATTTACACAGCCTCTGTCCTACTGGAGCTCCTGGATCCCAGTGAAGCCGCCCACTGTGTTCTGCCACCACAGCGGCCGATGTCTCCTTGCCAGCTGGATTTTCTGGGTAGAAGTTGCACACCAGTACACAAACTCTGTGCCCAAACTCCAGGATGCACACGCTGAGATCTCTGAGTGGTCCTGCTTGAAGCTCCTCACTTGGGGCTTTGGGTGGAGAATGTCGCATCCCTTTCTCCCCACCCCATTGTCTTGTGGTGGGGATAGACAGAAGCACCTCTCTATGAAGAAATCACTTCGCGCTCCCTCCTGTCATCCTCACTGTCTTGACTCATTTGTATCCTCCTGGAGGACTTTAAAGACCCCTAAATGGTTTCTGATGAACTGTTTTGAACTTTCCACATGGGTGGCTAGCACCTCGTTGTGGAAGCTTCTGTCTCCGTCTCTTCTAACCTGGTGCCTCACGGCACTTCGATTTGACCCCTTTGTCTACCCAGTACAGCAGGGGAAGAGAGACAAGCACTGACTCTTGTGTTTGGTTCCTGGAAGGAGCCATATGCCAATCCAGCGTGTAATGTGTCTGAATTTTATCTGATTGTAACAAAGGCGCACGTGCCGCCGTTCGCATCAGGGTGCCTGTGTTGCACAGTTCCGGGGACACTGTTCACCCATGACCAGCAGCCCCCAAGGTTGTGCACCTCTCAGCTGCTGATTTATACCTGCAGGGGCCTCTGTGCTTTGGAGGCTTGACTCATCCCCAGCTGAGAAGCCTGTCAGCAAGGGCAGGTGCTACATATATTTGCCATTAATAGCTTCTTAATTTTGATTAACACAAGAAATATCCTTTCTCAAAAATTGCTGATCAATAAAGGGCAAAATGAGAACAAAGTAATATCCGCAGTTAAATCTTCAAGAGGTGTGGCCACCTGCTTTGGGTTCAAACCATCCCCATCCAAGGCCCTCAGGAAGGGTGCTTGTTTTCACAAACATTCAGGGTGATTTCTTCCGAAAATATTAAACCTTTCAAAGGTTATCGTCCTGGGCATCTGAGGAAGAGGAGCCTACTGGGGAAGAATTTGTCACAGAAACCTTTCTCTTATGTCAGCATGTGTTACTCAGAGCAACGCCACTTTGGAATGACCTAGATTTAAAAGTATATGTAACATTCTCTTCTCCTTTTTTATATGCAGCTATGTTTCTAATTTCAAAAGCTTCCTAGAGAGCTCTGTGAGATCACGTTATTCCTTGAGGAAGGAGGTCATGCCTCATTTCTTTCAGTATCCTCAGAAACTCCCAGAGGGCTGGCCAATTGTGGAAGCCCAATAAATACTTACTGACTGAGGGAAGGAAGTAAACAGAAGAACTCTGCGAGCTTGAGATTTCTCCTAGAAATCAGTTGCTGTTTCATTATTATTACAACTTTCTCTCTCGCTGAGCATTCATTTAGCCTTTATCATGTACTTGCCATAAATTACAGTCAACTGAATGCTTCCACTGTGCTTGGTGCCAGCGTGAGAGCATGACAGACACAGGTCCTGTCTCAGCTCGCAGTCTGATGGCCATGGCTGGTAAATAAAAGCAAAAGACACTTGAAGAGCTGGGTTAGAGGTGTCCCCAGGAAGCTCTGGGTGCACAAGGAGGGGGCACTCCTGTGAGTGGTTGCACTGGGTGGGTGAGCATTGAAGCTGTGGGTGCTCTGAGGGAGAGAGGGAGGCCGGGGAGCCACAGTGCCCAGAGGCTCCTCTCTTAAGATAGTAACCTCAAGAATAATAAGAATCACCTGGTCACTTGTTATATACGTGGACGACCAGGTATTTCCCTAGAAATCCCCAAACATCAGGTATTGGTTGGGGCCCAGGTATTTGTCTCTTTGATTTTCATGTGCATTCCACAAGATTTCTGTCGTCAGTGAAATGATGAGACCCTCATGAGCCATGTTTGCATGGAACGAAGTGTCACACTTGTCTGAGTGCCAGTTTTCCTATTTGTAGAATGATGAAAGTAAGAATGCCCACTTCACGGAGGTTTTTCAGTCCTTATCTTACTTGAGTCTCTCCGACGTTGGATGTCGGTGATGTGAGCATTTGTTCCCAGGTCAGCACGCGCTTCTGGCCCTCTGCTGCCAGGGTCCTCGCTTTTCTTCTCATTCCTGGGCTGCTGCTCCTCCACCAGCTCCTCTCCAGGGTTCTCCAGTTCTATCCACAGCCCCTTTTGTGATTCCAGACCCTCCATGGGTGCCCTCCTCCTCTCCTGTGGTTTACTTGCGGTCCACACGCTGTGGGTCAGAAGTCTGTATCATCGGTCCAGTCCTCTCTTTGAGCTGCAGACCTGGGCATCTGAACATGACCTCACTTCTTGCATGTCCGCAAAGCACCTTTACCTAAATATCTCTAAAACTAAGCTCCCACCTCTACTTCACTTCCTTTTAGAGCACTCTAACAGATTCCCAGGTCTGCTGGAAGGAGAAAATTTTTTCTTCTTCCAATATGTATTCCATCATGTGGCCAGAATCATCTTCCCAGAGTGTAAATATGATCATGGTAATCCTCCACTTGAAAACTTTCAACAGCTCTCTCTCATCCTCACAATCCCATGATATAAGACCCTTATCATCTGGCCCTGGACCACTTCGCCATTTCCTTCCCAGACACCCTGACCACTTGGTGGATTTCAGAGTCCTCCAAATGGACTCAGATCATAGTGCTCTCATGTTGGCCTCTAGCTGCTCCAAGGATGTCCACACCATGCTGTCCCTTGCCTGTAGGGCCTTGGACCTGCAGTCCCTCTGCCTGGCTCACTCCTGTCTGCACGGCAGGTACTCTGGGCAACCTTCCCTGACCCTGGCTGAGAGGACAAGCTGTGCGGCCCCGTGCGCCTTGGCCCAGCCCAGGCCGGCAGGGCTCGTCCTCCATCATATGGCCAGGCTCTTCATGCAGCTCTCACCAGCGCTGCCCCAGTATTTCTGGAGGGGAAGGATCCACTTGGGATACGTCATCTTGAACCTAGTTTGGACTTGATAAAAGATATTATCTTTTCTTCTCTTTCTCTATCACTCAAAAAACTGAAAGTTCTATGTAAATTTATTGTACTGTTTTTATACTCACTGCCTTACATACATAATAAAAGACATAACAAAGAGACTTAATTTCAGAATATCTTTAATGGGAGTTGCTTTTTAACATGCCAATTAGCATGACACTTGCCAATGACTGAGGAGGAGAATTCACCCAGCTAACCAAAATATGTGCTTGTGAGTGCTTTATAGTTTACAGGGTACTTCCATGTACAGTATTTCTTTCATCCTCAATTAATTCCATAAGGCAGCTCTTACTACCCTAATATTTCAGCACTTAATTCTCAGAGAGGTTCCTTGCCTTGGACAGTGACAAGCAATTAAGTAGAAGAGTAGAAAGGTAACAAATGGCAGAACAAAATCCTGCCCTGGAGTGTCCACGTTTTGTGTTTATAGTTTTGTAGGCCAAACAGGCACCTGTGCCTCTTACAGCCCACAGTGTGTAGCACGTGCTACATGTTCAATTTTATCAGTTGAGTGCATGCTGTTATTTGCACCTGATAATATTAAATCTTCCTAGGATATTCTTTTAACACTATGTAGAATAAATGGACATTTTCCATGGCTGAAGAAGATGGTGGTGCTTCTATACCGTTCAATGAACTGTTAGCTATGGAGAACTGTCAGAAGTGACTGGACACTTCATCTGATCAACAAACACACACAGTCTAAACCCAGTTGAAGTCACTGCCTTCCCTCTGGGCACCTGCCCTGAATCCAGATCCTATCGCAGTAGTGGCCCTGTCATCCGCTCAAGGCTCTGGCTCCCAAGCCAGAAACCTGGGAGGCATTCCTTACACTGTCTCCCTTACCACTCCCCACCTCCAAGCCAGTCACCAAATCCTGCTATTTTTGCTTCCCATCTCCAATCCACGGCTCCCCCTGATCTCTGCCCTACTGCCCGAGCTTGGGCCCTTGTCATTGAGCTGCTAGGCCATTGCAGCACCTAGGAACTGGCCCCCTGACCTCTGCTCTAACCCCCATTGGTGCACCTCCATTCTTCATGACACTTACCTAAATAAAATGCCAATCTTTCTTTAAGATTTCCCAGTGTAAATCCCTTCAGTGGCTCTCAATTTTCTGCAGAAGGGACTCATGGGCCATAGCATGATTTAAAGGGGTCCACCACATTGTGGCTCCCAGCTGCATCTCCAGCCACACTTGCTGGTGCAGTTCACTGCTTTCAACTCTAGAATTGCTAATTCTTGGGGGTCACCTCTTCCCACCACTCTACTTCCTCCTTTCCTGTCTTTTCTCGTATCCTTTACCTGGAATGCACTTTTCACCTTTCTTGGCCTGGATAACTTTATGCATCCTTCAAGCCTCAGACCAGACAATGTGTCTTCCAGGAACTGCTGCTGGAAGCTCCAGATTGGGACAAGCACCCTTCTGGATAATCTCACAGCAGCCTGTTCACATCTCTAGTTTAGCCAATGCTACGTTATATTGACATCATCTGGTTATACATCTGTCCGCCACCCAAGACCTATCTTAGTACCCCTGCACTAGAGCAATGCCTTGCACATGCGAGGAACTCAGTCAGCCTTTGCCGAACTGAGCTGCACTGAATAAACCAAGTTGCCACATTTTGTGGGTGTTATGCTGTGTTATGTATTCTTGTCCCCATTTCTCATTTTATGTTTTCAGGTGTCTCTGTTCAACTATGTATTTTTGATTTCTTGGGCTTTTGCTCTGCCATATGCCAAGCTACGCCGTCTGGCTTCAAGTGTCTGCACTGTCTGGACGTGTGTGATCATCGTCTGCAAAATGTTGTACCAGCTGCAAACCATTAAGCCTGAGAACTTTTCTGTTAACTGTTCCTTGGTGAGCCTCAGATGGGGAAGCTCCTTGACTGGCCTTTAGCCAAGTGAGGCAGATAGGGGGGATCCTGCCTCTGCAAGCATGTTCTCTCTGGCCTTTAAGTCACTAGTCTCACCCTTAAGTCACGAGTCTCTTCTCATGCTGAGATTCCACCTTCCCATCCCCTCCCATGTCCATTTGCTCAAAGCTCAAGGAGAATAATCTGAACTCTTCTAATCCATGGAGCCATTTTTTACTCCCTTTTCTCTTCTTTTCAGCCAAATGAAAACCAAACGAATGTCCCCCTCCAGCAGTTGAACAAGTCACTGCTCTACAACGCTCCTATTGACCCGACAGAGTGGGTCGGCCTGAGGAAGTCCTCCCCTTTGCTGGTCTACCTGAGGGTAAAGTCTTCATCAAGCTTAGTTTGTGCCCCTGCACAGTTGCTGTCTGGAATCCATTCCTTGAGACCCCTAATATCACGTTGGAGGGAACCTCAGCTTCTTACGTGACATTTGGAATCACCTTCGAAACAAATGACTAAATCAGTATTGCATTGTGCTGAAAAGAAACTGATCAAGTAGTTTGAGATTAATTGAATAAAGTATGACAAATATATTAACTGGAACATTATAGACCCACTAAAAGATTGACGTAGATTGATAATATCAGACATTGAAAGATGCCCTAAATGTATTATTTTATTTTGAAAAAAGCAAATTTCAAATGCCGTGCATAGTATGATCTCTTTTAGACACAGAGGAAAAAAATTGAGTAAAATACTCCAAATGGTCAGTAGTGATTATTTCTGAGAAGTAGGTTTAGCATTACAAGAAATTTTTGCTGTCTAAATTTTGTTTCTCTACAAATTTTAATAAAGAGCATACGTTACATTTAGAGGTAATCAAATAAAAAGAGCATATCTTTGAAGAAGGAACTCTGCAAACAGTTGTAACAAACATAATGAAAGCAATATACTTCAGGTATTCCACACTGTACTTTGATGGATAATCTGAGCAGTCTTAATAATATTATTCTGACAATGCACTTAAAAATAAAAGATTTATGCTCAACACCAGGAATTTTTAAATATATTAAGTGTCTCATTTTTCTTTGGCCGTGTAGCTTTCTAGTTTTTCCTCATATGGCAGATATCATTTGTAATGTACAAATAGTATCTAGCATAAAGAGCTGTTATAAGGATGAAACAAACTTATATTTGAAAAGGGTGATTAGAATAGTGTCTGGTCCATATGGTTCCATAAATGTTAACTAGTTTATTATCCTCACTATTACTATTATTATTTTATTGTCCTCAGCATGCCCTCTAGCCAGATTTTGGAGGTGTACAAAAATTTCCCCTCTAACGTGGATCCCACACTTCCAGCTTAGTCTCTTTGCACGGGTGTCCTTGTAGAATGCTGTAGAAGTGTTTTGTGCTTCTAGTTGCACATAGGCTGGCCCATTCTCCCAAAGTCACTGGACACAGCTGCCCAGTACAGAAATAGGAACATGCATCACCAGTCTTTTGTCTGGAGATTCCAGACCCTGTAATCATAGAAATGAGCCAGACTTGCATAGTGGAGATAACTCTACCCTTGTTATCTTAGAACAGAGAAAGTGAACAAGGAAGTGAATTCAAGGCTCATATTTTATAGAGGAGGGATTTTTATAAAGCATTGTCCTTTTAGACATCAAGAATGGAATAAAATGATTTATTATGAGGATTGCTTAAAATTACCATGTCCTAAAGCTTTTGGCTTCACACAACTGTGTTCTCTTGCTTCGTAGAATAACCTCCTGATGCTGGCCATCCTGGCCTTCGAGGTTACAATTTACCGCCATCAGGAATACTATCGAGGTCGGAACAATCTCACGGCCCCCGTGTCTAAAACCATCTTTCACGACATTACGAGGCTCCATCTAGATGATGGACTTATTAATTGTGCCAAGTATTTCATAAATTACTTCTTCTACAAGTTTGGCCTAGAGGTAAGTTTCCTTGTTGATGTGTTTTCTTTCTCATTTCTGTGAAAATTCCAGTAGCTGCTTTTGGCCAGTTGGCCACGGGAGCTTCACTGTGCATCTCCATGCCGTGATTTCTGTCTTCTCGGGATCAGCGGGAGGAGATCCCTGAAGGGTTAACCTGGCCTGGTTGAGAGTCTTCCAAGACCAGGTGCCATCGCCCCCGCTCTGCAGTGGTGAACTGGGCCACTCTGCATCTCTGTGATCTTACGGATGCGTGGTTATTACTTGACATTTTAACTGGTTTCCTATTAAGAATAAAATGTTGCTAATCTTCTTTCTGTTTTATGCATTCCGAAAGTGTAACCTTAGCCAAATGGACTGTTAGGACGTGCAATGGCGTGGTGGAGCCCGCCCTTTAATAGAGTATATTTGGAACACTGATGTTTCATGAAGAGATCGTAGCTGGAGTTCTCATCACCATCTGAAGTGGTTCTTAGTGACCTAGTCATTTGTACAGTATTGCTGTCCTCACAATGAAAGACACCCGAAAGAGGCAAGACTTGGCAAACATAAGCAGAGACCTGCCCTCAGGGCTGACAGCTGACGCCACTCCCCTTCCCTGAAACCCAATTTTTGTGCCTCTTTTCCTCCTCACGCAGACCTGTTTCCTAATGTCAGTGAACGTCATTGGGCAGCGAATGGACTTCTATGCCATGATTCACGCCTGCTGGTTGATCGCTGTCTTATATCGACGCAGAAGAAAAGCCATTGCGGAGATCTGGCCCAAGTACTGCTGCTTCCTGGCCTGCATCATCACGTTCCAGTACTTCATCTGCATCGGCATTCCTCCTGCTCCTTGCAGAGGTGAGCGGCTTCACACACCGCCCCCCCCACCCCCCGCCGGAGCCAGCTGCTCTTACCACCAGCCCCTCCAGCGTGGGCGGGTGAGAGAAGGGCCGTGAACAAGGGTATTGATCTTGCTCTCCACCACTCCCCTCCCTGCAGATTACCCGTGGAGATTCAAGGGTGCCAGCTTCAACGACAACATCATTAAGTGGCTGTACTTCCCAGACTTCATTGTGCGGCCCAACCCCGTGTTTCTCGTCTGTAAGTGCTGCGGCCCCAGGGCCGCGGGGCGCTGCTGGTGCTGCTGCATTTGCTAATTCGTCTTCGTGTGCTGTGCTTTAGCCCCTCTGCTTCCTCACCGCACTTTCTAACCATGCGAAGGCTTATCTCGATGCGTTAGCATCACAAGTCGTTAATGGCTTCTTCTTGCTCTATTACATTTGCCAAATTAATAAATAAACAATGGAAATACCGTATTCACTTTCATAATTTCACCTCCCAACACACACCCACCCTCCACTCCCCACACATACCTCTACTCACCCACCTTCTAGAAGGCAGACTGGAGAGGCAGGCCTTGTATTCTGTGAAGCAGTTGTTTCTGGTTGCCACCATAGACAGACCGAACCTACAGATAAGCCTGTGTCGGTGAAGAAGATACTGCCTAAACCGCAGATGCTCTAGAGCTGAGCTGCAGCCCCCAGCCCTGCCGAGGGTAGGCTGATGATCCACCGGTTGCAGCAGCCCCACCTATAGAGTGTGCTGGGTGCTCTGAAAACCAGGGAGTGATTGTGCTGAATTCAGGTTTAATTTAAAAAACAATGAAGCCACCTGGTGCTGGAGGCTGCCAGCTCGGCTGGCTGGTGGACGACAGCCTGTTCTGGGTAGTCGGACGCGAGGACAGCTCCACCAGACTCTCTGCTCCCACGATCACCCCACCATCTCCCCCTGCCCTCACCAAGCCTTCACTGCGGTGTCTGCTCTGAGAAGAGGCTTTAGTGGGGAAAGTGCTCAAAGGGCCTCCTCAGAACTTTGGTGGGAGGTAAATGCAAATAAACATTATCATATAAGCGAGTCCTGGAGACTGGTAATTGCACCTGATACTTTCAGTCACCACTGTGCAGACAGAATCCACGGGCTCTTGCACTAGGAGCACCAGGATGTCTGTGGTCCCTCCTGCATCACCCATGGTGGGGAAGGTGGACTTGGCCCCGACATAGGAATCCGGGAAGAATTGCCCTATGAACTTTGGGAACACGACTCCCTTAGGAGCTCATACCATGTGAGGACTCTTTCTTACATTGTGTAAACCCAGAAGATGAGAAGGTGGTTTAATTCTCTCTCTGTCTTGCCAGATGACTTCATGCTGCTTCTGTGTGCCTCCTTACAAAGGCAAATTTTTGAGGATGAAAATAAGGCTGCAGTGCGAATCATGGCGGGAGACAATGTCGAGATTTGCATGAACCTTGATGCAGCCTCTTTCAGCCAGCATAACCCTGTACCAGACTTCATTCACTGCAGGTAACGGTTGCACAGGTTTCAAAGCCACTTTGGTGTGTGTATCTCACTTAGAGTATCGACCTCTACTTCCAGTTTCTCTCTGCTAGTCTTGGGAAACTGATCAGCTGGTTGTACACACTAAGCAATAAATGCAGACAGGCGGCTCAGTAGTCTAGAAGCCGAGACTCTGAATGATAGTTCTGCTTCTGTATTTTCCAGCATTAACCAATTTTTTTGGCCTCAGTTTCCCTCCTCTTCTTCATACACAACTGACTTCATGCCCATAATACTGCTTCCCGGCAATCCAGCAGAGATACCTCATCTTTACCCTCTGTCTCTCCTCCCGTCCTCATCCCTCCTCCTCGTCCCCTCATCCTCCGTCCTTCCTCCTTATCCCCATATTCAGTGGACACCGAGGAGGACTGGTCCCCACAGCCCACCCTGTGCTGGCGCTCTCTCGAGCGGTCCCCTCCGTGGCTGTGTGTGGGCTCCCTTCCTAGCACCATTTCTGCCCTCCACTGCCCTCTGCAGTCTGGTGACAGCTGATCTTGGCAGTCTGCTCATCCCCTCCTCAGAGTTCATGTTTAAACCAAACTACATTTCTTGCTGTGCTTCCTTCTGCCTGCTCTGGGTTCCTAAGTCCTCATCGTTTATTCGTCTGACGCCCACTTTGTGGAGGGCACTGCCATCTGCCTCTCCAGCCAGCTCTGCAGTCCTGTAGCGCCTTTAAGACTCAATTCAACCACCAGCAGTAAGAGTCTGACAAATGGGTCTGATTTTTTTATGCCTCCTTTACCAGCTGTTTGTCTTTGGAGTAATTACTGAACCTCTCTGATCCTCCCTAGTTAGCATCCATCTTCTAGTACTGCTGTGAGGATCCGGTGAGTGGCTGCACATTCATGCGCATTCATGCACACTGTAGAGATGGCTGTTTTGTACAAGCCAGTGGGACTCCCCACTGAAATTAGCTCTCTGATTCTGACCTCCTAGAGCATGGTATTTGCACGGTATTATTTTAAGAACCTATCTTACCCCCTCAGTCTAAGGGATAGGCAACTTAGGGCAGAGTCCACTTCTCACTTATTTTTGTACTTGTCGCCATTCCCCAGCCATATGAACTGTTGGCCTCCAGTGCACATCACAGGGTTAACAGCCGGCGGCCACTGGGGGCTTCCTCTGTGCAGGCTGTGTTTCGGGCGCTCTGCGTGGATGCAGCATTTCACCCCAGTGACTGCCCTCTGAGTGGGAATATTATCCTCCCTCCTTCGTGGATGAGGAAACTGAGCAAGGGTTTGAACCCGGTCACTGCAGCTGCAAAGACTGCGTGGTGTGGAAGCATCCGCGCCTCTCGGCAGCGTAGGAGGCTCCATATACACTGAGTAAATAGTCCATGAGTTTGCTTTGATGCTGTGCTATGTAGACTGGAAGATTCTTTCATGAATTGAGGACCATACTAAACACAGCAAGATTTCTGTTTTTACCTCTTCTCTGTGGTCCTAAGAGAAAAATCAGTCCAGCTCGCCCTTTTCCCTAAAGCAAAGGGAGAAAAATACATACTCAACCCTACACTGTATGAAGGGAAAACCACATACCCACTGGAAAGCTTTTTTGCACCACTGATTTTTAAAGCTGTATCTTTTTTAAATAGAATTATTTCAGGATTTTAGATCTGTTTCTCAATTAGGACTGTCAGAAAAGCTACCCCTCAGGGGTCACCTGGGAACTACCACAGCCGAGAGCAGGAAGCGGGTGACGGCTCTGCTGTGACACCGCCCGTTGTTCCACAGGCCCTCTCTGCGGCTGCACGCTTCCAGCGGCTCTGGGGAGCAGCCAGGGCGCCCGCGGGCTGTTCAGGGGCCTCCAGTCCTAGGGACAAGCCCCGAGGGCCCGCTCACCTGCCCAGGGGGCCTTGAGGCTGGTGTTACTAGTGTTTCCCATGCTATTCTCACAAGTTTAGGTTTATGATTTTCAAACCTACACAGGTTAAGTGCTGAGCAGTGGGGCGGGGGCTCCAGAGCAGGAATTAACAACTGCAGGCAAGGAAGGGAAATTTATAGAAAGCACATGGTGCACTAACACGCACATGTGCTTGCACACACATAGACACACACACTCAAAAATGCCAGCAGCCCAATTCTACTGACTTCAGACCACACACGTGTTCCCATATTATGGCTACACTGAATCACTAACTCTGGTGATCCTGGGAGACTGAGAAATACTGACGTTTTATTCACTCTCCTTTGCGTACGAAGTCAAGGAAGGGTGTGATATATTTTAGAAAAGTATTCTGTAAAAACATTTAAAAGTATTGAGTATTTTACTCTAGAAAGAGTAAAGTTCGAAGGTTCACTTATCTGACAATGTACCTTTAAGGCACAACTCACCTCCCAACCATGCTGGATACCGTAGTGCATATTTTATCAAGAGATACTTATTAACTCTTACAAAGTAACTCCTTAGTCAAATAACTCACCCAGAATCGGTTCTCCTGTACTTCTCCCCAAACCTGGGACGAGGAACAGTCAAAGCAAAATCTCCAAAACAAAGAAGCTCTAATTAAGCAAATACAGATGGGACTTGGCCTGAGGGTACCGCTGCCCCGGGGTCTCCGTGACCCCAGAGGGAGACTCCAGCAGCTGCAGTTTATGGACTGAGCCTGAATGCGGTCTCGCCTTCCATCAGGAAGGTCATAGGGGAGGAGTGGCTCCCAAATAGGCATCCTGACTCCACCCAGGGACATGCAAAGACAGGGTATTGGAAAGATCCTCCAAGCCCCCCACGCCCCCCTCCCCCCACACTGTCACTGCGACGAGTTACTTCTCATCCCCAGGGAGACATTTCATCTCCAGTCTGTAACGTGGGTTTGTTTGAACCTATTCATTTCTAGTTCCTCGAAAGGGAGCCGTTCTTCCCCGTTCCCTTGCTCCAGGAGGCATCTGCATCTTAGAACCCCTGCCGCACCGGGATCCGTGCCTCTGTAGCAATGTGGGGACAGCTTTTGAGTACTCAGGTAGTAGGCAGAAAATCTTGCTGTTTGTGGGAAATTTGGCCCAAATACGCTGATGATAAACGTGCACACAGTGTTTTCACAAACTTACCTGCTGGCCCGTGACTGACTAGGTTAGGATTTCCTATAGACCAGGCAGTGTTAGATGAAGGATGAACACAGCGCTCACAGTGTGACTTGCGTAGCGCTGTCAGAGAGAGTCACAAGTGGAGTATGAATTTTTCCCCTGTTAAAGGAGGATCTCCTGACTCGATATTTTTGTATGTGTGTGCCGTTGCCCTCTGATGGTTCCGTTTTGTCTTCCAGGTCGTACTTAGACATGTCCAAAGTAATCATCTTCAGCTACCTCTTCTGGTTCGTCCTCACGATCATCTTCATCACTGGGACCACCAGGATCAGCATCTTTTGCATGGGTTACTTGGTGGCCTGCTTCTATTTCCTGCTTTTTGGGGGCAATTTGCTGTTGAAACCCATCAAGAGCATCCTGCGCTATTGGGACTGGCTGATTGCATACAACGTTTTTGTGATTACAATGAAAAACATACTGTCAGTAAGTGGCTCCCACCATATAACACATTTGTGGTTTGAGTGCGAGAGTAAACAGTCCATTCAGTGGTTATTAAAAGCCCATTGCTCATCACACTGCTCTCTTAAAAGCCCCAAATAAGATGCTGCAAACTCAGAATTCAAATGACCATTTATTACTCTTTGTCTTGCCATCTTAAGCAGAATCCTTTTTGCTCATTTCCACCATCTCAAGGTCACATGACAAGAAGATGTGTATTCATAGGAATAAATTCTAAAATGTAGTTATTTATTAAAATCCTATCCCTTCTGAGGAATAATTTGTCATCACTCATAGTTTGTCCTACCAAATGGCCCTTTTACAAGTTGAGTCAGTCATTGAAGCTCTTCAGAGTCATATCACATTGGGTTAAAGCAACCCTCTTACCTGGAAAGAGCTGTGGAAGTATGAAATAAAATGAGCACGCTTCTCTATAACACTGGGGGGGGAGAAGGCATGAGATGGTATACGCTGTTGAATGCATGGATGTTTTAAGTACCCATGAGGTGTGGTAAACACAGAGAAAATAGCTTCCCAGTTGCCTCTGAGCACAGATGCCCTGACCGGGGCAGAGCTAAGATAGCAGAGGGCTGAGGCAAAGCCACCTCCCTCCGCTAGAGTTCGGCTGCCCCGCTCTTAGATTCCCATGTTCCAGGACACAGCTTTTTCCCTGACCTGGTAGGTAACTCAAACTCCCTACTATCATCTCAGAGTCATAGAAGATCTTTTGGGCCACAAGGACAGCATTTAAGTTATTTATTGTTTCAGGATATTAAGCAACAACTTTTCCTGAGCTGAAGGAGTTAATCCATCTGTAGCTGGCCCTGACTTAAAGTTAGTCCTTGTGCCCACTACTCACAGGCTATAAGTGATAGTGCATTAGGAGCACAGAGATGTAAGGATTTCCTGCCTCTGCCCTTCCTAGCTACTTAAAGATGAGCTCACCAGGCAATTCAACTGTGAAAGCATTTGGTTTTTTTTTTTTCCTTGGCACATCCATTGCTCTGTTTAGAGGCCTTGGAAAGTCAAGTCTATGTAACCATGAATGTGTATTTGGATAATTTATTTTGTCTACACTCCGTTGAAATGTTAATTTTCTAGTTGATAGTAAAAGTGACTTTTATTCATCAATTTTACCCCACTAATATTTATTTACATTTGGGATAGTATAGAGAATTGTTGGAGAGGGTATGAGACAGCACAACAGAATGGCATTTCATTCTAAAGTCAGTCTGATGGTGAAAAATCCGTTCCCAGAAGCTGATCCCTACAGCCATTCCTGGAAAATGTATGGCTACAAAGTCCATTCATTCATTCATTCCCTGTGTAAAACTATATTGCAGAACTGTTCTTTGCAGTTTCATGTCTCAAAGAGCTAGCTAGTACCCAGGTTTTACTCTCAAGGAACTCTTCATCCTAAAAGGGAAGATAAACCTACCTATAAATAATCATAATATGATCTGTTAATGCTAATTATCACAAATTTTAGAAAAACAAAAGGGTTACCGAATATGTAATATCTTGCCTAATGAGTTGGGAACAGGCTTCTTGGAGGTGATGCCCTTTGAACCCATCAGAGACTTGAGAGATAGACTCAGAGGTGTCCTGGGAGACAAAGCGGGAAGGATATTCCCAACCAAGAGAAGCTGAGCCAAAGCCTGGCTCCATAGGACTGAAATATTAGTTCAGAAAGCATGTTCTGATGGTCAGGTACTCGTGCTGGCTAACTGCTGATTTAGGAGCAAATCCTAATTATATCCTCCTACCTCACATGTTCCCAGGAAATAAACACGACTCAGCCATCACCTTTATGTGTTAGCTTGCAATGATTAATGTTTGTTTAAACCTATTCCCTCTCAGGTTGTGAACTTAACAGAACTGTGACAAGAAATCGTTATTATCAGACAACCACATGCAAATCAAAAAGAAGATTTCTTTACCCAGAGAATTGGCCAAAAAAAGCCTCAAAGCACATACTCTGTTCCTATTCTAAGGACTATATATCATGCTGCTTATGTTTGTGATGATCTCCTGGCAAATAGCATAGGTTTAATATATGTGACTTGTGAGAAAGCAGCTCTATCAAAATCAAAGTCCTGGGATTCAGTGCTCACCCATTTGCTATCACAGAGTTGAGCTGGTTCCTACAATAGTCCAGATTTCCTCTTAGAAAAAAAGGGTACTCCGAGTGCAGGAAATTTCACGCTAAAGCTCCTCCTTTGCTCATTGGGTTTCATTTCCCTCAGGAAATGATGGTTCTCCTGAAGCATCAGTTGCACTGCCCCATGGTGACTGAACTTTTAGGTTCTGTTGGCACTTTCCACAGTCATTGGCACTGAGACTTTGTGAATTCTTGCACATGTTGGGATCACAAGCCATCAACCTCTTTCTCTGGGTGCAGAGTTTCAGAATTTGCCTTCCCCATTTGTTTTTTCAGATAGGAGCATGTGGATACATTGAAAAATTGGTTCAAAATAGTTGCTGGTTGATCCAAGCTTTCAGCCTGGCCTGCACCGTCAAAGGCTATAAAATGCGTAAGTATGAAAAGCAAATTTGAGAGTAGATGGACAGAGAAGGAAGGACAGTTGTATTGCTCTAATTTAAAAATTGGGCCAAAGCATGTAAAGAAAAGAGAAAAAAGTGGAGCTCAGTTCTGTCTCTGCTTGGAGGCTATCAGATTGTATTGCTCTGTGAATCTGTTGTCCGTAACATGACGTGTCCTTACTCAAAGCATCTTTGATTGTCCTCTAGAAACTTCCCAAGCCCTGGCAGTCCTGGGGATGGGGTTGTGGCCTACGAACTTTTTTGAGCTACAATTAGAAAGCGTTAGAGAAACCCACTCAAACCTGTGGTTGTTGCAGTTAGAATCTTGGGTCATCAAAGTAATTCTGCCTTCCAGGCTGTTCTTTCCTCAGGAATCTCAGAGAACTTCAAACTCAGGAAGACAGTCAGGAGGAGCACCAGGGTCTCTGTAGTTAGGCTCTCTCCGGGCCCGAGGCAGAAGTCCCATTCCCATCCCTCTGCTTCTTGCACTGGAACCCAGGACAACACCACACAGCGTTCTCCGTGGTGCCCAGAATGGGGGCAACTTGAACATGACGCTTTCTTCACTGTGGCTTCCAGTGCAGGCCATGCTTTGCTGAGGCTGAAGAGTCACTGGGAGTTGTCTTGCCTTAGGATCAGATGTGCTTCCTCGAGTAGACCATACTGCCTTAACGGCTCTGAGGCTCACCCTTGGGAGAGCCCGTTCCCAGAAGGGGTGCTCTTTTTGTACCAGAGTATTTCCTCTGACCCTGGGACATACCAACATTATTTCTCCATGGCCCTTATTAGGAGAAAGGGTCTTTTCTCCCTAAGAGAAAGAAATACTCAGGAGCCCTCCTTGGCAAAGAGGCCCCCCTGTGCCTTACATTTTCAAGAGTTCCCTTTGTGGTCAGCCTTATGAATCAGTGTCAATAGTGGATTTGAAGTGTGTGGCCTCCATTGTAAATAAATCCACTCATGAATGAATTGACGCATCAGAATGTTATTTTATGCCTGTGTGATCTCCCAAGTCTGATCATACCGCAGATTTTATAAAATAACAATGAAAATGGATGTTATTTTTAATTTTTTCCCACTTTTTTTGCCCCAGCTGATAACGATTCCTCATGTAAACTGCCCAGTGGTGAAGCAGGAATTATCTGGGACAGCATCTGTTTTGCCTTCCTCCTGCTGCAGAGGAGAGTTTTCATGAGTTACTATTTTCTACATGTCGTGGCAGATATAAAAGCTTCACAGATCCTGGCATCAAGGTGGGTCTGGCTTGGGAATCAAGTGGATCCTCTTAAGAAACCTGTCTGGAAGGAATACTGCACTGTGCTCTCTGTCTGAGCTTACTTGTAGAACCCACAAAAAATTAAGAAATTCCTTCCAGGAAAATCAGTCCAAGATGGCTTTAACCTAAAGCCTTTAAGATCTAAAATAGGAGCGTAACCAGAAAGTCTGTGGAGCCGAGGCATGCTTCACAGGAATGGGACAGGCTGCAAGGTCAGAGTGCCTGGCGGTCCAGAGCCCTCAGTACAGACCCCTCACAAGGAGGCGCTCCTTCCGGCCTCAGTCAAAGCAGCAACATGGGCCGTGTCAGGCTACAGTCTGGCCCATCTTGCCCCTCCCTGCCTCTATTTCAAGAAGAAACTCCTGAAAATAGAGGAAACATAATCACCTCTTATTCCTCAGGTCTTAGACGAGGAGTGTGTCCCTGAAGCCTGGTTCTAAATGCTTCTTCCTTGTCTTTCCTTCTCCTTCCCTCATTTCGCTCTCTTTTTCCCCAACAACCTGATTTTCTCTGCTCTGGGACGCTGGAACTACTGGGTTACTGCCTTTCTCTGGTTTCTGTCCCCAGCCTTGTGGGTTTACGGGAAAAAACCGGGAAGAAGACTAGACGTTAAAGGGAATGCCATTGAGATGGGGGCGGTCAGTGGCCAGGTGCGCGATCCCCTGGACTGCGGGGCACCTCTCAGAGACGCTGACCCTGCCTAGATCCCAGCCTGGGTCCCATCAGATCCACGGCGCTAACTAGCCTGATAAACAATGGGTTGTATCATATGAAATTGCCAATATCTATCATTTTGATTTGTAGTTTAAACGAATACATCTGTGTTTATACCACCAGTGTTCCTGGAGTTCTCTTTCCCTGCCAGGATGAACAAAATGTTTATTTCAAAAGTCTATTTATATGGAGGCAATTCCAAGCCCTTGTAATTAACTTGTAGCCAAATACAAAGAGGACCTAGGAGAGGACCTATGTTTAATCCAAGGAGCCCTGTGGCACCCTTGGCCCTCACTATGTAGATGAACAGTGATTTCATTTAATGTACAATATTGGCCCTGGAATTTACCATTGTAATTATTTTACCAGTATCCAGGACATCATCTTCCGAGCAGAGCACAATGTCTCATCCTGTGCCGGCAGTAACCTTGTTTACTTATGTATATCAGCTGGTATTTTTGCTGGTAAATGCATCTTTTATGCTTCCCATACACATTTGGTACTTAGGGGTCCTGGGCAAAATAGGAAGCTGGTGTCTTTTCCTCAAAGTTGTCACAGTTATTTAGACAGCATATTCTTCATGTTACAGAAAGTGATGGCTTTGGTTCGGAGTAGAGCTCATGTCTAATAAGCAGTGAACTCACAATGGACTTTCTGAAGAATAGACATTCATTCATTCATCCATTTACTCACCGCCTACTCTGTTACAAGGACATGGATGCTTGCCCTGCCCTCACAGAGCCTGCAGACTGGTGGGGGGAGAGACACCCCAATAAGCAGTCACAATCCAGCGTGGCTGGTGTGATGGGAGGAGACGTTCAGGAAGCTGTGGGATTGTATCAAGGACATATAGCCAACCGCAGGGGCAGGGACCAGGGCAGCCTTCCACTGTGAGCTGCTGTCTGAGGGGTGACCAGGAGTTAGAGGAGGAAGGTAGGGAGGCAGCCTGAGTGAAGGTACCGAGAGGAGTTTTGACTGAGGAATTGTAAGAAGCTCCGAGTGGCTGAAACATAGAAGTCTGAAGATGAAGATTGTGAGTGGTGAGAAATAAACTGGAGATGTAAGGAGAGGCCAGATTATCAGGGGCCTCATAAACCGTGTTTATGACTTTAGAAGTAATCTCACAGACAATAGGAAGGCAGGCTGTATTTGCATTTCAGAAGCTCACTCTGGTTGTGGTGTGGAGAATATATTAGGTATAAGCAGGACTGTAGACAGCGGGACCGGCTAGGTGGCTGCTCTGATGATCCAAGATAGAGATGATGGCTAGGACCAAGATGGGATAAAATAGAAAGGTATTGAGAGGTAAAATTGGCACGACCATAAAGTTGACTGGAAAGGAGGGAGATGGTGATAGAAAGGGAAGACTAGAGGATGACATGCCTAGGATTCTGGCTTAAGCAAATGGCGGTTCCAATCCCAAATGTAGACAACCTAAGGAGCTGCACACTGGCAGAGAAGGCTGCCTGCCGTGGGGGGTTGTAGGTCTCGTGGGCATGTGAAATTCACCCGGTCGGGAAGTGCAGCCGGCAGCTGAGTGGACAGGGGTGGAGATGTGAATAGACTTGAGTGTCATCATTACACAGATGGTATTGCAGCAGATGAGTGGTTGGAGCTGCCTGGGGAGGATGTGGAGAATGAGAAGAGGGCCCTGGGGAGTGTTCACATTGAAGAGATGGGCAGAGAAGACCAGGAACTCTGAGCCAGAAAGGAAGAAGGAAAACCAAAAGAGCAGGTGCCGAAGGAGCCTGAGGAAGGCTATTTGAAAGCTGAAGTTCAGCAGACGGGACACAGAAAGACGAGATGAAGGTTGAACAGCACAGTCAGTGACCTCACAGGTAGGGGGCAGAGCCAAACACCGATGAGCTGAGGTTGAAGTTACAGGCTTGCAGACGTGATGGCAAGATATTTGCCTATGCAGGGACAGGGATGTAAGGGCATGCATAGAAAACTGTCGGGTGTACACAGGTTCTTTTTCTAAGGTTAGTAAGACCTGAGCATGTTTGCCTCTTGTAAGCGGGATTCAGTAGCAGTGCAAAGGTTGGAATTCAGGCAGAGAGGATGGAGTTCCTCAGGCTGAGGGTGGGGAGGGACCTGAGCACAGGCAGGCGTTGGCAGGAGAACGTCACCTCTTCCCTGTCACTGCGGTAAAGGCTGTCCGCAGGATAGGTGGCAGGAAGCTGAGCAAATTATTGCTTCATGACTTAGGTTCTCTGGGAAGTAGGAAGCTGGGTCACTTAGCAGGAGAGAAAAGCCCTTGACAGATTTCGAGACTTGAGAAATGTGTGGGCAGTTTGAAATAGCGCTGTAGAGGAGCAGAAGAATCTCCTGTGAGTGTAGGGGCACAGCGGATAACCTGCCCGGTCCTGCGTTTTCTGCACCGCTGACACAGCCCATCCGAGCACAGGACTGGTGCGCACCATTGGGTTCCTACCGACTTGGGATTTGCCAAGCGGATGTGACGGGATGACAATGGGACAGGCTTGAAGATATTAAGAGAGGTTGATGAGATCTATGGAGACCCTTGAGTTGGCCTGAAAAGTGAGGAAGAACAGAAGGGCGTGAAAGGATAGGAAGAAGAGAATCCCACTGATGGGCTTGCCCTCCACCTTTGCATGTTCCCTCAAGGAAGCCCCAGCTCAGTGCACACCCTTTCCTGCTTACTGAGTAGAAAACCAGTCTGAATTCACTCCTCCTTTCGAATGTCCCCTCACAGGACAACCATAAAAAGGTCAAGTTAGTGACCCTTCACTGAGGTGTACGCTTCTATGGGATGTGTTGAAGAGGTTGAAGAAGTGTGTGGCCTTTAATGCCATAGAAAACACAAAGCATTTTCTTTGTGCTGACCTCCCAGGGTCGTGAGCAGCCCACTCCCTGCCAGGGGGAGGCTTGCCTTGTTGGTCCCCTGGAGGGGGCTTTGAGGCAGGACCTTGCAACACCCGCTACCAGCCAGGAGACTCCATGTTTTCTCTCCCTTTGTAATCATGCTCGAGGGACGGTGAATAACAATGATAAAACTAATTTGTTCTATTTCTGGTTTTCCTTTAGAGGGGCAGAACTTTTCCAGGCCACAATTGTGAAGGCTGTAAAGGCCAGAATTGAGGAGGAGAAGAAGTCAATGGATCAGTTGAAGAGGCAGTAAGGATGCTTTGTGTTATTCTGCTTCTCCTTTCCTTTTATTTTTGGTTTGTGTGATCCCATTAAGCCGGCTCCCAGCTGCTGGGGAGCCTCAACTCCCTGAAAATCCCATTCAAGTTAACTTTCCCAAGTATTTGCCCTTGTGTTGGGGCAGTGGCTTATGCCCGCTAGACTGAAAATGGAAGTCTTTGGAAGAAAGATAGCTGCAAAATTGTGGAAAAGGAGCCTTTGGGATAAGACGAGTCAAGTCTTAGTTCAGCTGCTTACTTTGGAAACTTGAGCAAGTCATTCAAATTCTCTGAATTTTAATTTCCTGTTTTAAATCGGAGTTCACAATCCTGTCTGGGTTTTTATGAAGATTAAACAAGTTGATGAATGAGGCAGGGTCTTGCCCAGTGCCGGGCACTTGGAGTGGATGTGCATTACATCTGTGCGTTAAGGGAATCAATGCAGAGTCCTCGCTTTGGAAGGAGCTGTAGAGATGCTCGAATCCAGTCTCTTCAGGAAGAAGCTGATGACCCATAATATTCAATGACTTAAAATCCACAACTAACTAGAGGCAACACTAGAAATACAACCCGTATCTCCCTATAATCAATTTGAAGCCTTTGCCAGCACACCTTTCCGGAGAAGTCAAGTAAAGGACTGACTCCACCCAGGAGATTTGAGAATTCCTTTTTTTTTTTTAATTAGCCCATTGAAAAAGAATTTTCCTGGAGTAAAATTTCCAGCAGTGAATGGAACTTTTGAGGATTAGTAGTGCTGTATATGTTTGGGGCCAGGTTTAAGAGCTGATGGCCATAGAATCAGAACCTAGCTACTTTCCCCAAGAAAATGCAGACACCAGGAAATTTCCCCAACTTTGCAAAGACAGCTTCATCCCTCTCTGACCTCATTTCCCAGCTTTGTTCCCCATGCAAAAATATTTGCCGGTACAAATTTCACTATCCCTCAGCATGGGTATTTTCACAAAGCTACGCATTATATAAAAAACACATATATAATTCAAATACAGTGTGGTATAACTGTTGCTCTTGTTGCTTCTAGCTAAATTGGGTCTAGAGAAATAACAAATTTATACCCACATTTAAAGTGTGTTCCTGATTTCCCATTAGTGAGGCCTGTTACTGTAATTTTCACTGAATTTTTCCATTTGTTTAAGAATGCAAAAGCTGGGAGAATGAAGGACTTATATTTCATAATATGCTGTGTTCAGAATGGCTGCAGTACAAGATATAAATGAACGTAAAGTACTGTGTGTCACCTTAGCATAATTATTATTGATCATATTATTGAGTAACATCTATGTAGTGCAAAATAACATGGGTATTTTTAAAAAAGCAAGGAGATACTCATTGCTAGTAAGCAACTATTCACAATTTTCAAATATTGATCACTTTGTCCATGATTTTGGCTTTATACATAAAAACAGAAACCCGACGTGCTGACCATGTGATGACTGTGGGTGTGTTCCTGGCATTGCTGCTGCTGCTTTATTTTGCAGGATGGATCGCATCAAGGCCAGACAACAGAAATACAAAAAGGGTAAGGAGAGGATGCTGAGCTTGACTCAGGAGTCAGGGGAAGGCCAAGACATCCAAAAGCTCTCTGAAGAGGATGATGAAAGTATGTGGAGACATTTCCCTCCTGTTCGAGCACCTTGACGTTGAATCATAGCATGATATTGGGCAGGGCTGTAAAATAACGTTACTTTTCATTCCGCCAATATTTTCAAAGTATTTTTTTAACTTAGAAAGTTTTACCTTCCCGTTGTGAGTGGGATAAGTTTGTTCCGTAAAGTACATAGTTAATGAATCCATGATTTTACAAGTATCGACCCTTCAGCAAGACAACTTTAATCAGCATATAAGCTAGCTTCTGTGTCACAGACATGTGTTTTTGAAGAAAATGGGCATGAATTTGCTTAATTTGTTCCTTTACGGAATATTTCAGATATGCCGTCTACTGTTGTCTTTGATTTCTAAAATTTTATATGAAAATGAAATATGCATGCATACTTTATGTGACATCTGAATGTAGTAGTTAGGATATTATTCATTATTGTCTGTTCCAATGAAGTTAAGATGAAATATATATTTATTATATCTAATTATAGATTTATTATATCCAATTAAGTTTAGAGGTCTTCTTATAGATGTTTACATGCTTTTCTATTTGAAAAGAATGAAGAAATAGTGCCTTATATTTTTCCAGTACATAGTACGTATTAATCACCAGTAAATTTATATTTTTCCAAGAATGCATTAAAATAATCACAGGAAAAATTTCTGGTTATTGGAATGTATGCATTTTAACAAATTATTTGCCACTAAATTGTTCTATAAAATGTGGATGATGCTTCTTTTCTGTTAACTCAATGGAAAATTCAATGTGAGATCTATTTTTTACAGAGAATCCCTTCTTTTTTATATTTCTTTATATGCCTCAGTTACTAAAAAGAAAGTGAAAATGTGGCATAATGTTGCTATAACACTTAGTATTTACCTTGTGAACCCGCCTGCTAATTCATGTAAACTTTTCAGAGTCAGTGTAATTCCTTTTCCTGATCCCTAATGTACTTTTGCAACTTAGCTAGATTTTGACAATTGCGTTGTTGAAGCGTGGTTTTCAAAATTTGTTTTCTTGCTTTATAAGAATTAATATTTGGACGTATTTTATTTTAGGAGAAGCAGACAAACAGAAAGCCAAAGGCAAAAAAAAGCAGTGGTGGCGGCCTTGGGTCGATCATGCTTCCAGTAGGTTTCCTCAATCCTCTTACAGTTTCATCGATTCTAACCCTTATATCCTTGACCAGAATTCGGGTGTCCCCGTGACCCGTGTGTTCCATGCATGGTTTGATCCTTGTGACTTGATAGGGGGTCAGAGTGTAGGAAAATTGTGATGTAGAGGCTCTCTGAGCCCTGCGGATCAAATCTGCCAGAGGAGACAGCAGATTATCCTGCTGGCCGAAGAAAGCCAGACATGTGTCTTGCATCTTCTGAGCACCATCTCTGGGCTCAGAAAGGCAAGAAGAATGGACTGCCGTGTGATCCAGTTCTGAGGTCTAGAGCTCTGCTGATACAGTCACATTTTGTGGCTGCAAACTCTTACTAAAACTGAGTTTGGGCTCCTCCCGGGCCTCTGATTTCAGGAGAAGCGTATGTCCAAAGTGTCTGTGACCCTTTTTGTGAGGCACTCGGCGTGGATGCCAGGAAGCCTTCCTCCCCTCACTCCCAGAGCTTTGATTGATTTGCGTGTAAGATTTTTTGGCAATTTATTGAATATAAAAGTGAGGATAACTTAAAATGCCTTCAGTTTCTCACTCTGCCCCCTCCCCAGTTTCAAAAAGCCTCAAAAACTACACTACAGATCCAATCCCCAGCATGTGGCGTGGCCTCGGCACCACGTGCAGCTCAGCTATGACCAACACAGAGCAAATCAGAAAACAGTTTTTGAAAAGCAGAGCTTCATAGCCACATAGAATTAGTGCGTTTCTCTCCTGATCATAAAAAAAAAAGAGGAATTAGGGAATTTCATGGCTAAATTTGTTCTGCTTAGCAAAGTAAATATCACTCATTATTGGCCAATGTTATTATAATGGAATGATCCCTTTCAATTTAACCGTTCTTAATTTTTTTAGAATATGAATAATCATTAATTATTTTGCAAATTTAATTGTAATGTCTTCAGTCTTTTATGTCTTATACTATGTCTTGATAACTATAGCTAATGCAATCAGATAAAGGTTGGCACCAAGGCCCATAACACCACACGATGATGCGAGCGCCTCTACTAATAGGATATTCAGAATCACTAGAAAGTCAAATCAGTCAGGGTCTTTTCTCCTATCTAGTTCTTAATGTCACCTAGATCTGGCATTGGCCTCTCTCACCCAATAAATAATTTTCTAAAATCAGCAAGCCAACTGAGTAAAGCAATATTCAAAATTTGCTCAATATACCTGGATGTAATTAAATTTATCCCAAATATTGAATTTTGGCATTATGGCCAAAAAAAATCCATGAGTTATGAAGAGTTTCATTTCATTTGATGTTCATGTCAAAAGACAAGAATTCAAGTGGAAATTTTGCGTGACTCTAATTTGTTGTCCATTGGCGTGTTGGTCATGCTAATGATCTGATAATGCAGTGCGCTAGCTGTCTATTTCTATCAAGTCACAAGTAAACTATGCCTGTCTTTCTGTTTTAAAGGGCCCTTTGCTGGTTTAGAGAGACCTATCCATTTTCAAAATTATGTTACTGAATGTTTTGTACCTTCACCTGGAGTAAATTCCCATCACAATTGTTGTGGTTGTCTTTCCTTTTCTCACCTGAACGTTGCATTTTGGAAGGAATTGGATATGGTCTTTGATAATCATCTTACAAGTTGGTAATACTTTAGAGAACTTCCTATAAGGGTTATTGACTTTAGATTTTCTGATTCATTTCACCCTCATTATATCAAGTTCTTGAAGACTGATACCAGACTAAATGTGCCTTGTTATAATACCTTATGGGGCAATAATGCAGGAATGTGTGTAATTCATAGCTTGGAATCAGATTCTGACAGTGGTGTTAAAATTTTTCTACAAAATGTATTTCCTTTCATAAGTTTGTGAGGAAAGGAAAGGAATGAATATGTGGTTTATTTTCTAGACTATGACAAGTTCCAAAACTTATCATTAGATCTGGAAGCACTTTATTAAAAGCCCTTATCCTGATCTCTTGAGTCACTGGGCTTTTAAATAGATATTTCTTAGAGGTGCTGAGCATAAGAGTAAGTGTAGTTGGAATACCCTTGAGTAAGTCAATTGACAATATAACGATGTTGCTATGTTGTTCATGTTATTAGTAAGCATTCAAGATCTTATCGTCATCTGTAGGTGACAGATCTCCCACTTCCATCCCTATGTGCACACATGCGATTGCATTATTGCTGTTCAATGATACCTTCCACTCCAGAGCCGTTCGTCTCCAGGTCAATTCAGTTCTGCCTAAATCAACACCAAGTCTTACTTTTCTGTTAAATATCTGAAAAAAAAGGGCCAAGTTTCTGTGCATACAGGTGGTGGGACTTTGAAAGTTGTTTTCACACTCGGTTCTCAGCAACAGCATCAACATCCATGACATATGTATGGACACAGGCTGGAGGCAGGATCTCTGTCTGAACTAACAAATGTATATGTAAGAGCTTCTGTACTTATTATTAGCAGACAGCACTAAAGAAAATATTGTCTATTACTTTCTTGGTCTCATTTCAATAACATTTTATAAAGGAATAGGAGACTTTTATCATCTTTTTTTTAATGTGTTAATTCAATTTCTCACATACAAATTGCTAAAGTTTTTTAAATGATAAAATCAATGTTATACTACTTGAGATGAAAACTGGGCTTACAGTGTCCGCATGAAGAAAGTTACAGAAGGTATGATTGAACACATTTAAGCTATTGTTGATTTTAGAGCCTATAATGAGGGTAAAATGCTCAATCTTGTAACACTCTGTTTTTACCAAATGACCATGTGACGTAGAGTCCATGTGACTTTCCTGCAAATCTCTGAGCTTATGTGAAGGCGTTACTTTAACGGGCTTCCTCACTGTCAAACGTAATGCTGTGACTTTGGTTTGTTCTCGCTTATTCTTACCTTATGTTGTATTGCATTTATTTCCTCAGGCCTGGGTTCAGTACTCTGAGCCCGGTTCTTTCTTCAAAGTAAAAATGACAGACGACAGTGCTTCTGTTCAAGGATATAAGGCCCAATTCATTCACTCTGCCTCTTCAGGGATGGAGGCTGCACATATGTCTGAAGTCGTGGGCGAAATTCCTGACCTTTTGACCATGTTTAGTGATATTGAAGCGACTAACTTTAAACAAGCCGAGGTTTTCCATTACTTTACAATGTATAGGTCCAACCTGACAACTGAAGACACCCTGTTAGTCATCCAAAAGATACCTCAGCATTTGAAAACTTGAATGTAACTTGAAAATATGAGTATGTTTTCATGCAATAGTGGTACAGTTCTTATAGCATCAGAAATGTATATGCTGGGTCTCTTTTCTCTGGCAACTTAAAGTAATGATCAAAATGATAAATATTTGATTTTCAAAATTCTTTAAATCTCTGGACATTTCAGCTCTCTCTGTTTCCAACTCTTAACACAGCAGTATGTTCTGCAGGGAAAATGTCAGGCAAGGCAAGGTGGTCCATACTGTTTGTGCTCTGTGTCTTATGGTCAGTACAGTTCTCCTCAAATTTTAGAAGCAACTGGGGAGCTCCTGGTTGACCAGAAGCCCAACAGTGGTAAAGAGTATGGACGCTGTCGGCCGTGCCTCAGTCTGTCCCATGCTACGCGTAGAAACAGCCAGAGTGGTGGTGGTGGTGGTGTTTTTGTGGTTGTATTTTTTTTATGTTACCTACCCATTTCCTCTTCATGGAAATGTGTGATTTTTAAAAAACTCTTTCAAATATCTTGCCATGTGTGTTATGTCCCTTGTGTCACATGTGGAGAAGCGAGGTCTGCACAGTATAAAGTGAAGTAGAAAGTTGGTGACACTGATTCTTGGTCCTGAATCATCCAGATTGGCTTTTCTACAACATTTTGGACCCACTCAGACAACACCAAATTCTCCTATTCACTTTGGCCTTGTCTAAAGGACCAAAATTTCTGAATTGTGAAACAATAATAGTTTTCAGTTATTTTGGCTGTCTTGGTAACAAAACTGGTTGCTGCAGAGTTGATCTGATGCATCTGTGTAAAATTTACAATGAAGAAGGATGAAAATGCCAGATGAGCCTGGTAGTAGCCAGTTCTCTTACGTGGCATAGACAAGGCCTCGTGCTGTGTAGACCCAGTCATGCCGATACCACATAGTGTTAGCCAGAATGAGTTCTCTTCATCTCTTGTTTTTTCCTCCCTGCCAACATTTCTTGCTATGGTCCCTTTGTGGACAATTTGTGTATCTTTGGGGGGGGCATTTCATTAATAAGCCCCCAATTATCTCATATCGCTTTCAAGAAATAAGAAAATATTTTGTTTTGCTCAGTGGTCAGGAGTGGAGATTATTATTTGTTTGAAACGGATAGTGAAGAAGAGGAAGAGGAAGAATTTAAAAAGGAAGAAGAAGAGCCTCCAAGAAGGTCGGCCTTCCAGGTAATGACAGGGTTGGGGAAATCACGTGCTTTGCTCGTTGGAAGACTTTTTCTCTGTGACAAACCTTAATTGCAGGCCTAGACTTCTTCTGCCATGTTCGTAGGTGGTATAGCTCCCAGAAGCGTCTAATTTACATCTGAAATTGTTTATTTCTCCTTAAAGTGTAATGCTGCTTGCTCTCAGCATTGTCATACTTACCGCCGTGCAAGTACAATGTTCCAGTCAGGTCTTCATTCACTGGCATCACAACATTTTCTGATGCTATAAACAAAAAATAAAGCTTCCTTGGGCGAACTTTATTTTTCTGTTGCAAGTAAGAGTGAAGAAGACTTCTGTGGCATTGCTTTGGATTGCTTGAGTGGACTTAGATTTTGATAAGTGAAATTGCTGGTCATGAAAAAAAAATGCTTGCTTCATTTTGAAATAAATGGTCATTTAAATGTTGCCTCAAATTTTCAAAATCAGTTTCATTTGTATTTCTAAAGATTTGAGAATTTATGGGAATAATGAAAATATCTAGCACAGTTCAGATCTTTCCAGCTTAACTGCCTTTCTTTTTCAGAATCTGCCGTATCATTTTCAGCTGTATGACTCACCAGTCTAATATAATGTAGCCGGTGAATATGTAATTAACACTTGTTAAAGAGGAGGCTTTGTCAGTAGAGTTACGTATGGCATGAAAGCATGGTATATATTTCTCTTATCAAGGAGCCCCCTCCTAGGACTGGTGTTTCCCATTAGTTGTACTACAAGGCACATAGAATGATGTCTATCAGCTACATGATGTGTCCATGCTAAGCCACTGTCACTTGCTGGCCAGGTCTTCTCAAGCTGGCAGGTTACATCCACCCCATCTTCCCAGTGAAATGGAAGAACTTAATTATCCACGGGGACACCTCGCTCTGGTGCTTTCTCACTGGCTCCATTGCTACCTGTGTGTGTTTCTTGATGACTGTGTCTGTGTGCATGTGTGTGGCTGGCTTGTCAAATACTAATGAGTTAACTTGTTTATTTTTATTCTAATGAATTTTTTTCTAACCATCACTCATCATGCAGCAAAGGAGAGAACATGATCATCTTCACCATATGGATTACAAGCAATGATTGACTGTATTCTTTATTCCTAACTTACAAGCAGAGCACAATTTATTCTAGCTTTCAATGATTGGCACATTTTAACCTAGTTGATGTAACTGTAGAGACAAACTCATACTGACGTCATATATTAAATTATTAGTTTTTGGTTTTTTTCTACTAATCCCTCTTGCTTTGTCCTTCTTTTAGAGAGCTATTGGGAAGTTTGCGTCAGCCATTTTAGCCTTGCCAAAGTCTGTCATTAAACTTCCCAAAACTATTCTTCAGTATTTAATCAGAGCTGCAAAGGTATTTGATGTTTTACTGGTGTGTGGTGTGTGGCCCTCCGCTCCTTAGAACGTTAGACAAGCAGATCCCCATTGCCCTGTGTCTGCATTTTCCCTGTTCTATAGATCGCTCAGTGAAGGAATTATAAGAATTTACAATATTAGGCAAACCGTTCCAAAATGAGTTCTGAAAAGCCAAATTTCTTATTTGATTCTAGTTTTTCGGTTGACACCAGAGCCTATCAAAAAATAGAAAGAGAAAATGCAGATACACATACTTTCTGTCCGTCTCATAGTTTTGCCTAAATCACGTCTCATTTTAAAAGGGTCACATCTGGTTGCATGCATCAGTTATGATGTGTAAAAAGTGTGATAAATTTTCTCAGAAAGCTGGTAAAATTACGAATACACGAACGAAAGACTCGTTTCTCTCCAGAGATCTTTTTGGCTTCCATTTACCATTCTGAATTCACCCAATGCCTTACGGGCCGTGCTGCTGTGCACAATCTGTGTGCCCCTCCCCGCACGCCCTCGGTTATAGTGCTGAGGAAACTGTTGAAAGATTATTTCTTAATGAATCTAATGCCCAAAAGAAATTATCTAGCTACCTATGTGTAATCTCTTCATTACTGAAAATCATAAATAATGAATTACTATTCTTGTGCTTTGTGGAAAGCTGCTTCTTCTGACTTAATCTGGGGCAGACACTGAAACTCTGAGGTCTTCACGCTCCTCAAGTGTTAAGCAGGTGGTTTGGATAGTGAGGGGGACCAGGGCTTCTCACAGTTTACCTGAGGTTTTATTTAAATGCAGGTTATTTAAATTCAGCAGCTCCAGTGGGACCAGAAATTCTGTCTCTCTCTCTGGCTCCCAGGTCCACCCTGAGCAGCGGGGTCCAGACCGCTAGCTTCCTTCCTTCTTGAAATGCCAGGCTTCTGGTGTTCACTGTGATATTCACTGTTACCACTGCCCCAGAACCCTTTTTCTTTTTCCTTTTATGACTACCATATGAGTCTCTCCATTCATCTTTGATAATTCGTGTGAAAGACTGCAGTGGAATTATCCTCCATCTTACTTTTAAAAAAGTCTTCCAGACAACATGAAGAAAGTCCTGGATTACACCTGAATCAAAGGACAGTTTATAAAACTTAACCATTTTCAGTTAAGGATCACCACTTCAATAAAGTTCTCTCCTGTTTTAAAAATTAAGTACTTTTTGCATAATAAGTTTTCAGTAAAATGAATCCCATTTTTCCCTAATATATATGATAGCATTTAAGATAAAGGTGGGAATACATGATAGTGGCAGTTTGGAGAAGCCAAAGGTCATTTATGTACATTTTCATGCATTTTTCTACTTATTCTTAGTAGTGCATGTGTTTAATTCCCAGAGAAACTCATAAAATTAGATGATAGTTACAGTTGCAATCTAAGAACTGAAAAGTTTCAGTAAAGATCTTCCATTTCTTAACTCTGTAAGAATTGGGATATTTACTCTTATTCCTTCATTATCAACGTTTTCCTGAAACAGTCAGACTGACCCTGGAACTATAAAATGTTTGTATTTCCAAACATCAACATTAAGATAATTTGCCTACAAATAAGGACTTGTCATAAGAGTCCCTTGCCCCCCCCCCCCAACCCCTTTACTCCTCTTACTTGCGTCATCTGAATTCTCATCTCAACAAGAAAGCACGGATGGACTTAATCATTTCGGGATCATATATAGAACCAGGAGCTCCCTTTCAATAAGACAAATTTTTCTGGCACTCACCCTTTCTACAAGACCTCTTCATTTCTATCCTAAACATCCTCTTCTCTCTCTCTTTCTCACCCTCCCTCCCAGTGATTTCATTTTTCTTCAGAGCAAAATAATTCCTCCAATTTGCACTCCTGTTATATTCACAAATGCTGAATTACACTTTTATTTTCTATTTTTGGCATTCTTGCGTTATCTAAAAGCAAGAGTATAATAACACTTTTTTTTAAAGAAAATGTCATTGTATGTTGCTCTTAAGCCTGAAAATTTATGTTTAGCCATTCAGTTTTTTTAAAGAATCAATATTTTGCTAAAGTGAATTTGCTTATTAGTGTGCTAAACCTCAGAGATATTCTTGATAGAATTCCCGATTAACATGCTCAATGTCTAGACATTTACCATGAATTCCCTGATTTGGTATTTGTCCTTCAAATTCCAGTTCATCTTCACATTTTTCAAAGTATGTTTTTGGCATAAAATAGGATAATTTTTTTGCCTCGTGGGTTTGTTATTCAGAAATAATACAAGTGTTACATGGTTAATTGCCCATAAGATTCAGATTTCAACCAGTGAGAAAAAAAAAGGAATGTTCTTTCTGGGTAACCTATGACCTTTGCATTTCCCTCTATGCAAAAGTTGAATCCCTCTTTATTCTTACTGACATCCCACTGCCAGTGGTTTGCTTACACTGTGTTTTTCAAAGATTTCAGAAATCTGAAAATAATATAGAATCTGGGTTTACAAGCACCCCCACGAAACATTCCTTTCACTTTATCATCATAGTAGAAAACCCAGCTTCCCTGAGACGCAGGTGTGTTTGTGGGTGCATGAGGAGCATGTCTGCTTGGCTTCGTGATCACAGATGGCTGACTTTGTACATCCAGGTTTTCTTTGCGTTCATCCTGCATGACTTGGGAGGCTGTTGGTGGGGGGCTGTTCAAAATTGCTCTGTCGTGGTTATTGGTTGTAATATACTAATGCAACTATGTTTCAGCTCTTGAATGAAAATGACAAAAGGCAACCAAAAGCACCATAGTTTTCCTTCCATACCATTCTGGAATAACTCTTTAACCTTAAAATCACATTTTTTTCCTTTCCAAATCTAATCAATCTACAAAGCCCTTTCTCAAGTTACTGGTAATAGCTGTTATTCACAAGAGAGAGTGTCAAATATACAAAACTGTTTTCCCAAAGTAAATGAGTAAAACATGTTATTGTGTTTTTGACTCAAAGTTTATTCGCGATGAGAGAAAACTATTCAATTTTTACTTAGCGAGGCTTCCCGTTTATTCCTATTGTGTGTGATGCAAGAGAATCAGTAACTAAGTCTCACAAAGGGTGGTGCCTTCGAGGACATTTGTTATTCTCAGAGCATCTCATGATTACCTGTGATAGTGAATGAAACCTATTCCTACAACACTATTTGCATATTTTATTTCATGATAATGGAAATAGCACAGGCCACCTCAGAATACTGAGGATGTGGGAGAGGGGTATCTAGTTTGTACTGGGGGAAAAAAAAAATATTTCTGAAAGTCAGGAAGCTTGGTGTTGGTTCCTTTTCTTTTAATTCAAACTATTAAAAAACCAGAAAATAATTGAACTTTACCCCTTCAGTTTGTTTATCAAGCCTGGATTACTGACCCTAAAACAGCACTCCGTCAGAGGCGCAAAGAGAAAAAGAGATCTTCAAGAGAAGGCCAGAAACGAAGGAGAAAGGGATCTGGGGAGGGTGAGTGTCACGTGGTGCAGCAGCCGCTCGCCAGCACCCACATTTCATTTCTGTGGCCCTCGACTACAAAAGAGGAACTGCAAAGACAGAAGCTTTGGAGGAATGAAATTCCTAACTTCTAAAGAGCGCAGAGGGTTTTACCTGTACTTGATTGCTCGTGTCCCACACTTAGAATACATTAAAACCTGAAATGAAGATGCATTTCATGAAATGGGAAGAGAGGGGGCAAAATAAACCCAAAGAAAGTAGAAGGAAAAAATTAATTTTTTAGGTAAATACTGTCATAGAAAAGAAATACAAGACCAAATCATTAAGTGAAAAGCTGTTCTTGGAAAAAGCTACTAAGAAAGATGAACCTTTGAAACTTTGATCAAGAAAAAAAGGGAAGGCACACTTAGACAGTGATCAGGAACCAGAAATGGAACACAACTACCAATGCCACATGCAACATGATACCGAAACACTGGAAAACATACAATTGGGACACATTTCTCAGGGTGAAATCATTTCAAACCACAACGAAACACAGCAAAAGCAAAGTGTAAGTACAAGTGGGGCACTAAAGAAAAATATTTTCATTATATATATCAGACTAAAGGTTAATAATCTGGATATACTACAAACTCCCAAAAATCAGTAAAAGAAGAATTGTACCCAATAGATGAATGGATATGAAAAACAATTCGCAGATCAGAAAATAGAAATGGCCAAAAAGTGGTCACCTTCACTAGTAATACAAGAAACATAAACTAAATATTTTGACATATTATTTTTTTACCTATCAGATTGGCAAGAACCTAAACATTTGATAATATCGCTGTTTAGAGCTAGTAGGAAGATAGCTGTTTGCAAAAACTGTGTGCAGTGTTATAAAGTAGTACATCCACTTTGAAGGGGAATGAGTCAGTATCTCGAACATTTTAAATGTACGTGTCCTACTACAGATCAGTCCCACTTTTAGGTATGTGGCTTAACCTCAAGCAGTGTTTGCACATGTGCACAAGAATCTATGTCCCAGAACATTCACCAAACATTATTTGTTAATAACAAAAATTTGGAAACATCCTAAACGCTCACATAAAGAAGAGTAAGTAAATTATGTTACCAATATATTATAGAGTGCTACTCTAGTTTAAAAAGTGAGATGGGTTACTTTGAACTGACTTGGAGGAGAATTCCTGATGTATTGTTGAAGGAAAAGCATTATGTTGCAAAATGGCATGCACATTATGAAACCATTTAGGAAACAAAGGAAACCAAAGTATCTCATGACAATATTTTGCATTTTTAATGGGTTCATGTAATAGTGTATAAGTGGGAGAGAAATATGAGGAAGAATACTTAGCAAATTAGTAACAGTGGTTACTTCTTGGGGTAGGGGTAGAGAGACTGAGATTAAGTGGTATGCTTAAAGGGAATTTTAGGCTTATCTGCTATATTTTGGATCTTTACAAGGAAGACATACAGATAGATGCCTTGTGAAATTAAAAATCTATTCCAAAAGTAAAAGAAAAGGAAAATATAATTTCTAATGGAGCTCTAATTGCAAAACCTCTCTCCTTTTTGACCATTCTGCTCCCTGCTATCTCCTGGTAACTTTAATTTTATTCTAGCTTATTGGCTTGAAAAGACAAAATTAAGACACAGCTGAGGTAACAAGTCAAGCAGTAAAGAAGTAGATGCGCAAGCTGCCTTGGAAACACAGCCCTGAAGGCGCCAAGTCCTCACACCATGTGGTGCTCACTTCCGTTCCTTACTGGCGTGCATACGTATGTGTGTGCAGGCATGGTGTCCTTTGTTTGTCTTTCAGAAATGAGTTCATGCTGTACAAAGTACTATTGCATGTTCATTAGCAGTGTATCGTGAACGTTTCTCCAATTAAGTATTCATAAAACTGGATCATTCTTTTTTAATAGCTGCAAAATATTCTATACTATGGATATGAATAAGTGCATAATTTACTCAACTATTCCATCACAATGGACATAAAGTTTGCTGGCAGATTTTTGCCAGTGAACAATGCTAGCATAGATATCCTTGCACAAAAATTTGTAAATAGTCCTACGTGTGTGTGTATTTAAATGCATAGCAAAATGACAAGAAGAACATGCATTTTCCACAGAATAGATGATCAAAAGTGAGATTACTGGGTTAAAGGGTCTGCCTTTTTTTACTTTAATAGATAGTTTCCTACAGGTTTTAGTAATTTACTCTCCAATATGTAAGGTACAGGAGTGTCCATTTCCCTGTAGCTTTATCCCAAAGGGTCTTATTACTGTGTTTATAGTTTGTCTTTCTTGGGGATGATAAATGGCTTTTATTTTCATTTGAATTTTTCTAATGAGACTTAACATTTTTTATTCTCTTGATAATTTGTACTTCTAAATCTAAGATTTAAACACTTTTATCATTTTCTGTAATATCGTTTTGTTGGGTTGTTTGTCCTTATTAATCTAAGGAATAGTTATATGTTAGGGATATTATCCTTTTTTCATGTCTTACAATTACGTTTAACAACCCAATGCTTATCTTTTGATTTGGTTTATGGAGTATGTTATCTAAAGAATCCTTAATTTTTTCTGATGTCAAGTAGGCTACATTTCTCTTGCGGTTTCCAGGTTTCCGTCTTGCTTAAGAAAGTCCTCCCTCCAGATATTATGCTAATGTTTTCCTATATTTCCTCCTAATTTTACTTACATTTTGAATCTTGTATATGTCATGAAGTGGAGACCTAGTTTGTTTACTTTTAGATGGCTAGACGATTATGCTATCCTTGTTTATTAAATGATTCTTCCTTTTTCTATTGCATTTAAATGCTGCCTTTGTCAATATTAGGCTCACATTTATTCTCATGTATGTTTCTGGACTCTGTGTTCTGATCCACTGTCCTATTACTGCTCTGGGTGTGTCATCTGTATTTGAGTCCAGTAGCTATAGAGTTAGTTTTAAAATTTAGTTCCAAACTCCCCTCACTAACCATTTTTCTTTCCAAAATTGTGTTTGCTATTCTCAGACATTTGTTCTTCCAAAATTATTTGACCAGTTCTAAAACTGTCCTCTAGTCATCTTATAAATATCTCATTCCTCTGTATCATGAAAACTATTTCATGTGCAGGTGCACCACTGTTTACCTACAGATCAAAGGCAGCAATAATTCAGTGATATTGGGACTGAAATAAATGTTTATTTACTCCTTTAATAAATATTTATTCAGCACCTTCTTGGTACAAGGCATCAGCTCTTCTCCGTCTCTTGTGGACAGATGAAGCTCGTAGATTCTGTCCTTCCCAGGAGCCAGGCGCTGATGTAAGCGCTCTCTCTATGGGAACTCATTTGATCCTCACAACAGCATAGGGGCATTTTATTCTCCCCGCCCTACAGGGATGAGGAAAGGAGGTTCCCGAGGGGGAAGCCACTGCCTCAGGTCACACAGCCATTCAGGGAGCCGTGGGCCTCAAATTCATACCAGGCGTCCTGGCTCTCGACCCTTCTATCTTAACCAGTAGGGAACACAAGTATAAGGAAAAAAGTCTCTAATGAAGGAAACTACAAAGTTCCACTTGAAAAGTAAGATGAAATAGTGTGGGACCAGAGAGAGAAAAGATTACTGGTAGCCAGGAGTGTAAAGGAGTGCAATTCTCCATGAAAAAGATAGCATTTGAATAGAGCCTGGCCCAGGAAAGCAAGACCAGGTATGAAAAACAAAGAGTCGCTCAGCTTAGCTGGTGAAGACAGATGAGAGACAGAGTAGAAAATAGCACAGCAGGAAATAAGTCTGGGAAGATTAACTGGAATCAGATTGTGAATGGTTTTAGATAGTGTTACCAGATAACTTCAAGAAGCCCAGTTAAATTTGACTTTTTTAGATAAACAACAAATAATTTTTTAGCTTAAGTATAATGTGGGCATATTGCATGGAACTTACTTATACTAAAAAATTATTTGTTGTTTATCTTTAATTCAAATTTAATTGGGTGTCCTGAATTTTTCTTTGCTAGATATGACAACCTTAGCCTCAAATAAGAAGCTAAAAAATAAAATGAAACTTTATGATGCCATTTTAGGGAGTGACAAACTAAAATCTGTAACGTTATCCCAAGTTATTCAAAATTAAAATTTCATAGTTTGTATCAGGAGTTGGCACACTTTTTCTGTAAAGGGCCAGATAGTAAATATTTTAAGTTTTGCAGGCCATAAGTCTGTGTTGCAACTCAACTCTGCCATCGTTGGGTGAAAGCAGTCACTGACAATATGTAAACAAATGGTGTGGCTCTGCTCCCCCATTAAAATTTGAATTCGTATGATTTTCACAAGTACAAAGCATTATTCTTTTTTAGATTTTTTTAACTGTTAAAAATATAAAAACCATTCTGAACTCACGGTCCCTTTAACAACAGGAAAGTGACAAGATCTGACCAGCGGATTATAGCTTATCACCCCAGTGTACATGATTCTTGTTCAAGAATAGAGTAAAGATAATCTGAAAGCTATGAATTCTTACAACTTTCCCCCAGGAACTCCTAAATAGGCAGAATGCCCTAGATTAATTATGAAATCTCTTTTAATCCAGGAGAGTAGTGTTGGTGTTCAGTTTACCTTAAAAGGATCTAACTCATGTTTGTTGAACACATTTGGCAGGTCCTGTGGAGTGGGAAGATCGAGAGGATGAACCAGTCAAAAAGAAATCTGATGGCCCAGGTAACAAATGAGGACAAATACGACTGGGGCTGTTTAACAATGACACTTGCCCGATGGCATGTAGTGGAAAGGTGCCTAAGAATGATCAAATACCGTTTCTGGACCACCGCGAAATAATCAGTGTCCCTTGAAATCTCCTCTCTAGGGGGGTTGCAGGTGACTCCCCCAAGTAGATCTGACCTTCACTGTGGGATTAGAGTTGGTTTGTAAATTCCTTTATCCAAGTACCTATGAAAAGGGGTTTTTGGGCGAAAATCAGAAATGTCTCATGGAAGCCATCAGAAGAGAGGCGGAAAAAATATTGACAATTAATTTTAAAGAGCAGAAAGAAGGAGTTAAATGAGAGCTAAGTACAGTTGGGGAAGTGAGAGGTCCTTTAGAAACTAGAGCCAACCTCCTCATTTTATGAGGGGAAAACCAAATCCCAGTGAGTTTGCTCAGGATCCCACAGCGGCTAAGTGACGGAGCCGGGGACAGAATCACTGTCTTCTCACTCTCAGCCCTGGCCCTTTGGGCTTCATGCAGTATGTGTTGGGAGGAAGACTTATCCATGCAGGAAAAAACAAAGGCAAAACAAAAGCTTCCAAATGGAATGAACCTAAATGCCTCTCTAGTTGCACAGATACGCTGGCTCCTCTGTCTCCTGGGGTCCGAACGCCTGTGACCATCATCTATCAGCAGGCAAGATGTTTGGGTTCTTTGCTCTGGACACAGTGCTTCCGAGGAAGCCATCTGCTGGCACAAAATGACACTTCCCGCAGGCTATCTAACACCATGTGTGGCACAATTCTTAAACCTGGCCTCCATTTCCAGATAATTTGACTCACATGTATGCAGAGCCAGATATTCTGTTATTGCTGCAAAGTTTTATACAATAATAGTGGCTAACGCTTTAAATGACACATCTTCTTGGCCAGTTACTTTTCCAAGAGCTTTAGGCTCATTAACTTGTTTAACACCCTCAAAAACCTCCTCCCCATTTAACAGATAAGAAACTGAGGCCGAGGAATATTAGCTGACTTTCCCAAGTCTACACAACCACTAAGGGGTAGAGTTGGGATTTGAACCCAAGGAGTCTGAATCCACAGTCTATGCTGTTAACCACTAGGCCCAACTGCCTCTATGGTTAAAAAATAAATAAAAATAAAATCCTAATTTCACCTGTGAGTTTGTGATCATCCAAGTTAGCAAAGTGCATCTTATGTGTGTCTCCAACACGGCGATTTTAGTTTTACCATCAAGACCACCATAAGCAAAACTGTGAGATAAGTGTTTATCTTTACCACCTATAAGAAAATAATTGTGAATATGAGAAAAACAATTAAGTTGTCAAAAATACAAGATGCCGCTAAAATTTGTTAATAGGTGTAACTCCAAGTCCTCCAGCCTCCAGGGGCCAGACTTTCCTTTTATGTCTGCACAAAACAGCTAGAGGGTCTATCCAGACTCCTGTGGGAAATGCATACCTTACACAAGATTGAAGCGAGAACAGCGGTGTGGGGTCAAAAGAGAAGTTCAGGTGGTCCTCCCTTGCTCAGAGTTGCTCTTCTGTGGGACCTGCAGCTCCTCACTCCATCCAGCTTCGTGTAGCAGCTGTTGCCTTCCCGGGCTTCTTTGCTCAACAAAGGATACTCTTTCGTCTCCCTACTTCCTGAAGTACACCTCATGTGTGACTGTTAGGTGTGACACAGTTTTACAGAGGTTTGGGGGACAATGGGGTAGTGACAGCACAGCCAGGAAACAACTTCACAGGGAAAGTCAGCCATCACTCTCCCACCTGAGCAGATCTCTCACCAGCTGCTTCCCCGGGGGCCTGGGGTCACCGCCGGGAGGCTCAGGGACCCTTCTCACTAGATGGTTCCCTCATCTCCTTTTGCAGATTCTCATCTTTCTTCTCCAGGTACCAGCTGGCAACTCCAAGATTCCTGTTCCTTCAGTAGGTGAACTGTTCAACTCTTCTTTGTCTGTACCTTACCCATCTGGACTCTGTTTGGAGGCCATCCCATTCATAGCTAAACTTCCCTTTAATGATTTTCCTTTTGAAAAGAGCAAACCTTTAACTTGAGAGACATTCTGCCTTCCTTGTAGGCCCCTCAATTCACAAATAATTTTTTTTTCCCCATTACGAAGTCAAACTCTGATTCACACTGTGGTGTCTAAGGTAGAGAAAGAAGGAGGGTTAGCAAAGAGCAGGGGAGAATCAGTCAATGGTCTATCTGATTACACCAGATCAGAGGTCAGGAAGCTGTACCATGCTGGGCCTAATCCCGTCTGCCACCTGTTATTTATAAGGCTTGTTATCTAAGGATGGCTTTTATATTTCTTAATGGCTGAAAAAAAGGCAAAAGAAGAAGAGTATTTCACGATATATGAAAATTATGAGATTCGAATTTCAGTGTCCATAAATAAAGTTTTATTGGAAACCCAGCCATGCCCATTCATAGACAATTCATTCATTGTCTCGGGCTGTTTTCAACCACAACAGCAAACATGAGTAGTTGTAACAAAGACAGTGTGGCCTGCATAGCTGAAAATATTTACTGTCGGGCCCTGCTCACAATCGTAAATGCTTATGCCAGTGAATTTTGCCCTTTTCTCCATGGTATATTAATGATTTTAAATGATTCCAAACGATAATCATTAATCAGAAATTCATTAAGATTTTACTATAACACTTGAATCTGGTTTTCTTTTGCTTTTTTGGTGAGGGGAAGAGTGAAGGATACGAGCTGTCTTTCTTGGTGGTGTTGGTGGTGATTTGTTTCTCTTTTTTAATAAACAGTAAGGCAATTCTTAATTCATTGTCATGTTCAATAAGTATTCACTGTATTGCAGTCAATCTTTGAAATAGTTAATAAAACTGAAATTTTTAAGTGCCAAATAAGAAAATTACACATTGATTGAAATTTGGTGGCACATCTTGAAGGATTCCTTGTGTAGCAGTTGAGAAACCAATGGTTACACAAATGAATGACTAGGTCAGACAATTAATATGGGATCTTCCCTCTTTTATTTTGATTCTGACTTAAAATAAATTAGGCCATAGCTATGGAGCCTCCTCAGATCTCATCAGTGATCGAGGAGCTTGTGGTGAATTTTCTGTGGGCACCAGAGAGGAGCGTGCTGTGTGGAGACGATGTTGTGGACGTGGTGGCAGTCTGGGCTGAGCAGCTTTCCTGGGCTCCCCAAGTCATAGCCACAGATAAGGAAGAGAACCCCAGGACATCAGGAATCTCATGGCTTCTGCTGGAGAGGACTGATCCCATGTGTAGAATTTTGTCCTTAGCACAGCTCAGTACAATTAAATAAGAATGATGAAGATAACACAGTGGTTTAGATACGCTCTTCATCCGTGTACTTTACAAAATAGCTTTAAGGTGATTTAACTGAAACACAGCTGCAGTGGGAAACAGTGAAGGCCTCCTGAATCAGCAGAACTGTTTCCAACAACAATTATTAAAGAAACTTACAGAAAAAGCACTAAAGGACCCGGTTACCTGGATAGATGCAGACTGTTTCTATCCCTGTGTCAATAACAGAAACATCCATGAATACAATCTCTGCTTTTAATCAAACCTGTTGTGTGTATGTGGACCTGTTCTGACTGATGTTTTGACCAAAGGGTAAAAATGCTACCCTAGTTTGGTTTTGATGCTGCCAGTGCGTGTGTGGGAATACCCGCCGACAGCCTCCCGTCCTGCAGCTGTCCTCCATGGCCTATCTTGCTGAGTGTCATGTGCCCTACCTGTAGCAGGTCACAGCCAGGTCTGCCTTTGGTAAAACATCACTGTGTCACTCAGCAGCAAAATGATTGATGGTACTTTGTTCCTTTGAAATCTTGTTGCTTTTCTTCCTCCTAGATAATATCATCAAGAGGATATTTAATATTTTGAAATTTACCTGGGTCCTGTTTCTGGCAACGGTGGATAGTTTCACAACTTGGCTTAATTCCATTTCAAGGGAGCATATTGATATATCCACAGTTCTGAGAATTGAAAGATGCATGCTGACCAGAGAAATTAAAAAGGTAACGATCTTGGTATAATTTTTTTTTGCTTCTTTCCACATTATAAAGGTTTTAAAAGTCAGTATCCAGAACTCCAGGTTGGATAAAACAAACCCTTTTCTTTCCAGAGTCTTTGCATAACCCCATTGCTCTTCTGTATAGTTAAATCTGTTCCATGCTTAGAATTAAAATAATCAGAAACTACACGCACACACAGAGTTTAGGGATAATGTCCAGTTTATTCATTCTATCCCCTCCCTTCCCCAGAGTTTACAGGTGCACACACTGTCATGTCTCATAAAGGATGGTGTTGTTTGGTCTGGAAGTTTGATTTGAATCTTCTCATAAGAAAAATTAAGATATATGGAGAACAAAAAAATATAGTTATATGTAGTTTATAGATTGTACTTTAATGGTTCATTTCTGGAAAAGTTGCTATGACTTAGCAAAATCATCTACATATAAGAGGGGATTTCTTGTTTAGCATGACCCAGTAATATTGGGTACCATTAATTCAATGAGGTGACAGCAATCCCCGACTTCACTAGCTTTGTTTTAATCCTTATTCAAGGTGTGCATGACGGCTGAGAGTTCTCGGCCTTGAGAAACGCCAGGTGGCTGCACGGGCAAGTAAGCACTGTGGCACTGTCTCCCTCTCCGCAGGGCAACGTTCCCACTCGGGAGAGCATCCACATGTACTATCAGAACCACATCATGAACCTTTCCCGAGAGTCTGGACTGGACACCATCGACGACCGTCCTGGTGCTGCTTCAGGTGCACAGACAGCCCACAGGATGGATAGCTTAGATTCTCATGACAGTATCTCCAGGTATTTCACGTTCTAAACCATGGGTTTGCTTTTGACAAAAGTAAAAGCGGTGGACTTCATCAACATGAGCAATGAATGGACGAGGTGCAAGTTAGTCAAAAACTTCCATGGATGCCCACCCTCCTCAGGCTGTCTCCATGTGTACAACAAAGCAATAGGAATATGTCCTCTCCTCGATCCTAAATCAGGAATTAATAGTAAACTCTTAGAAATGCCCACATGATTCACAGGCACAGGATAGAGATTTCCAAGCTGGAGGCAAGTAAGAATGAGCCTTCCCTTTCACAAAATTACTATTTGTATCAGAGCGGCATCTGTAATGCCTTTTAAAAATGCTCCTTCACAAGTATCTTCTCTACCAGAATCATCTACCATCTGTTGCTATCCTTGATCTTTTCCTTTCAGAATTGTTACTTTACGGTTCATGATAAACATTGGAGAAGTGATTTTGTCAGCTTCCATCTTCCCTGAGTTGTGTGACCAGTTGCATTGTTTTACAACAGGCACCGTGCATTGATCATTCATCATGGGCCAGCACTAAGCACCGTACAAGGGTTATCTCACTTTATCTTTATAAGACCCCCTGAGAGACATACTATTATCACCCCCGTTTTACAGAAGACTAAGTTCAGTTACAGAGAGGTTAAGTAACTCTCCCAAAGTCTCACAGCAAAGAAGTATATAAAAGCGGACCCAAGACTCAAAACCACATAGTTCAGCTCAGAGTCCAAGCTCTCAACCAGCGCGGTATGCTGCCTCTCATTGCCTCTGCCTGCACTCCAGGCCAGCTTTGAGAATTGACCTGTTTTTCTTACCGCCTATCCCAGAAAACCTTCCGAATTCTTTGCTCACAGTGTTGTAGAAAGCTACTGTCGATTGCACAGAGCTAGCTTCTGAGTAAAGCAGAAGTCCCATCTTACGGAGATTAGCTAGGCTGGATGAATGACACCTTGTTTCCATCTTTATAGATAAAGAATTTTATCACTGAGGGCAGTCATGCGTTTCTGTTTTCATTAAACATGTTAAAAAGCATCTATTCCATGCCAGGCCCTGGGCTCAATTCCGGGATAGACACATAAAGATGAGTCATCTCTAAGTGGTTTGAGCCTGGGAAGAACCTCTGGGCTAGGATTCCCACTGGAGAAAGACAGCAGAGATGGGCTGCATCTTGACTGCTGGTGTGGAAGCTCTGGATTACTCTGTCACACTTCATACGCAGAGCAAAGCACCAAAGGCCTAGGGGACAGTCACCCTTCACAAATACTGAATGTGTCCCAAGATGAAATAGGGAGGGAACTGAGACTACTTTATCAATACCAAACCCAAAATAGATAACTAGAAGTTCAAATTGCAGTCTGAACGGGGAGATGTGGGTAAAAAAATGTTTTACCTTGAAGTGCTATTTTTAGCTATTGGCTGAATTGCTGTATTTGAGCTTCTCCAATTGTGCCTTTCTTTTGCTACTCAATAATTATTTATTGATGCAGATCTATATTTATTGGTAGGAAAGATATTCATTGTATACATATATATATTTTAGAAAAATTCAAGTTTTAAAATAGAATGGATGCTAAAACCTCATTTTTATTTTTAAAAAGTATATGTATTCATGCATACATAGATTTAAATATGATTTTTGTACAGATAAAATTCTGCATGGATATATCCCCTCCAGCCCCCCAAAATAGATATTGATTCTTTTAAAGTCTTTTGAGGGATAATAAAAGACATTATATTTTCCCTTAAATTTGGGAATAGTTTTTGCTTATTTATAAGTTCTAAAGAATTAGATATATTATAGCTATTATATATTTTTATGAGCAGAAGAAACACTTAGGACAAAAGTCTTAAGCATTTCAAGGTCAAAGCATTTGTTTGCTAATTGACATCCTGTTCAAGAAGCTTTTAATCCCCAGAATAAAATAATTACTAGAACAATGGGCATGGTAATAACTCTTTCTTTCTCATTCTCCTTCTGCCCAACATATGCACATTTCTCAAATATTAATTTCTGAAACCATCAGTAATATCAAAGTTACAAAGTGACAATTTAATATTACGTCCTTTGATTGGCAGGTACCAATGACACCTCCTTGTGTGCCTTCCTGAAAAGTCTCACAGTCCACAGTTTTGAAAGGGGAGCTTCAGTCTCCTTTGACAGACTCCACTGAGACAAAACGTCGTTATTGTGTACATTTCATTTTCATTTTTTGCAAACCATAGCAAGTGTCCTATTTGGACACTTATTGGAAGCTCCCAATCTTCTTAAATTTGTTCTTATTGCAACAATTCCCTCTATATCTATAGATCGATGTATTTAAACTGAATTAATTTCTCTTTAATTCATATTCATGCTAAAATTGAAAATCCATGTGCACCACATTCTACCCAGGCTCTTACATATTCCAGGTTATTTCATGGTAGCTATTCCCTTCCCAAGACACAGAGACCACACGGGCGTATGTGCAGAAGTCACAGGGGGGTCGGGGATGGGCAGGCGAGGCAAGATTTGTCTGAATGTAGTGAGTATTCAGGATGCTGACTAATGCTGCTTCCTGGTTACAGGGTGAATGAACGTGAACCGGGGAATCTAAAAGTTTCCAATCCATCCACTTTATAACCTATTCATGACCAAACAACCATTTTTCAAAACAGAGAAGAATGGTAGGATGAGAAAAATACTGAGATACTCTAGATGTACATTTTCCAAGATATATTTATTTATTTTAATAAATAACTATCTTTTTGTAAGTAATGTCTTTATAAATATCTTTTATTGATGTGTTGGTTTTGGCGTGGCGTGGACCAGTGTCCCACGGCACTCAGCTTTGGACAGCGCTGCTCTGCGTTTATTCAATGTGAACAGGGTGTAAGGCAAACTGTGTTTTCCTCTTTCTGAACTCCAAAATAAAAGCTTCCGGACAGTTCTGGTTGACTGAAAGTCATGTTTGTATTCAATTGGAATTATTTCCTCTCACATACTGAAGAATGCAATTATATACATGCGTAATGTATAATTTCATTATCACATGTATGCATCTGTTCTCCAAAAAAATATGCTGCCCTATAATGTCATTTATATTTTTTCAAATGAATTTTTTCACCTCTCTTTTTGCCTTGTTTCATAATACAGAGATTTTTTTTATTAGCTGGGTCCCTCAGCTTGGCAAGTAAAAAGGAGAATGGATGGAATAACTTTCTTCATTAATTAGCAATAACACTAACAGTGGTTGGTAAATTTTTTTCATGAACTTTTGAGATTTCATAAAGCTATATACTATCTCCCAAAGGGGAAAAGTTCACATAAATACAGATTTTTCCCATAACATTTCAAGGGTTTCACAGGCCTCCTGGATATTATCCATGGGCCTGGCTTGAGAATAGCAGCTGCGGATCCAAACTCTGAATCAGACGAATCCAAGAGAATAGGAGAAAGTGAATTGAAAATAAATTTTCCACAAAATAAACTTACATGATTCCTATATTAGTAACTTTTAACTGCATAACAATTGAAAATATGTCCAATTAAGAAACTAACTAAATATTATAAATCACAGTTTAGGAGGAAAAAAAATAAGAAGAAAGACTAGTTAAAATAAAATCAAGTAACTCCTTTAAATCTGACCCAAGACGGCAAATATAAAACCGTTCCCATGGTCACGAATTGTGAGGGAGAGGCGTTAAACCCACTGACTGCTTTTTAACAAAGACTGTCGAAATTTAAAAACGGTCAATCAGTAAATTTGCTAGTAGAAAACTAGTACCTTTAAAATTAGTTTTTAATATATTTTTACTTTTTATTTTCAACCTAAAGAAAGTGGGGGCACAATAAGGTCCATCATGTTGTTAGTAAATGAGCTCACATTTGCCGTTTTCTTAATGGCTGAGCTGCATTCCTGTTTTCTTTGCTTTAGGAAACTTTCAAATCTGCAATTATTTGTCTACACTGCAGTCTAAGGAAGCCAGGCTGATGGCTGCAAAGACAGTTATCTTCCTAGAAGGGATTCCGAGTGTGGAAGCTCTCTCTCAGACACCTGTGTCATTGGGCAGGGTCTAGTGTCCTCTTCCAGTGGGGACTCTCATGCTCAGTGTAGCCCCACTCCCGTCGCCAAGGACCCACCCTGGGTGGAGCCATCCCACCTGCCACAGCTCCTGCTCTGGCATCCATGTCACCCATTTTTACCTTTGGGCATACAGTAGACAAGGTTGGCGTGGGAGCCTACCAAGTGAATTTGTCTTCACTTTAACCTTTTGGAATAGTCACAATTTCCTTCAAATCCAGATGCAAAATAGCACTTTGTTTTTTAATGGTTGTTTTATGAAATCAGATATCATCTATCTTCCCAGAAAATAAATTAGTTTGCTGCAAGAAACATTGGTGACATTCTAAGGAGCATTCCTACATGAGAAGGGAGTGATTATCATTTGAGAAATGTCACCTGCAGGTTGCTCTTTGCCCCTGTGGTAGCTCCAAGTGCAGACCTGGTTAGTGAGGTGACACCCACTGTCCATCCCTTTAGGCTTGGCACCTGGGCCTGTTCTTGTAAAGTTCCTCCTTGTCCCTTTCACTTTTAAAACTGTCCTGGCTTGGCTGACAAATGGGTCACACTGTAAATAACCCAATTGTGTGGGACTGTCTGGGGTCTAAAGGTGGACTGATGCGACAGGAGAACTCTCCCCAAGAATTAGCAAGATAAATAGAACATCAGGATTAGAACCAGGGTTCCCTTGAGAAAACCTGAGCAGTGAGGCAGGAGAGGGCGCATAGTATCTTTCTGCCTGCACACTCCTAAAAGGCCACGGGGTCGCACCTCGAAAAATAGGAAATTAATACAGAAACTCAAAGATCCAGTTCCCTTATCTCAAAGATGATAAAATTGGGACTCTTCCTTGGGTCCTATCCAAAGGAGTTAGGGCCTTCTTACAAAGTCAGTCTCCATGCCCTTATTAGAAACCATCTGATTGCTTACATGCTCACTTTCCTCATTGCCCTGCCCTTGACATGCACAGCAGTATGGCCCTCCTAGCACACGGTGCGGGGCGGGGGGGGGGGGGGGGGGCTTTGAGCTAAATCCCTTGGAAGCTGAAGAGCCCTTTAACTGGTTCTATGAGTGAGTGACTCAGAGTCCCTACTCCCCACCCCAAGAGGATGTTACCTCCTGAATGGTTCCCATTCCATCCGGGCCTCACAGCTACTGCCTGAGGGCATCTGGCCGTGCAGGTTAGCATGCAGTAGGCCTCCTAGTGTGGTCGCTTGATGATGATGTTCAGCCAACAGTGTCACCAGGAATCTGTTCTGTATCCCAAGAGCCTGTTCCCCTGGGTCAGCCAGGTCACTAGCACTCAGGTTGGAAGATTAGTATTCCAGTAGCTGCCCTCAGAGGCTCTTTGGGGTTAGACTAGATGTCTGAACTGAAATCACGCCCATGCCATAATTCTCTTTGCTTCTTCTCGTTAGTAGCCTCACGCAGTAGCATCTCAGTCCTGATTTGGCCATCTTTCCCTCCCCAGCTGTTGCTCCATTGGGTAACAGGAGCTGGGGATCTTAGCCAATGGGTTCTCGCCCAAATGACATCTGCCAAGACCTAAAGCATGATCCAGAAGAAAAAATGCGTTAGGCAAAATGAAGAGTTAACAGACAAAACGTCCCTGCCATTGCTAGACATCCTTTGTTGTTTTCTTTGTGCCATTTTATTTCTTTTTTTTGATGTTGGTTTATATCCAGTTGCATATCAAACCGGCATCTCTTCTACATGCAAGGCATCTAGTTTGGCTTAACTGAATATCACTCAGAAAATGGGGTGGAAAATTCAGTTTGCTGTGGTCATTCCTGAGCTTCCCTCTCTCATTTTGGAGATTGTGTTTAAAAAAAAACCGCAAAATTGAAATCTTTTATATGAGTTTTACATGGGCAGAGATTTCCGCTTAACAATTTGGTTACAAAATGCTCTCAGTGAACTCAGGATTGGAAAGTCCATATAAGATATATCATCTCTAATTAAAAAAACACCTCAGTTGCAAAGTTATAAAGATATGCATTCTGCTCTGTGGGAGAAATGTTGGGACTTATAATTATTCTATGTCCCTGTCCCACCCATAGAGTGACACTTCATAATTTACCACTAGCCAATATATTTTTAAAAATCCAGTACTGTTGTGTTTCATTGTCCTGCCAAACAGGTCCTTTCCTGTCCTTGAGCCCCGCTGTGGTGGTCATCGTCAGTGGTGTTGGTGTCGTGTGTGGTCTGCTGCATGGCAGTGTGTTGGTCAGTCGATCCATGTGTAAACTGATGTACCACTGGCATTTAACACTGTGTCTCTGTAACTGTTTGCGCTGCTAGCTGCTACACCGAAGCAACCATGCTGTTCTCAAGGCAGTCTACCCTTGATGATTTAGATGGACCAGACACTGTTCCTAAAACAAGTGAGCGTGCTCGACCTAGGCTCCGTAAAATGTTCAGCATGGATGTGTCCTCCTCATCAGCTGACAGTGGCAGTTTAGCGTCCAGGTGCTTAACTTGTGCATGCTTTGTTCTGTAATTTTATCACCTTTTCCCCCTTCATGTCATTGCAAATATAAGTTCTTGTGATGTTTTTGGTTTTTGTTTTAAGAATTTGCATGACTAATGAAAGCATAACCACCGCTCCTTCTGGGACATAACTGGTCAGTCCCAAGATGGCATTCCATTAAACTAACTGCTCTCTAGTCTTTGTCTGTTAAGAGTTTCTTAAAACTCCTTGCTACAAACATTGTCCTCCATTTTGTAAGTATTTCACACGTTCTGCTTTCAGAGAGATGAGCACGATTCCTCCTTGATGGGGAGCTCCTGCGGGCAGTCCTCAGAGGGGGAAATGTGTCAGGAAAGGTGGAAACCTTTTTCTCGGGAGTTCATCAGAAGAGACATGCAGTAGGAAAAATCCGAAAATCTGCCCTATGTAGTCATTTTTAGTTGATACAGAATAAATCTGTCCACATTTTAAGTGCATAACTGACATAAAAATCAGAATATGTTTTACCATTGGTTTTTCTAAAGAATATTATCATGCAGTAAATGCGTCACCTTTGGAGACCATAACTTGTTTTGTTTGGAAAAGATTACTTTGGCTTAAGTTTTCTCATTGAATCCTACCATAAAACAGTAATCATTGAGAAATGAAATTATTTGCATAATATCCAAAAGCTCTTTTTTGAATTGCCTTTGAATGGTCAGCAGAGGCACAGAGCATCGACTACATTGTGCTTATCCTGACGCCAAAATAACCCGATCCAAAGCTGATTTCAATTTTGGCAAATTAGCAAGGTGTCAACTTCTTTTTGCTGGCGGATATATATGTTAATACAGTGCTGCAGGACACTGCAGCCTGGCATTGATGGGAGTGCCTTGGCCATCGAAGATGTCCTCTGGCAGGCACATGCTGTGCCATTCCACTTTGTTGATTCCTGAAAGTACCAGGATTTGTTGAATGCCTTCAGGGCCAGACCAAATCCAAAGCCATAGAGAGCATGCCTGTCATTGGCTATAGTCCAACTGGACATAAGACTTGGTATGGGGTTGGCTCCAGTGGTCTGAAAATTCCCTGGGGTGACCCGTCAATTTCGTGGCCTTCTTAGGAGGCTGTGTCTGATTGAGGTAAGTCTTGGCAAAGAGCCAGATTGGCTTGGCATTCCAGGAACCTTCCATGTGATGTGCTCAGTTAGGGCTAAAGCCCTGGGAGTATTACATCGCAGAGCAGGGGCCAAGGGCTCATGCAAATCTAGTTCTTTAGTCACAGGGTTCAGCCAAGGCCCTTTTATTCATTCATGCCTTCACTGATATGTTTACACCAGTGTCCCTGACAAGAAAAACAGGTACAATCTGCATTTGAGAATCTCACTGTTCAAGGACCCTAGCTGCTCAGTCTATGTCATTCAGATAAAAGTACAAATTTCAGAATCTAACCAATTATGGCCCTACATCCACCAGATTCCCTCTCCCCTTCAGGCTGGATGTCTCTGGGGTGGGCAGTCATAAGAGGAATGCCGTGAATTTCACTGCTGTGGCTGCTGTGTTTTCATTTCTAACTTTTCCTGCACAGACCTGGCAGGAGATGTTAGAAGATGAGGACTAAAAGAAGGAGAGGAGAGATGCAGGAGAAAAGAACAGGACACCCAACACAGTGAAGATAAGTAGAGAAGCTGATGGAAAATGAACGCTAGGAGGGGTTCAGTGAGGAGAAAGTAACTGAAGGCGTTGGGAGGAGAGAGCGCAGGCGTGCACCCTGAGGGTGGAGCAAGCAGCCCCAGAAGAGGCACATGGGGAGGAAAAAATGGCAGGTGTTCCCACATGTAGAGCAAAGGACTCAGTGGGAGTTGTTTGGGGGAGAGATGGTGAAAATTCAGTCACATGTCATAGCAGCAGTAAGGAAAAGGCAGAGGATGGAAGAACAGGGAGGAGGGCCAGATAGTGAAGAAGGATGCCATTTCTTCATACAGCACACAGCTGTTTAGCTTAGCCAATATCCTGTCATTCCTGTCATCCTTTTACGGGTCTGGGCGGGTCCACTGTGTAGAGTTGAAAGTAGAATACATCTTGGCCAACACCTGCAGACCCATATGCGCCCTTCTTTACAATGTATAGAAAACGGTAGGTATGCTATGCTGTGTCTTGATTTGGAAATAAACCCTACAACCTATGGCTGTGAATCTTGATACGATTTTCAAATCCTCTCTGCATAGGTGGGTTTAGCAACTTGTGAGCCATGTGACTTGCTCTGGTTTTCAACCGTGTATGTGCCCTGTCAGCTTTTGCGTTTGCGGTTTCTGCAGACCACACGTGAATATCCTGAAGGATCAAAGCAGATGGAATGCAGTGGGGGAAATGGGGTATTTCGTTTTCTCACGTGCCTTGATGTTTTTATTTGGGAGTGCTGAGAAGGTGTCTTGGGAATCTGGGAGGATTCGAGGAGCTGATGCTAAGACGAGGGTCTGTGCCCGCCTCTTTTTTCTGACAGCGAGCCCACCCAGTGCACCATTCTGTCCTCGCGCCAGGGGACCACGGAAACCATCGAGGAGGTGGAGACTGAGCAGGACGAGGAGGCCGAGGGGGACGAGGAGGCCGGGGAGGCTGAGGAGGCGGGGGTCGGCGACCCTGACGAGGCGGGTTTGGAGGCCCCAGAGGATGGCGAGGATGGCGTCGAGGAGGCCCCGCCGTCGTACAGCAAGGCCGTCAGCCTGGAGCGCCTGTCCTTGGACTCGCCGGACGGCTCCGCAGGCCGGAACCACATGGCGGTCAGCCCCGACGACAGCCGCTCCGACAGGCTGGAGTCCAGCATCTTACCCCCGCTGACTCACGAGCTGACGGCCAGCGAGCTGCTGCTGAACAAGTGAGCGAGCGGGGCGCGCTGGCGCGGGAGGGAGCCCTGGAGGCAGCGCCTCAGTGGCACGCGGTGCTGCTGCGCAGGGACCTCCCCCGAGAAAGCCTCCTGCACGCTAAGGCGCTCAGACACGATTCCCGGGACGCCTCGACTGCAGGGGCAAAACCGATCTCACTGCTTCCATCACTGCATGCTAGAACTAGCAAAACCTGTCACTAAAAGGGTGTGCTCTCGTTTCTTTCTATACGCGTGTGATGTGAGGTTGTCGCCACAGGAAATCTGGAGACCTTGGAAGAGGGGGCAGGACAGGAAGGATAATGCAAAATGGATATCAGTCTTTTGGAGAAATTAAAGATAAAGTTAATATCATGTTGTTTATTCTAACAGGATGTTCCATGACGATGAGCTGGAGGAGTCGGAGAAATTCTACGTTGGCCAGCCGCGGTTCTTGCTGCTCTTCTACGCCATGTACAACACCCTGGTGGCCCGCTCGGAAATGGTGTGCTATTTCGTCATCATCCTCAACCACATGGTCTCTGCCTCCATGATCACCCTCGTGCTTCCCATCCTGATCTTCCTCTGGGCCATGCTGTCTGTCCCCAGGCCCAGCAAGCGGTTCTGGATGATGGCCATTGTCTACACAGAGGTAGGCTTCACCCTGAACCTTCCTGCAAATCGCCTTGGGAAGTCTGTCTAGGTGGGCCTGCCCATCTCCCACTTTCACACAGAGCAGTCAGCTGGATGGCTACTCTCAGACAAATGAGTATAACTGATGGTTATCTCGTGCTGGTAAATGTATATGTCTTTTCACGTTTCATACCTCACACAAGATAGGTGCTAATATTCTGTTTAACAGATGAGGAAATGGCTTTAGTGAGATTAATTAATTGGCCCAAAGTTACCCAACGGGCGAGTGATAAAGGTAGGCTTTTGAAGCCCTATAACATTAACCACTAAGATAACAAGTGTTACACAGAAACAAGCTCATGCCTGGTGCCAGTGGGTGTTCAGTGAATGGATGCTGACTTAAACAATACAGGAAGCACTTAGAATACAGTTTGATGCAATACGTGTATTTTCCATTTTTAAACCTAAGAGCCAGTTTCCACACCTCAAAACCCAGTCATGTAAGCACCCACTTAACAACCTGAATGACAGAAAGGGGAAGTTGCCAGCCCATTTTCATCATGTGTGAGGGGACAAGAGGCACTCCACCCAACGATGTGGACCTGCTTTTCTCCCCTGCCCTGTTAAATGCATGGAAGATCACGAATTCCCACCATAGCCATCAACTGGGACTAACAGAGAGCTCTGAGACTTGGCGTCCTGGCTTATCATGGTGCTTTGTGTTCTCAGGTTTGTGAAGATGGTGAATCTTTTTACCGGGCTCATAAGGGAAAATGGTCCCTTCCAGTGGTACTGTAATTGCTTCTTAAAGGATAGTATTCGTGGTGGATGTGCAGCCAGAGTGTAGAAATTTTGTAAAAAATAAATCTTTATAAAGAATTCAACAGTGAAATTAAAATAAAGTTATATGTTAAATCATCTTAAAAGTACTCAGTTTAAAGTACTAATATTGTGTCGTATTTGCATAATAAAAATAAAAGATGTAGGGACCAGCCCGGTGGCATAGTGGTTAAGTTCACACACTCCGTTTTGGTGGTCCAGGGTTTGCAGGTTCAGATCCCAGGGACAGACCTAGCCCCACTCATCAAGCCACATTGTGGCAGCGTCCCACATAAAATAGAGGAAGACTGACACAGATGTTAGCTCAGCAACAATCTTCCTCTAGCAAAAAGAGGAAGATTAGCAACAGATGTTAGCTCAGGGCCAATATTCCTCACTAAAAGAAAAAAAAGACGTAAGCCAAAAGTATATCTATTACTTTAATTAGCCTGTCCATCACAATCTTGCCAAATTACTTGATCTTCAATATTACTTCTATTACATCACTTCGTGACCCAGGACACATGACTCCTATTTTGGTACATTCTCTACCACCTCTGTATGAGGGAGTGTCTTCCTAGGAGGGAAGGAGGAGCAAAAAGGAAACAAGAGCTGCTTATGTACAGCTTTCATCTTAAAAGTAAAACCTTCCTGGTTAAGTTAAATTGGGGCTCTCCATTTTCTCTGTCACACTGAGGAGGGAAGGAGTGGGAAATTAAGTTGACATTAATTCACTCTACAACTTGGATGATGTGCCAAAACCCGAGAACTAAGCTAGGCAAGAGAATCCAAAGATAAGTTAAAAAAAGATGTTTCTATTTCACAATGGCTCACAGACTAATGTGGCAAACAGATACGATGTAAACAAAGAATTGTCGTCGGTACAATATAAAACTGCATTAGAGACAGTACGAGAGTTACGACGGATGCTGTGCCCCACGCAGCCTGGGTGGGGTGGAGAGGTTATCACAGTGACTTCTCAGTGGAAGCACTTAGAACTGAGTCTTGAAGGATGAGTGTAAGTTCACCAAAGGACAAAGAGCAGTGACTCCAGTCATTGCAAAGAAACAAAGGCGCAAGACAACCTGGCATGTGCCAAGAATGACAGGCGGCTCATGATGGCTGGAAGGCAGGCTGTGTGTGGCGAGCGTAGCAGGAGGAGCTCGGGACTGTCCACAGGGCTTCTGTCAGCACGTTATCCCCTGGTGTTGAAAGATTGGAACAGGGGCGTGACTCCATCAGGTTTGTGCTTTACCAAGTTTTATACAGAATGAAAGTGGAGGCACGGAGACCAGCCAGGACGCTATTTTAACCATCTGGGTGAGAAATGATAAGGTCTGAACTTGAAGGCAGTGAGGTTGAAGAGGAGTGAGTAGATGAGAAGAGTTTTAGTAACTGACTAAAACCAGCTGGGGTGTGATAGAGTGGGGAGAGGCGAGGACCATCTCCAGGTGTCTGCTCTGGCCTCCCTCATGTGGGGATGCCCTTCACCAAGATAAGAAACACGGCGATGTTCTTTGCAGAAGCTTGGTCAAGAAAAAGAGAAGAGAGAGAAGAGCTAAAGGGAGCCCACAGTTCAAGAGAGGACTTTTGAAAGTGTTCTTGTTGATGAATTGTGTATATTGCAGTTAACTCCTGATGATCTCGCCGTCAGAGGTGTGCTTCAGTGAGACTCACCAATTCTCCCACGTTCCCTCTGTCTCGGCGTACCACCGCTCTACAACACTTAAACCCTGAACCAGCTACCGGCACAGCTGGCCAGTGTGTTTCATTTACCTTTATTTCTTCTTGAGGAGAACTTCCAGTGAGCAATAAAGTGGTGAGAAGAAAGAGACTGGAGGAAAGAGAAAACTCTGTACATCAAAACTGTGTGATATGCTTATAAAGATTACAAATTAAAGCACTGTGGAAAATAGAAGCATCCTTCTGTTCCAGGTTGTCCTAAATACCATATTTTCATAGCTGAATAATTATACAAATATCTAATTAAATCAATATAAGTTAGCCGACTCCTCAAGAATAGAGGAAATCATTTGAGCAGAGTCCTGAGTGGCCCGCTGGCCCTGATCCCCCCCAGTGGAAGGCTCCTGTGAGAGGAGGATGAGGCGCTCGTGCTGAAGTCAGTGGTCTGTGCGAATGATAACGTTATTACTCCACATAATTGTGTATGTTCCTATCATCAAAACTGTGAAATGATTTTTTTCTTAATTTTCTATATCATTGTTTCTCATATATAACTATTCTTAAAAGGAGTAATTTTCTTTTTAATTTCTATCTTCCATGTGAAGGTGGCAATTGTGGTCAAGTATTTCTTCCAGTTTGGGTTCTTTCCCTGGAACAAGCACGTGGAATTGAACAAAGACAAACCTTACCACCCGCCTAATATCATAGGAGTGGAAAAGAAAGAAGGTTATGTCCTTTACGACCTCATTCAGCTCCTGGCTCTGTTCTTCCATCGATCGATTCTGAAGGTACTGCACGTTAGCATTAGGCAGCACACGGTGACCCCTGCGGCCCCTGGCTGGTCCCTGGAGAGCCTGCACACCAGGATTGGTGATGGCTGTGCAGCCAGTGTATGGCGTCCACTTTTGTGCTGTTTCTTTTTTTAACAGACAGTTCTGTGGACATTTTCTCATACACTGTGTGCTCAATAATAAAACTTGTAATAAATCTGGGAGAAAATTTCCCCGTATCTCTACCCGAGTTAAACATATCATAATTAATCCACATTTATGGAATTACCTGGATGGTGTGCAGTATATTAATGCCTGACATGCCAAATTCTACTCCTGGTTTAAGCCAGAGCATCAGAGAGCTGCAGTGTGGGGTGAATTATAGTGTCTTTCATCTCCATTCCACCCTCTCCTCATCTTCGTTTGGTAGAATTGCTTTGATTGGTATTTCTTGTCATGAAACCATTAGCTTTACTGAGGGACCATACATTGAGTGGTCCGGGGAGGCCAGGGCTGTGCTCCTGCAAGCTTACTGTTGACAAAGCCGTTCATTACATGCTCTGGAAACACCTGTCTGCAGGATGACCCGTCTCAGGCTCAGGAGCCCTCGTCATCCTCCTGAGCAGTGGGGGGGGGGGGGGGGGGGGGGGGTTTCTTCTCCTGCACTGTGAGTTATAAGCTAAGCTTGTAAATATGCCACTCAGCTCTAAAAGTGAGAACTCACTGCACAGCATACATTGTATAGACTGATGTGCCTATTGTCACCACCTTCCTTTCCTTCTCTTATTTCAACCTTGTCTCCTTTTATAAAATATTTTCAATTCGTGTGATCAAGTAGTATCTTTATTAGTTCTTTTTACATCAAGTTTGGCCTGGTTTAATGCACACACACATGCATGCATGTCTATGTAACTGTGTGTACAACTTCAGTCCTGCTCAGGGGCTATTTCAAAGTGGGTTTCATCTGTGTATACCTTTGTCAAGATCTTCACTGTGCCTCTTGTATCACCTTGCAAAATGCCCATTCAGGGGGAGCCTTGCCTGGGTCACTGGGCTGTGGTAAGTTTGCAAAGGTATGTTATGCAAGGAAACCAGTTAGCCAAAATTGAACTTGCCTACATTTTCCAGTTCTTCTGATAAATTACTGAATTTATCCAGTTTACTAATTCTCATTATAAGTATGTTAATAAATGTATTAACCTTATGTTTTTAGTTCTAGAAATTAAACTTTTAAATTTCAGCACTTAAGACATGACAGTATAATAGTAATGAGGTATTACTGAGGTATCAATTATACCTCCATAAAAATAGAAAAGGGCATGATGGTATAATTTGGCCACTTCAAAACTTCTCTTGCATGTCGTTTAAAAAATTTGTATAAACCTTTAGGCATTTTGCTATTTTTTCATTAACATTTAAATGGTTTAACAGCTATAATTTTATATTGAAAGCATACGATAAACAAAATTTTCATGTTTCGTATTAAAATACTTACTCTTATTTCTTCTTTGAAAATTTCATATATATGGTGAATATATTTGAGGTACCATTATGCTGAAATTTTGACTGATGATATGAAAAATACTTTTTGGGATGATAAATCTTTTCATAAGAAGACAAAACCACTCTACAGCTCTTGAAAAAATAACCCTATTAAACAATGCTGCTCTGAAAACCAAACAATTAAAACTATGAGGAAATTTCAAAAGTGGTTAAAGCTTTCTTATTTAGTATGAATTGCTATAAATTTTATAAATAATTGGAAGAATTCACAAACAAATAACATGCTACTAAGCAGTAAAAGAATCTAAGTATGTTCAAATGTTGGCAAAAGAGAAAACTTTTAAAATGATTTGAAAGAAATCAATATAAATTGAAAAATCCCATTATGAAAATCTAAAATGTTTGTTATAAGAATATGTTCATTGAATGTTTAAAAATAATATATCTGTAAATTAATATTGAAGGATAATCTGTAAATTAGGTGACTTTGTCTTTTGATGAATTGATTATTCTATGAGTTGGTTTTTGACCAACTAACTTTTGGCAAATTGGCCTGGAGCTCTCATCCTCTGAAGTAGGCGTCAGAGGGCAGACTGGCTGAGGTCCTGGGGAGGAAACGCATAGCCTCGCGGTCTGAGCACTCAGGAGGCAGCGAGCTCTTTGGGGAGCCTCGTGCAACAGCAGCAAGGTCATCATAAAGGTGACTTGTGGTCCAGGTAGCATCTCACCCCAGCAAGGTCCCTGGTTCTCAGCCTCCTCTTCTACTGTCACTCCTCCCCTCTTTATCGGCCCCTTTTACCCCATTTCCCTGAAGCAAACTCCAGGCTCTGCAGAGTGCATCATAATCTGTCTAATGTGGGGGCCAACTCTTTTTGAGTAAAGTATTTGCAGCTTTGCTTCTGAGTCAGCCATGGATGATTCAAGGACCCCCATCTTGCTTTACAGCCTGGGGGAGGGATAGCACCATTACTCCAGTAGGTATTTGACTAACACGGGGTGGTGGGGCTAAATTCACTTATTGAGACTTCAACTTGATACTTCAAATGCTGGTTGTAAGCACAGAGAGATGTGTTCTGGAAGGTGCTTTGGCTCAAGGAAGAAACATCATCTGTCTCCATCTCAGTTAATGAGTTAAACTCTTGTCATCTGTACCCACCTGTCTGCACTCTCCTGGGACATCATAAAATTATGGATAATAAGCTGTTTTAGAATCCCTTCCCGTGCCCTGGTTTCTAATATATTTTTTTTCAATTTCAGCTTTATTGAGGTGTAATTGACAAATTGTAAGATATCTATGATGTGCATCACGGGGATTTGATAAACATTTTCATTTGAAAGGATTCCCCCCAGCTAGTTAATTAACACATCCATTAGCTCACCCGTGTATCTTATTTTTTCCTTTGGTGAGAAGATTTAAGTTCTGCTCTCTTAGCACATTTCAGTTATACAATACAGTGTTATCAGCTATCCTGTTTTACATTTGGTTCTCCAACCTTGGGGGACAGTGTCTTGGGTGAGATATTGGAGGGTGGAATACCGCTCCCTCACCTGAAACGCAGTCTGAGCTGTCCCTTCCCACTTTCTCAGTGCCACGGTTTATGGGATGAAGATGACGTCACCGACAGTGGCTTAGACAAGGAAGAGTCAGATGACGAGCTCTCCCTCAGTCACCGCAGAAGAGCTTCCTCCGATTCTCTGAAATCCATCAACCTGGCCGCATCGGCGGAGTCCGTGCACGTGTCCTTCCCCGAGCAGCCGGCAGCCGTCCGCAGGAAGCGCTCCGCCAGCAGCTCCCAGATATCCCAGAGATCCAGCTTTTCTTCAAACAGGTCCAAAAGAGGTACCATCATGTGGTCCCTGGGCTGGAATAACCCCCCACACTGTCTCCTTTTGCTGGTGCCAGTGAGCCTGAGCAGGGGAGTTTGTTGGGTGCTACAAAGAGAAAGAGATTGTGATGTGAAAAAAAGAGCTTTGAAATCAAACAGACCCAATTTCAAATCCTGGCTCAGCTGTGCGTGTGACCTCGCGCAGTCACATCATTGCTCAAAATGCCTGATTCCTCCCCAGGACGAGGATTTCAGACAATTGTGAAACTGGCCAGTACACTGACTTGTTCCTAGTAAGTGTTGGGCGCATGATAGATTTAGAATCATATCCGGAGATTCTGCTGGGCATGTCCAGAGTGCTGTAAATCACAATTTGTTTCAAAAATCGATTTTGATTTAGTTGATGGGAACTTTTAGCCAAACTCTCTAGTCAATTCCTCAGCTAGTGACTAATTTCTTACTAAACAGTGAGTACAATCAGAAAGCAGACATGCCTTACAGTTTCCACCGTGGAGTAAGTGTCTTTTGCATTTATAGTGCTCCTGTCTGAACCTTTCCAATGCTTGCGTATTCATCTTCAGAATACACTTTCCAGGCAGACACCAGCAGGTCATCTCATATTTGTTTCACAGTTAGAGAATTTAGGACATGACAAAAGTGATCGTGGACCCAATCTGGAAAACCTGCGACCTAGGACCCTGTGTAGCGCTATAAAAGCTGTTCTTGTAATGTCTTTCTTCCTGGGACAAAGATTACGTAACCCAGGAAAGAGCCAGCATGGCGTGTACAAACCCACAGATGAGTTTTACTATGGCCGTAGAGACAAGATGATAGGTTCCGAATCCTCAGTGTCCATCTTCAGCATCTGTGCACGCTCACCCGCTAAAACACTTTCAAGCCGTCCCTCTGCTTTGTGGGCTCCAGGGGCTTCTGCGATATTCGTGTCAACAAACCCATAACTCACAGCCCATGTTGGTTTCTTTTTATTTCTAGGCAGCACAAGCACCCGAAACAGCAGTCAAAAAGGAAGCAGTGTTTTGAGCATTAAGCAAAAAAGCAAAAGGGAGCTTTATATGGAAAAGCTTCAAGAACATTTAATCAAAGCAAAAGCATTTACTATAAAGAAGTGAGTGTGTGAAAACACTTGGGTCCTGTATTTTACTTTAGGGCTGGGGAATTGGTGTAATTATTTCACGTAAACCAGAGGCAAAGAGCATAGAAGTGACTCCTCATATCACAGATATCATCTGCTAAGGCAGAATAAAATGACCCATTATTATATTGTTTTTAAAAATCACTTTTCAGTAAGTATGATTCATTTTTACATCCATTGCATTTATAAATACACTTTTTTGTTTGAACAAGATAAATAATTTCAAGGGCTCACATTGTGTAATTCCAGGCATTATCATGGTAAAGCCTAACTGGACAGAGAGGAATTCGATGTCAAAGTCGGAAGGGCCTTAGAAATAAACTCTCATCCTAGAGAGGGGAAATTGAGGCCCATGGCAGGGAATTGGTTTGTCCAATGTCACACAGCCAGTCTCCAGAAAAATGCACAGGTTACCCCAGGCGTCAGGGACGCAGACAGGCAGCAGACAAAGAATGGGAATGGAAGGTACTGGCTGGCAGTATCTGTCATTCCTCCCATCCTGCCCCCGCCGAAGCAAGTGAGTGGGGGTGTCTGTTTTGCAGGACTCTGCAAATATATGTGCCCATCAGACAGTTCTTCTACAACCTCATCCACCCCGACTACAGCGCCGTGACCGATGTGTATGTGCTCATGTTCCTGGCCGACACTGTCGACTTTGTCATCATTGTCTTTGGCTTCTGGGCCTTTGGGGTAGGTTGGGGGTGAAGGCCACCACACATCCAAGAGTGATGCTGGGCTGTGAAATGCCACTCGGGCCTGAACCTGTTGTCTCCTTCCAGAAACACTCAGCAGCTGCAGACATCACCTCTTCGCTGTCCGAGGACCAGGTCCCTGGGCCGTTTTTGGTGATGGTCCTCATCCAGTTTGGAACCATGGTGGTGGACCGAGCACTGTACCTCAGGAAGACTGTATTGGGAAAGGTCATTTTCCAGGTCATTCTTGTGTTTGGGATTCACTTCTGGATGTTCTTCATCTTGCCTGGCGTGACGGAGAGGTAAGATCTTCAGCGCCGGAGGCAGGGGCCCACTCTGATGCAAATCTGTTTCATAAGGTAATCACCCCAGGTGCTTTGGCACAGCGAAATCGCCAGTCCAGGCAGGGGTGCGGCAGAGCAGCACTGCAGGTAGGAAAAGGGAGAGGTTCCAATTCATATTAAATTCACTGTGAATCCAAAATGTGAACTGAGTCCTCAAAAATATTTTCATTGCATTCTGATATGCATTTTTAGAAGTAGGGTTTTCAGAATAAGAGAGGTGACAGCCCTGATGATCAGAGCAGACCTAGGTGTGTATGTTGGACTGTCTCCACATCTTAGGAGATTCAGAGATGAATTGGAGCATGGCCTTAGGAGCATTATTAAGAGGATTAGATGTCGTGAAACTATGTCATATGAGAAGTGGATGAAAACATGGAGACTGTTTAACTGGTAGAAGAAAATATAGAGGGATGGTGGGGGACAAATGATAATAGTGTGTGCCACAGAAGGTGGCTCTGAGGGTTACATTTAACAGCATTTGGCAAGCTCCGGGCCTGGTCTGGTCTCGACACACAGGGAGGGAAGTCCGTGACTCCAGGACTCTGCTGCCGTTAACACAGCTATCGCTGCCGGTTCAAATGGGTTGGGGGGTGAAAGGAGGGAGGATTTAAAAAGAGCAGCCTGCAGCCTGAAGTTCAGAAGGGAAATCGCTGGTAAGATCCTTGAGGTGGCTGCCATCTTTCTCTCCGTGACCTTGAGCCTCTTCAGTTCCGAATGGGCCGTGTCCTCCTGCACCTCAAAGCCAGACTGTTCCCTCCCCTCCTCTCCTCTCCAAACCATAGTGCTTCTTCCTCCTCACTCTTTAGAGCTCAGGCCAGATGGCATTTCTTCCCACCCCGTGCCTCCCCCCAAGACGGTACTTGGGACCAAGTTTGTGTTAATGCAGGAGCCAATGAAAGGGACAGTTGATAGCAGAGAAACAAGGGAGACTGCAGAGACCAGAGATCGCTGTTATGTGTGAGGGTAAGGTCTGCACAGGGGAGGGTGGAAGTACCCATATGATGTCAGGGGAATGGTCATTGTAATAAACATGTTATTAAAAACTCTTCATGTTTAACATTAATCTGATCCTTTTACCATACCTCGAGTCGTTCATAGACAAGCTTTATGAATAACATGTCGATCAGGCTGGCTAACACCATTTTTGGAAGTGTGAATAGAAAGTAGGGAAAATAGATTTTACTTATGTGGCTCATAAACCAACTCAAATGTAATTCCTAACGAGGAAATCCACATCTTTTCTAACAATGGCTGGAGCTAAATGTCTGTTCTCACCTGACTGTTGAGGCTCCAACTTTCTGATTTTAGTATAAGAATTGCTTTGAAATAATCAATGGTGGCAATGCAAGATATTTTAAAAGGAAAAATCGAATTAGGAGAATTTTTCCTGAGTCTAAAGTAGAACCAACTAAATAAAGGATTGTTACTCAGAAGATCCCTAAGAGCCCAGTAGTCTGCTGTTTTACACTGTATATTGGGAGAGTAAACATACCTCAGACGATAAAAATAATTCAGATTAAGACAAGCTGTTTGTTAAAATATTAAAATTTGTTCATGAGAGTGTTATTTGTTAGTCTTTAAAATAGAGTAAGTATAATTTTCTTTATAGTTATGTAATTATAGCTACGTCTCAACTCAGAGAAATAAACCAAGTTCAACACCCTTGGTAGCTGGATGATGAAAGTTGATTATTTAAAAGCATCAAATAGCCATTCTCCACCAGCCTTCGTAGAAACTCTTAATTTCAGAGAAGAAAGAGACCTTAAAAAGCTTTCTCAACCTACTGTCTAATTGTACAGATTGAGATAGGTGAAACCCATAAAGAAGAGTGATCTTTCCAAAGTCACTCAGCTAATTATTGGTGAGGCCAGATCCCAATCCCAGGCCTCTTGGCCCTACTGTATACTACACATACTGTATACTACACCTACTGTATACTACCCCCTCACCAATGGGAAGTGTCTCGCACTTGTTTCCAAGCAGGTTTTTTTAAAGTGACAGAGCCTGCAATTTCATTGTGCAGTGTGAAAAGGGTGTGATTACTCCAATCGCAGAAGAGGACTCCCAGCCCCAGAGCATGGATCTTTGCCATGTCCTGACAAGGGAGCCCCACAGAGACCAGTGCTTCCAGAAATATGGTGATAGCGAAGCCACGGAGAGTCACTCTAGTAAGGTCAAATCACCAGATAGCTTTGCTTTTCCTGCTTGTGTCAGTTTCCTATTGCTTCTATGACAAATTACCACAAACCTAGGGCTTAAAACAATGCAAATTTATCATTTTACAATCCGGTGGGTCAGGAGTCTGCCACGGGTCTCACTGGACTAAAATCAAGGTGCTGAGAGGGCGGGTCCTGTCAGGAGGCTCTGGGGAGAATCCGCTCCCTTGCCTGTTCCAGCTCCTAGAGGTGCCCATGTTCCTTGGCTGGTGGCCCCTTCCTCCATCTTCAAACCCAGCAAGAGGGGTTGAGTCCTTTTCGCGTTGTGTCTCTCTAACCCTTCTTCCATGGTCACGTCTCCCGCTGACCACAGTGAGAAAGATTGTCTCCTTTAAGGATCTGATTAGCCTGGGCCCACCTGGATAACCCGGGCGATGTCCCCATCTCAAGTCCCTTAACCTTAGCCACATCTGTAGGGTCCTCTCTGCCCGGTAAGGATGACGCGTTCACAGGTTCTGGAGATTAGCACGTGCACGTCTTTGGGTGGGTGCATTTTTCTGTCTGCCATACTGTTTTGCCAGGCTTTTGAAGAGATTAACCACGTAAGAAAACACCTGCCAAAGCAAATCCTGCTGAAATGTTTGTTATGACTGATTGCATGAAAGCTTCTCCTGTAGTGACTTATAAAAGCGTATATTCAGTTCAGTTTCACGTTTTCAGTAAACGCACAGCACCTCCTGTGTCCAGGGCAGTAGACCAATGTGAATGAGGCACGGACCCGGCCCCATTTGGGAAGGCCCACAGAGTGTTCCCCAGGGCTCATGTCACTATGACAGTCACTAAAGCTGTGGCCACAGCTACCATGTCTGCCTTGCTGGATTTCACCAGTGAGCCTCACCTAATGGCCACTCCTAGTGCAATACATTATCCTATCTTTATTTTGAGATATTTAACACGAGATATATTAGCACCAGCAAGCCTTCTGTCTTCATTGCCAGCATGTCAGTGGCAACATAATTTACTGACATTTCAAACCCTGCTGCCATTACTTAACATTCAAAGTTCATTTTTCCTCCTTCAAATATTGTTACTGAAAATTTAATTCATTATTGTTCATATTAATTTAGGTCATATTGTCTAAATCCTTTTCAAAACAAGAAAAGAAGAAATAAACAGTCTTTTTAAGCTATACAGAAGAAAATTATGGCTACTGGTCAGAATACTGAGCATCAGGAAGCTCCAATATCTTGAATAATTAATCTGATAAATGGTTCTTGCTGTGTTCGTGCACGTCGTTTGGTCCACAAACATTCAGTAGTTGCCTACAGGCTACAAAGCACCGTGTAAGTAGGTGCCGTGGGAGACCCAGGGAGGAGTAAGGCGTGACTCCCACCTGCACTGAAACACGCAGAGACGCCAAGGAGAAACTCTTGCAGCACAGGACTCCCTCACCGCCCCTCGTTAGGTTAACATGACCACTTCAGGAACTACAGATTAGCTGTTCCTTATTCCAAGGTGACACATTTTAAGGTTGTAGGAGAGCAAATGTCTACTTTTCTTAATGAGTAAAACATGGATTGGTCCTTTTATAAAGAACAGAAGGTAACACAGTTTTGTGTCTTTGACTATAATTTTGATAGATGCCGAATAATTTTTTCCCGTGCAGTTTTCATATTAAGTCTCTGTAAAATCAAAGGACATTTTCCTGGAGAGCTAAAATAATGTTCTTCTTAATGTTCTACTGATACAGACAGTTCCTGGAAAGAGCAGGAGGATGGATAGTTGACATGGGCTGTCTGTAAAATATCTCATATATTTGTTCCTAGCTTGTCAAGTTCTAGGTCATGGTCAAATATAGTTGAATTAATTCATTAGGTCCTGAGGTACCAAAGCTGGATTTCTCTACAGGGGAGACATTCATAAGCAATATTTTTGAGATTTAGTTGTTGAGATCTACGTAAAGATGCCTGGGCTCCCCAGACGTGTAGGCCCACACGTTCCTGGCTTATTCTTAGATCTTGTCAACTAAAGAATAGCTATTTGAATTTTAAAATAACACGTTTTCTTCTAATAACAAAATTAAAAGTTAATAAGACAAATCCAAAATACAACATAAAGAGTAAAACACGGCTTGTGTAAAAAACTTCCAGTATTGCTCTTGAGTTTAAACACAGGGGAGATTATACTAGGTCTTGCTGAGTCACAAGTCTTATTTTTTTATTTCCTTTTTAAAATGTGTACTGGCCATGTTTAAGACTCTTGCAGAATGCTGCATTTATCCAAACTGAAAAATGGCCCTATAGCTCATCATTCTTTAAAAATGGTGTTCCAAATTTTTTTCTATTGTGAAATTTAGTTCCATTAAGTTTTTGCTCTGACTTACGCTAGCATTCATGAACTGCACGACACATTGGGTCTCTTCACGAGTTATTCACCAGGAGAAGGGACTACCGTCTCTATTTTTGAGGACATCATTTTAAAAAGGAAGGTTAGATCATGGAGTCATCGATTTTCAGAGTTAGGGAAAATTTTCAAATAAAGACATTGCTGTCTTGAGAAATGATGGCTTGAGGAACAAACCCCATATCTTGTGAACAGAACTGGAACCAAAATCCAGGTGTCAAAATTTTGTTAATCCATTACCCATCTTTATAGTTGTGTAGCAAAAAAGAATTGGGAGTTCACATTGCAGAATTCTTTCTCTTACATCTTCCAAATTATGTTGTCCTTTTAAGTAAGAAATCCATTTTGTTTTTTCTGTGTCAGGCTTTAATTTGGACCATGGTAGCAGCAGCATTGATATTGGAAGAAATGTTTATAAGTAAATTCACCTAGTAATTTCTTGTAATCATGGCCTAAACAGTGAAGTAATACACTTCATAGTTGTAGATGTACTTGTTAGTTGGGAGCATCAATCACAGGAATTTTTTTAATTATTAGATTTTCTTACCCTACATTTTAGCCTTTGAAGTTATGCACTATGTGTAGAGAATTCCCTACGGTTGACTGAATTGACTTTGAGTGCCAGAGGGGCAATTAGGCTTTTTTTAATACTATGCTGGTGTCCTTTTGCACCAGGAGAGTATTCCATTGCTTCACTTTTCTGATCTTTTACATTTTAGGAAATTCAGCCAGAACCTGGTTGCTCAGCTTTGGTACTTTGTGAAGTGTGTTTACTTCGGGCTGTCTGCCTACCAAATCCGTTGTGGCTACCCAACTCGTGTCCTTGGAAACTTCCTCACAAAGAGCTACAATTATGTCAACCTCTTCTTGTTTCAAGGGTAAGGACTCTCGGCATGCACGTCGCTCCCAGAGGGGAGGCTGGGGCTGAAGGGAGAATGCTGATGGGCAGCAGTGTAGATCCGCATGGACTCTTACAGTGCTTCACAAAAGAACAGTTACACCTCTTCAAACCCCTTTCCATGTGTAGTTGCCACACACCCAGCCACGATATTGTTCTAGGTCATCCACGAGGATTAATTTTCTATTTCTGTATCCTACATACTTACTGTGATAATATTGCAGGAGGAAAATAGATATACATGATCCTTAAGTATTAATACTTCTGCAAAAATGGAACAGGATAATTGGAATCTGGACTATTCCAAATACCTTGGGCATTTTAGGAATACAATAAGTTCACCCATTGAAGAGGGGCATTTATTCCACCTGACACCAACCTGAATGCCACACAACTTGCTTGTTGCTGGTTGGAAGTTAACTACTCAGATGAAGCATATTGGCTCTTCCACGTGAGGATTTCACTTGTAGTATCTCTCCTCTGTTCCCTCAGAAGTTATACCATGATATAGAGGGTCAGGCTACTCATGGCACTGCTCACTCCCTGGTGGCACCAGACCTGGGGACTGGTGACTTAGTCACAAAAGGGTGTTGAACATTCTCAGATGTTGTGAACTGTCATGAGTGGAACGATGTTTCACTTAGTGCCATCCTGGGTGGGGGCCTGACATTTCTTCTAGGGGTTGGGTTAGTGTTCCTCCAACAGAGCTGAGTAGCACGGGGCGCTTTCTGAGTGGTAACTCCGCCACTGTGAGGACCCAGGGATGAACCCCGGTTCTCCAGCTTGGGAGAAGCTCTGTGTCACTTAGCAAATAAGGATAAGTCCCCAGACCTGAGAGGAGCCCAGGCCAACCCATTCCCAGCTGAAACACAAGAGGCTAACCAGAGTCCCATCAGCCTTAGTCATCTAGTAAGTCCGCCAGCTGTGGGCCCTCCTGCCTCCGCTGGTGAGGACTTCCTCTTACTTCTCTCATTTGCCCTCATCTTCCACTTACCTGGTGAATAGTCTTTCCCAGCTCATTCAACAACAAAGCCCCAATAATTGACCAACAGATTCTCATAACATAAACAGATAAATGTTTAAAAAAGTGAAATTGTGGTTATTTGTAGATGATATGATCTTGTATAGAGAAAATTCTAAAGACTCACCCAAAAAACTGTTGGAACTAACCAACAAATTCAGTAAAGTTGTAGGATATAAAATGAACATACAGAAATCAGTTGTGTTTCCATATACTAACAATGAAATCTGAAAAAGAAATAAAGAAAACTCTCTCATTCACAATAGCAGCAAAAACAATAAAATACTTTGAAATAAATTTAACCAAAGAAGAGAAAGATTTATACAATGAAAACTACAAGACTTTGATGAGAAAAATTGCAGAAGACACCTTCAAACTTCTTTAAAAAAGGAATCCAAATTTGTTAAGACCATCTGCCCAAAAGAAAGGAATGGAAAATACCAAACCCTATATTGGACTTACAATGAAAATCAGTTGTATTCCAAGTTGGATTTTACCATAAAGATCACCTTGAGAATTTTTTCTGTCACAAGAGCTAAAACAATAAGGAACTACATGAGCTGCCAGCGTTGGCCCGGTGATAGGGACCATCCCACAACCGTGTCTCTAACAATACGTGGTTTCTGCCAGGTTCCGCCTTGTTCCGTTTTTGACTGAGCTGAGGGCCGTGATGGACTGGGTGTGGACAGACACGACCTTGAGCCTCTCCAGCTGGATCTGTGTAGAGGACATCTATGCTCACATATTCATCCTGAAGTGTTGGCGGGAGTCAGAAAAAGTAAGTCAATAAAAATGCCTTATCCTTGTTTGTTTCTCTTAGATATATGCTGGTTATAAGATTAATGTGAATTTCTGCAAGTATTATGGTCAAATAAATGGAGACGGGGCAAAAACTACCAGGCCCTATAAAAAAAAGTCCCATTGCTTTCCACCCTGCTGGAGTTGGGAATTGGGGACTTGCTGCTGCCTTAGCCAGCAAGAGCATCCAGATGTGCTCTTCCTTTGGCAACTGTACATTATAGTTATTTTAAAAGGAAGAAATGATATATTGGTGGATGACCCAGTAATTTTTAAATGGCTCACCTGGGAGCAGGAGGGAGTGTGGTATGTAGAGAACTGTGGGGGCAGGTGACTTGGACTCTGGCTCACCTTCTCATTTACTCTGCGATGAGGGACAATTTAACTTCTGTGCAAAGGAAATTGAAATGCAAATATTTGCTTATTCTAAGGTTCAATTATGGGTAAAATTACTATTGTTTATTGGATTTTTCAAAACTTTGAGATGTGAAACAGGAGTTTTTGCATAATAGCAATAGAAATACCCAAAAAACATTAGCCAAGGTGGTATGAAATGTCTTTTTTCCTCATCTTGAGAATACCCTCTTTGGAAAATTCCTCCCTACTCCATATAATTTCTGGTGTGTTCTGCAGCTTCTTCTGCGAGTTTCAGCTTTGAAGTCATGGGACCCATTGTAGTGTGGCCTCTGTGTTAATGGGGTTTGTGGGAGTGCAGAGGATGGGGAGTGGCAGTATACTTAAAATCATACTAGCTCATCCTGATTTTTAAGGAGCAAAAGGGTTGAGACGATGACAGAACATGAGAGCCAGTCTACCAAAGGGACATTGAGGGTAGCAGTCAAGGTGACAGTGGGTCTGGAAATCATGACATATGAGGAAAAGTAGGAAGAACCAAGAGTTATTCAGTATGAAGTAGAAAAAAGTGGGGGGAGGCAAAAATAGTAGCTGTTTTTAACTATTTGAAATATTGGAAAACAGATGAAAAATTCAAATTAGGTTGTAAGACTCATGAAAACAGAATTAAGACAAGTAGGCAAAAGCTCCAGTAAGTCTCAATGGAACATGAAGAACTTTCTAATAATCAAAGCTACCTCATCACAGACAGGCCACCTCTGGAGGTCTCCCTCCAGTTCCTGGAGCCATTCATTCAACAGGGGTTGTATCAGTTGTCAATTGCTGCTAACAAGTATCTCAAAACTTAGTGGTTTAAAGATAACCATTTTTTCTGCTCACAGTTCTGGGGGTCAGCATTTTGGGCTGGGTACCACTGGGCAGCCTTGCCTGGCATCACTCCTGTAGCTGCCATTTTGGAGGGAGCAATCATAGGCAAGGGAAAGGCAAGAGAGAGAATCAGTTCAAGAGAGGCAAGTCAAGAGGATGATTTCAGAACAAGAGGATCTGAACCTTTCTGAGATGGTAAGCAAAAGACCAGAAGAAAAAAGAAAAGTAAAAGTTCTTAGGATCAGAGGCAAAGGAGGAAGATCCAGATGGGGATCCGGAAAGCGTAGAATGAGAGGCAGGGAAATGGGTCAGCAGTGACAAAGAGGAACTGCCGTCCCACGAAGTTGAGGGGTGGAGGGCGGCAGCAGTGAACAAACTCATGCCAGATAGCCTGTCTTCTCCACAAGTAGACAAGTTCATCTGTTGAGAGCAAGAGTGAGAAAAGGCATTCTGAGTCCCCAAGCCTGCCCACAGGGTGCCAGAAACGATGAGGCGTCGCTTCCCCTGGATGAACGGGAGCGGGCTCTTTACAGGTGGGTTTCTGAATCCGAACTCCTGTAACTCTCCCACACAGAGGCAGGGCCATCTTTCATGTGAGCATCTGTGGCTGCCCTGTTCCTTGGCTCATACATGATTTTCACCGCCTTTGAGCCAACAGATGACAACAGTCTTTTTCTTTTCTCCCCCTCAAAGCCCCCAAGTACATAGTTGTATACTCTACTTGTGGACAACATTCTTCATACTGTAGTGAGGCGGTCACACCCAATGCCCGTTCTCCTTATGAAGGACAGGGTCGTTCTGGCCCAGAACACTAGGCATTCTCGCCCAATCGAAGACTTGCAATTATCCTTTTTATTTTATCTTTAAGAAGTAAAAAGCCTCATTTTAATGCATCACATCTACTTAAATATATACTTCTGTCTTAGGCTAAGTTGATGGCTGTTTCAGAACATCTGCTTTTTAAGTCAAGCATGGTAAAACTTCCTGAAAAAGGTACATATTAAGGGAGTCTATGGGCATCTGGCACTAGTTTCTACTCTACGCCATCAGAGACGAAACATTACCAGTGACAATCACTTGTCTAGTACGAAGTGGAAGAGTCAGCTTCTTTTAAAGTTAGTTTTGGGGGATTATTCCATGTCGACTGTAATATGCTCCTGGGACTTTATGAATATACTTTCTGAAGCAAGGACAATTTCCTGAAAGGCAAATTGCTCGCATGAGCACACACAATGCAGGCCGCTCGCTCCTAGTCACATTTTACAATCACTCCATGTAGCCATCTCCTGAAACATTGCAGGAAGCTGGCTGGAAGTGTAGCCCGACAGAGACGCAGGAGAGAGCTGACTGTCCCAGGAAGGGGAGGACGGAGCAGTGCAGGACGTGAAGGGGCAGTCTCTTTGGAAAGTGAGGGGAAAAGTGGCCTCATAGTTAGAGACAGATCTGAAGGCCTTGGCCCTGTTCTCTCCTGGGAAATGCAAGGAGGGTTGAGCAGGAGGAGGGACGAGATGGGTGGGGGTTCTGGGGACTTGGAGATGAGCCTTCAGGAAAGCAACTGTGTGGTCCCACTTGAGGCAGAAGAGGAGACCCGAGCTGCTCTTGGCAGAGATAAGATAAATCTCCTTTAATTCACACGACTCTTCGCTATGGAATGCAGGGGTGCTGTCGGAGTGGGAGGAGTGGCCTATTGTCTAAACTTGCCTCACCGAGAAAATCATGAAAGAGCAAACCTACATGTGTGTGTATGCATATAGGCGTGTGCGTGTGTGCATTATGTGTATGAATATATATTTCAAATATTTAAATAGTAGACTCTAGTTTTTCTTTCAAAATAGAAAATTATAACCAACAGTATCAAATTCCAGAGCAAAAATATCGAAACACACTGCCGTGATCTGAACTTCACACAGCTTCCACAGAGCAGCGTCATCTAGAAGCATTATCTTATGTGCACTCGGTGTATTCTGTTCCCCATCCTGGCTCTCCTCTGCCCTCCACTGCAGCCCCCTGTCCTCATGTTTCCAGACCCATCTCCCACAATCACTAAGTGTCGAGGCTCGTAGAGCCTTTGTAGCAAGGTCCTTTAAAGTTCTTGAGAACATCTATACTGACTCCCAGGCCTCTCTCTGAGTTTGTGACCTAGCGCTCAGTGTCTACAAGTAGAATGTGGATTCTCTTTCCTTACCTTAACCTATTGAAACGAACCGATGTCCCTGAGGGAGTGTGAGCCCCAGGGTAACAGGCCGGGTTGGGGAGTGGGGATGGCCACCATGCAATGTATATAGCCTAACCTCCAGGGTAACCCTGGAAGAAAACTGGTCACTGCAAAGCCACAAAGAACTAGGAATGCACGTATAGATCTGAAGTAGCTTTAATACCAGACAGCAAGCTAGCTCCTTCCACCTTGTGCAGAGTCTCTAAGCTCAGTGCTTGGTGAGTCCTTAATAAAAACAATAGAAGTGATTCCAGCCCTACCGGCACACTGCTCTTGTATGAGAGAGCAAATCCCTCGTGTGACACACACACCTACCCCCATCAATACACACCTACCCTCCCTCCAACACCACCCCCAGAAGAGCACCCAGCGAGGGCCTGTGCAGAGTCACGGTGGCCCAGAGAAGGCGCTTCTGATCCTACACATCTTATTGTAGGATGTGAAAAACAACATCTTGGACAACCTGTGTCATGAGTAAAATTAAAAATGTTTTTCCACCCACCAAGGGCAGGAAGAGATCAGTTGAAAGGCATAGCTTTTGAATATTCAGAAATTTAAAGTCAAATGTCTTTCTCCTGCATGATCCCTTCAAAGCAGAACCACCGTTCAGCAGAGTCCTTGACCTGTGGGCCACCGGCATGACCCACACGGCCATTTTAAGGAGAAAGGCACTTAGGCTGTGGCGGTCCCTAGTGGTACTTCCTGGTACAGCGAGCTCATTACAGCCTCACGTCACTACCTAACTTCCTACCAGGTGGGGACAAGGCTGCTCTCCCCAGTTCAGAGCAGGCAGAGCAGAATCGGGACTGAATCCAGTCGCCCCCCTTCTCCCCCTGGGATGGCACTGAGCCTTTGGGAACTCTTCCGTTGCAGAGATACCCTCAGCCTCGGGGGCAGAAAAAGAAGAAGGTGGTAAAGTATGGCATGGGGGGCATGATCATCGTGCTGCTCATCTGCATCGTCTGGTTTCCTCTTCTCTTCATGTCCCTGATCAAGTCTGTCGCTGGAGTGATCAACCAGCCCCTGGATGTCTCCGTCACAATCACCCTGGGAGGGTACCAGGTAATGGCTGTGCACTTCTCCCGGTCTCACCTACCTGCTGGCACCTCACCTGCCACAGGTGTCTTTCCTGATAACCACCCACAGGACGTGTGGTTAGGTTTTGCAAGTCCGTATTTCCTATTTCAATTTTGACTATGTGATGTTTGAAATAAGGTGCACGAGACAGTGAAAGAATAGCTCTGTTTTGTTTTTGAGCACATGCATAGTTCCTTCCAAAAGAGATCTCTGAGACCAGTTGCCGTTGGGTACTCAATGGGTGATATACGTGTAAATGTTTTTCTTTATCCCAGGATGCAGAGAACAGCTTTGGAATATTGACAACACTGTATACCTTTGTTTTCCAGCCTATTTTCACGATGAGTGCCCAGCAAAGCCAGTTGAAAGTTATGGACCAGCCAAAGTTTAATAAATTTATAAAAGCTTTTTCTAGGGACACTGTAAGTAAATGCATATAATAGATCTCTATGAAGATCTTTCACCTGGGTGAGCGTCCTGGTTGTCATATTTGTCACTGTTTGCTATGCCTGTGGTGGTGGGAAGGACTTTTCAGAGATTATCAATTATACCCAGCAGCTTCCTGGCCACTGGCCACTTTGATAATCTGAGACCTTATATCTATATTATTGAACAGAGTGTTAACAAACATAATTTTAATTCAGAACATTTTGATGTAAGCACAACAGATGTTGATTCTTTTTAAATTGTGAGAGATATGGATCCCTTTGACTGGTAGATCTGCCCTGGAAATCTATCTTAATGAAAGAATTCAAAATATGGGGAAAGCTCTGTGCGGGCACCTGCTCCTGAGAGCATTCTCTGCAGTAGTGAAAACCAGCAGCAACTTGAGGGTCCAACAAGGAGGAGCTGGTTGAATAAATAACGGCAGGTGTACTTCGTGGATTTGTTTGGCACTGGCTTCTGGGGTGTTCGGTGGGGGAGAAGGGGTAGCACTTTTTATTTTATTTACATGCCATGCTGTCTGAATATTTGCCAAGCAACCTGTCTTGTAATGAAAAATAATCATTACAAAGACTACACATGGCAGGAAAATTTGTCAAGATAAAACGTAAATGAAAAGGTTATACAATATTATTTTTTAAATGATAAAAAAATCAGATACTCATCTCTTGCTGCATAAAACAGTGATAAGATTCTGGTGGCAGAGTTGTGCCTGATGTAATTCTTTTCTCTACATCCCAAACTTCTAATAATATGCTAACATGATTTTTCATAATTAAAATTTACTTTACAAATAATGCTTTTTATTTAAAGAAAGTGATTAGGCAAACTTTTCTCTTTTGTAAAATTATCCGCCTATAATGCACACTGTCAAAACTAATCTTGAAGAATGAGCAGCTATGGGGCCAGGGCCAGGATGTCCTGGGTGTGTTAAATTTGACTCTCTCACAAGAGACGTTCCCCAGTAGTTGATAGATTTCCTTCTTAGTGGGGAGGAAAAGTGACACTCAAGCATCTGACTTTTCTTTACTGTTTAATTAGAATGACTCCACAGCTGCATTGCTGTGGCAACACCACCCCTGGGTTTGGCGACGTGACTGCCCGTACCTGTGGGAGCACAGTTAGTACAATGGAACGCCGAGACAGTCCATTATAGAGATTTTCCTTTCATAGGAAGAAATCCTCTCTATGCAGTCAGTTACAAGGAAGAGTGATCACTTTCCTTATGTATCATCACGTATGTGATCTATTTATGCATGTATATTTGTGCGCATACAGGGTGCTATGCAATTTCTGGAAAATTATGAAAAAGAAGACATAACAGTAGCAGAACTGGAAGGAAACTCAAATTCTTTGTGGACCATCAGCCCTCCCAGTAAGCAGAAAATGATACACGAACTCACGGACCCCAATAGTAGCTTCTCTGTTGTTTTTTCCTGGAGTATTCAGAGGTAGTTACTGTGCTTCCATGCATGATTTCCCCCTTTCCCCCATCTAAACTCAGGGCGGGGGTGGGGTAGAAGGATAGAAGAATTCCGGTAATGTGGATCTTGGTTGACACTGCATCTTGGGAATACCCATTTGATGCTAAAACTAACATTTTTATTTATTAAGTAATGACTTGCTTGGGAATCATTGACAAAACTAAGAACTTCTTCAGTTTCCCTTTTTTCTGCTAACTTCAGTTTTTAAAGAGAGGCTGGCAATGAGTTCTGCAAACAAGAGAGAGAGGTAGAAAGAAAAGAAAGAGGTGATGATTATAAAATGAAGCAGAGTCTGGGTGAATTCTAAGATTTCTCTGAAAGGTTGAAGTTTTGTCTTAATAATAAAGAACTTGCAGCCTCTGGAGCCTCGGCTGCTCACTCCACGCCTCCGACACCAAGGAAGCCCTGGGGGATCTGTCCTCCAAGCGTGACTGTGAGAGCAGCCTGGCAGCCCCAGGATGGAGAGCTGAGGAGCTTCCTTTCCACCTAAGCTGAGCCCATGGCAGCATGCAGCCACTGCTTCACTTCTTTAGACAGAGCGTGTCTTAGGAAAAGTTCTTGCAGCCAAAAGCTGGACACGTTAACTGTGTCGCTTGGGGGCCTCGAGGCAGGACAGGAGCCAATGAGTTTTCTTTCTGTAATCACACTCCTGTGACAGGGACTCTGGGCAAGCTTATTTGGTCAGGGAAGTGATAGGTCCATTTGGGTCCACAATACCAGCTTCTTGGAATTCAGAAAGAATCACGATAGATAGAGAAGCAGGCTTTTCCAATCTACAGGGAATTTACAAGGAAACGGTAAAGAATATTTCAAAGTGAGCTGTTCAGAATTTAAAGAACTCCTTCTTTAATCTTATTTTCTCCTTTCAAATGTCCCCAATTCCTCACACGGAATTCTGTACTGCCAAAAATTTACTTCCTAGCCTTTTCTTTGAAGAGCTACCAAAACAAGAACAATAACAATGAAAATTAAAAATCACCCTGATTGAACAATCTTTTTAAAACATGTGGAGACTAGCTTGATGGGGTTACTGTAAACAGTGTTGGGAAACCCCTGTCAGAGGTCAAGATGGTTTCTCTGTGAGTCAGCGGACTCTGTCCTCGCCCGCCTCTGTTCTGGAGGGGTTTGTGGCCTCCTGGGGTTGTACTAACTTGGTTGTCTAAGAGGCTGGACATAAAGGTGAGGCAGACACACAGGGTTGGGTTGACACTTGTGAACCCAGTGAAAACTTGGTGAGATTAATAAAATGAAGAATCACGTGAATTTTTAAATCTCTCTTCCCGACTTCTGAATAATCACTGACATTGAACTCTTTTTTTTTTTTTTTTCACAGAAACATGAGTCTGGGTGCAAAAGCAGAAATAGCAACAGATAAGCTTTCCTTTCCTCTTAAAAATACTACCCGAGAGAATATAGCTAAAATGATAGCTGGCAACAACACAGAAAGTTCCAAAACACCTGTGTAAGTTGACTGTTGCTATTAACACAGCTTCAATAGATGTGTCTATCTGGTACCTAAGCTCCATCTACAAATGCTTGTGTTCAAGAACCTCAGTAACTGAGCAAATTTCTGTTTGGAAGCCTCATTGTGCTGGATTAAAGCAACCCCATTTCTTCCTTCCTGCTCTCCGTCCACTCACACAGGGAGGGTTGATCGCATCTCTGGGTAGCAGGCCTTGCTGAATCTGACCATAAGCACCAGAAGCCAGGGAAAGACCCTGTGGGACCCTCTGCTACTGCTACTCCTGCCCCAGGGTCACTGGATGCCTGGCCAATGAATGGGGGATGAGGAAGCCAAGGGGGAAAAGGAAATTCGGGGGGAAAAACTACATTTTAACATATTATCCTGCCGTACAAGTACTCCACTTCAAACAATCCAAACCGTGATGTATAGATTCTGACATGAGAACTAGCAAGAGAAAAAGATGCTATTGGCGTAAAACTGCCAAGTGGAATATTCCCGACGTCCCCCAGGCTTGCCCAGGCTGCCCTCCAGTCTGCCCGGCCCTGTTTTAATGCAGTGACGATAGGAAGCGCCCTGATGCAGTCCTCAGATGTGTCCCCAAGACAGCCCTTGTCAATCGTTAAAGTGGAGGGGCCCTTGAAGATCGTCCAGTCCCTGCATCATTTCCTGGTGAGAACACGGGTCTAGAGAGGCAAAACGGCCTCAGGCCAGCTCGCCCACCGCAGAAGCAGGGCCGGGCTGGGGTCAGCAGGTCTCTCCTCAGCCCTCACTCTGCGTGAGCAACTCATGCAGGCCACTTGATTATAGATATTTTTGAAATCCTAAAACTTAAAATTAGAAGAGTGCTCAATGCGATTGAAGAGAGTTACAGGATCCTAGCAAGAAAGAGCCCCGAGCTTCAGGAACAGTCACAGACAGGGGAAAATGTCTGTAGCAGGTTTTAAGCCATTAACTAGCTGGTGTACAGAGTTCACATGAGGATCTGGAGAGAACCTGGTGAACTCGCTCAGCCTCAGAGAAGTCTGATTATAATGGAAACGCATAAATTATGATGACTACATGTTGCGTAGATGTATGAAGACTCTCGCCATTATTTGTTTGATACGAGGTCAAAAATAACAACAAAAAATCAACTTTATGTGGGTAAACCAACTAAAACTTAATTACCTCCTTTTTTTTCTTAATGCACAGGACTATAGAAAAGATCTACCCGTATTACGTGAAAGCACCCAGTGATTCCAACTCAAAACCTATAAAGCAACTGTTATCTGGTAAGAATGAGAAGGAATTGTTTCAGAAATTTTTTTAGTCCTTCTTTCATTCAACTTCTACAGTTTGCATTTTCAGCCTTTATCAAGCTCCTTTCTGGTTTATTTCCCTGTGTGACACGGCTTGCAAGAAACCTAAGACTGCCAGCTGCCTTCGCCAGCCAGAAGGAGTCATGTGCTCATCCAGGAGCCATATTCTTCATTTTCATTGATATAGAACACTCTGTCTTTCATTGATATACAACAGGATTGACTTAGATCCACGTTTAGTGACTTTTACTACTGATTAATCTGTCTGTTTACTTGTTTCTGTTAGCAGCCATACTTTTGGCAGAAAACTGTCTCATACAGTGTTAAATATGAAGGCTCCCTCCCTCCCCCCAGCCAATAAGAACAATAAAAAGACAGCTGGAATGTACTTGATTCAGCCTAAGGGTGATTAAATTCAATAGTCCTACTCTGAGGACTATATCTTCCCAATATAACAGTGATGGTAGCGAATTGGTATTTTTGGACTCTTAATTATCGAGCACTGTGTGACTTAATCAATTACCTGGACCAGAGTAGATGTATACACCTGGGAAAGGTAGAAGGACAATGCAGTTATCCAGTTCATGTGCATTCATTGCCGACATGGATCACTTACTGTCACCAGGCAGTGTGCTGGGCACTGGAGACCAGGCTCTGCATGGCTCGCGTTTAGCTGGAAAGACAGAGATGTAAGTAAACAGTCAGAATCCCCATGGAGATTGCCAGAAATAGAGGCAGGAAAGAAGGCCGGCGGAGGACAGCACTGGCTGGCCCCCACATCTGTATGCTCTTCTTCCTCGACGGTAAAAACATATGTCTCGCAAGGTAATTGCAAGATGCATTGAGAACCTGGTACAGTCCTCCCTTGGTATCTGTGGGGGATTGGTTCCAGGACCCCCGAGGACACCAAAATCCAGATGCTCGAGTCCCTTATGTAAAATGGGGCAGTATTTGCATATAACCTACCCACATCCTCTTGTTTACTTTAAATCATCTCTGGATTACTTACAGAGCCCACTACAAGGTAAATGCTGTGTAAATAGTAGTTATACTGTATTGTTTAGGGAATAATGACAAGAAAAAAAGCCTGTACACGTTCAGGACAGATGCAACCATCATAGGCCGTTTCGATCAACCGTTGGTTGACTCCGCAGTTGCAGAAGCCAGGGATACAGAGGGTCAACTGTATTTCCCTTTCAATCTGGAATAGTTCTAGAAATGTTTGGTCTGACATTACAGACTGCCCCACAATCAGTCATTACCCCTGAAACGTTTCTGTCCCTCAGCAGGCTCTGCCCTGCCGCGTTACCTCAGCAGGTCATCTCCTCCTGCCTTCCCAGTGGGTCCCAGCCGGCCAGGGGCCACTCCTTCAGCCTCCTTTCTCTTCTTGGCAAAACATCTTGTATTTTCACAGACCCCTTCTTTCTTCCCTTCAGCCTCAAATAAAGATGTGTCCTCTCTCCCTTGCAAGGTCAGCCTTTCCCTGTGCCCTGGGTCCCATCCCCTTCCTGCCTTCATCCGTGCAGCATCCTTTATCCACCTCCTCTTTGACCTGTGCTGTGCCTCTCCCCACACTGGCTTGTCTGCCTGTGAATGATCTAAACTCCAACCTACAAAGTCCCTGTTCCCCAGACCACGTGGCTTTGGTGTTCTCAGATCCTGCCTACAGCTTATCTGATGAGCTTTACTGAGGTATTTCTGATCTTGACCACAAGGTATATTTAGCAGAGGCTAATGGTTATCACCAGTTTATGGGTGAGGAAACTGAGGCTCCAAGTGTGAAGGTTATACAACCGGTATGTGCAAGAACCAGATCCAAACTTGGCCTATCTGGGCCCGGGGCCAAATTTCCCCTCAGAACTGTCTCTGGACATCAGAACCAACATTATTCCTGTCCCTAAGTATTCCGAGTGGTTCACATTCTTCCTGGGTGAGGACTTTATCTTTCTCAGTTTCCTGCCTTTCTTCACTCTCCATCATCCATCCATCTATCCATCCATCCATCTAACAAACAGGTGTTTATTGCCAGGCACTGTCCTAGACTCCTCTGATCTAGGAATTTGGCGTGAGATAATGCAGACTTGGTTCCTGCCTTCATGGAGTTTGCAACCCACCGCCATGTTTCTCAGTGGAAGCCCTATTATCATTGGTAGGGGTGGCTCTTCTTAGAAAGACCTATATAGTGTAGTTCTAAGCTGTTTGTTTGCCTTATCTTCTACTATTCTTTCACAATCACCTTATGCTTCAACAAAAGCAATCATTGATCATACATTATGGGTTTTCAGAACTTTGCAGAACTTCATGCCATCAGTCTTCACTGAAAGGGTCTCCTCTCCCCACTCCATCTCCACCTATTGAAGTTCTCACTCAGCAAAACTCAGCTCAGAAGGCATCTCCTCTGGGAAGCCCTCATGGGTCATACCAACCAGGAACGATCTCTCCAAGCTAACAGACCTTGTCAGTGCGGGCCCTTGGGTGGTTGCCACATGCCCTTAAATTGTGCTCATGTCCATGGTCTTTCCCACTGAGATAAGGAACCATGCTGTATGCAACTTTGTAACCTCTAGCACCTAGCCTTTCTCCTAGAAGACACTCAGTAAATCCTAGTAATATGTATGAATCAGTCAATTCAATCAAGAGTCAATGATTTGGGTTTTTAAATGTCTAAGTAGTTATTTGGAATAATTAGCACAGGGGATCTTTCACTCCCCCCTGTGATTTGGCTGCCATGCACATGTAGCAACAGTGACTAACCTCATTAGTGAACAAGAGAAACCCCGTTCACCCCTAGTGCACGCTCTTCCTTTTCCTCTTGCATTGCTAGCATGTCCATATGTCCTTCTTGTCCTGGAACCATGTGCTTTGAATGGTAACCAGGTTTTGGCATCTGAGAACTGTTGATGTGCATTAAATCCTAAACTTCTCAAACTAACTTGCTTTTATTTTTCTCCTCTTCCAGAAAATAATTTCATGAACATCACCATCATTTTGTCAAGAGATACTTCAACTAAATCTAACAGTGAGTGGTGGGTTCTCAACCTGACTGGAAACAGAATATACAACCAGCATGCTCAGGCCTTGGAGCTGGTGGTCTTCAATGACAAAGTCAGCCCCCCTAGCCTGGGGTTCCTGGCTGGCTACGGGTAAGAACTCTTTTAATGGTTAATAGTTACAAGAGTCTACCTCTGTGTCCTATCAAGTTGAGGACGGTAGGCCTTTTATCTTCTTAGAGTTCTCGAATTTTATAGTTGGAATATTAAAATTCACATCTCTTTGGGCCTTCATTTTAAAAAATAAGGAAACAGTGTCCCAAAGAAGTCAAAATGCCTTGTGTGAGTCACACCATTAATGACAGTACTAGAAGCCACATTTCCAGCTTCTTAACTCTACACCTTTCCTATTGTAGCATAGTTTGATGCATTCAGGGTTTAAACTTAGAATTTGGCATAGATTTCTGCTTAGATTTCCTTCTGACCTTAGCAGATATAGGATCAACTAGAAATCACACTTTTGGACATAACCAATGTTACCATTTCACCACGTTCTGAGGCTTAAATCTTAGGACACACACATTCCCTACAAGACACAAGTGGAAAGTTTTCTGTTTCCCAGAACAAGCCTCTTAATAAATCATTGTCTATCCAGGATTTTATCATACAAATGAACCTCCATACAGTGGTGGATGGCAATTAGACTTTGAGTGGTGAACACAACTTAGTCTTCACAGAAATTGAAACATAAACCTGTTAAAGTGAAAAGTGCTAGGTACAAAAAGTGTATGGTGCAACTGCATTTCTACCAAATACAGCATGTGGTCTATGCATACAATATATGCAGAAAACCAGTTGAAGTTCATACGTGAAACCGTTAGCATTGATTATTTCCAGGAAGTGAGATTTCAAAGGACTTTCATTTTTCATGCCTACAGTTCTATAATAGGTCAATGCTTTTTTACGAAGAACATAAATTACCTTTTTAATCAGAAAAAAAATAAATGTTTTCACCAAAGGGAAGAAATTTAAGCTTTCATAAGTTTATCACATCTTCTGTGAAGTTTGAGGAAAATGTTATTTTTTCTTTTAGACACGTCCAATAGTACACGTTTAACTGCTAAGTACAATTTCTACTTAATTTTTTTTCAGTATCATGGGACTATATGCTTCGGTTGTCCTCGTGATTGGGAAGTTTGTCCGTGAATTCTTCAGCGGGATTTCTCACTCCATCATGTTTGAGGAGCTTCCAAATGTCGATCGAATTTTGAAGTTATGCACGGATATTTTTTTGGTTCGAGAGACAGGGGAACTGGAACTAGAGGAAGATCTCTATGCCAAATTAATATTCCTGTATCGTTCACCAGAAACCATGATCAAATGGACCAGGGAAAAAACAAATTGATACCTTAGGACACAGACTGCAAGTCAAGTTAACATTTGAATTTTCAGAAAAAAACAAAGCACAATATTCTCCTAAGAGCTAAACATTTCTAGTCTGATGGAAATGGTTTCTCTTCTGGCAGGTGGCCAAAAGGAGTCGACTTCCTTTTGCAGTCCAAGCTACCTTGCAAGTTAAGGCGCTATTGAAAACGTTATTTGTAATTCCATTTCTCTGCAGTCAGGGCTACTTGCTTTATGTTTAGTCAACGGTGTCTTGCGTTCTGATTGACTATGTGAAGGAATCATTTATGGCTCTGCTCCCTCAGAGAAACAGAAGAGAAGAAGGAAGAGGAGAGACTCTCATGTTCTCCCGTGTGGGCTCGCACCCCTCCTGCAGAGATGCCGTCAGGCGGTGTACAGGGCTCTGTCGCCCAAGGGGGATCTGCTGGGAGGAGAACAGATGGGCCTTGGCGCACCCAAAAGGCCACAGCAATAGGAGGCTGAGAACTCCTGAGCAATTCTGAAGGGAGAGAGGGAGGGAGCCGATGGCCGTGAAGATGCCCTTGGAAGGACAAGCCTCATTCTAAGCAAAAAGATAACATTAGTGACACTCTTACTGCCTTATCTTAACTGAAGACTCATAAGACATCTTTCCATTAAACACCAGTGACGTCTCAGGAAAAAAAAAAAAAAAGCAGCAAAACAAGTATGTGGACACCGGCTTTGCTGAGGCCCAGCTGGTGACGCCCGGCAGTGGTGGTGGCTGTTCTGCCTCAGAGAGTGGCCGCTCCTCTGCAACACGGACACAGGTAGACAGATACGCGTGCTGCCCCGCTGGACCTGGAACCCTGCGACTTTGTAGGTTTGCTCCCTGAGGTCCTGAGCTCTCCTACCTTTCCCCAGCCCTCAACACGCTTTTCCCCATTTCAATGATTTAAGGCAATGGTTTTTCCAATATGTGACATTTTCCTCCCTGTTTTTCAGGTATATCAAAGAGTTTACATATTCCAAATCACATTTTTACATCTGAGACGGGTTTTTTAAGTTCATAATTATGAAAGAAATATGTATATTGAGCTTGGGGAAATAAAAAATGGCCTTTTCTTAAATTATTATTATTATTGATAATACAACCTCTTCATTAAATAGCAATGTAGCATGAAAACTTATGATTGAAATGTAGTTTTCATTCCATATTAAAATACAGTTTCTGAGAGGAATCATTGAATGGACTAGAATATGTCAAAGAAAGGATCTTATGTAGTTTGGGTTCAGGACTGACTTAAAATAAAGCACATCTTGCAAAGTCCTTTTAAGAATACCCCTCCTTCTGCCTTTTTTTGCATGAAATAGGAAAAGTAATTGTTTTCAATATTGTGTGCAAGGAGTTAAAAAAATTAACTGAGATAAGAATCCACTTCTTGTTGTTGTTATTGATTTTCACATGTGGGTGCTCTATATGAACAGCATGAAGAGGAAATGACCGGTAACAAATTGATTTCCAAACAGGAAGCTATTACAGTGAACGTGGAGCTTTAAAAAAGTAGCAGAGTACAAATGGTGCCAGTGTCTTCTAGAGAATTGGCGCGTATTTGTTCTCAACCGTGAAAGCCGGAGCCCTTCCACCCTGCCTGCAATAAACGCTTCACTCATTTTAACAACAAATCAGACCACTTGGGGAACGCGTTCCGGTTTCCGGACAGCAGGAAGCATCACTGTGCATATTTCTGGTTGTGAATTCTTTCTTTTAAAAACGTCAACAGGGAATTTCCAGAGAGCGTGTTACCACACATTTAGGAAAGAGGCAAGTGGGAGGGTGCTGCTGAGAAGGAATCTGAAGGTCAACGGACAGCAGAACGGGCACACTCCTCAAGAAAATGCTTTCCAGGGCTCAAGACAAAAGCTTCCTGGCATGTACAAGGGGAAAATATAGAAGATGGAAATATAGACACGTAGAAGGAGAGCGCTGCTTCCGGGGAGGCAGGGGCTCGAGTGGAATCACAGAGAACGAGGTGGCGGCTTCCGGTCCTGCTCGGCCACCATCTGGTTGGGAACCTGGGCCAGCAGGTCGCTTCCCCTCTCAGCCTCATTTATCTGACAACATGAAGGAACCATCCACCTTCTAAGCCTCAAATGAGTGCCTGTCCTGGCCCAATGGATGCCCCTTATGAGGGAGGCCTGCCACCTTAGATGGGGATCTCTAGAGAGAGTCTCTGGGGGGGACAGTCACCAGAGGACATTTGGGCAAGTGGACCTGGGGTTACAGCAGTCGGTGAGGAAGGCAGGATGAGGCAGAGGGACAGGCTGCCTCGCCATGCAGCTGCAACTGAGCTTCACCCCACCCTGTGGGGCGCTTGGGAGCTGGGGTGGCCTGTCCTTGTCCCGAGTGAAGGCATTGTGTCTGGATGCAAGTCACTGCCACAGCCACTCCCTGAGCGGGCTGTCCCCTTTGACAAGGCAGTTCCCTGCAGCAGGAGCTTACTGCCTTTGAGGGGCACAGTCGTGACCCATGGGCACCGATATGTGGGTGTGCAGAAGGCATCGGAGGAGATCACAGTGTCCATCACCATACACCCTTGGGCCTCTCAGACCCATTGGCTTCTTATAATCACAGAGTAAGGTCTATTGCCCTTACAAGAGAGGAGTCAGATGAAGGAGCTGCCGTCTCCACTGCTGCGGCTGTTTCAAGTCCATTTGTAATTCCCACCATCCATGCCCTCCACATACATCATTTGTCCCCCTCAACCTCACCTAGGACCTCTGCGGATAGGACGGCGAGCCTGGGGCTGTGAGCCAGACCCTCAGCCCTAGGACTCCGGTATCCTGAGCACCAACAGTTTCTTCCCACCCAGCTGAATGACCACAGCCCTCTTTCTGACGGCCCAGGTCAGTCACCCCGTCTGTAAGGTGGCCCCGTTCCTTGCCAGAACTGTTGTGTTGTCCTTGTTTAGTCATCCTTTCTGAAATAATTATTTTCCTTTTTTCACTAGTTTTCAAATTCTGATTTCTATTGTTCTTTAATGTTCTCTGCTATTTTCTTAATTTATTATAGTTCATTTTGAAATATTGGATTATAGTTTTTGCCCATTTTGTGGGCGTATCTCGCTGGTAAACTTTTCCCATCTCTAAAGACCTGAGCCTGCCCCTTATTCTTTTTTTACTGATAAGAACTCGGTATTGGGTTGAAGCACAGTCCTCTTCTGCGGCTCCTGTGTGTGTGACAGTTTCCCTAACTTGGGGGTGGAGGGATGGCTCCTCTGGCTCTGTGGCTCTAGAGCCCCACTCCTGTGGTTCTGAAGTGTTCACAAAGGCGCCCTTCCCTTCTCAGGCCCCACTCTGTTCTCCTTAGCTATCTTCATATTAGCCCCGTCTTCCCAATAGGAGCTGCTCTGCTCCATCTCTATTCCCAGCAGATTCTCCTCAACACGGAGCCTGGGCCTGGAGGGAGTGTCAGCTGGTTATACGAGTTCAGCCCGTGCCCCTGACACCCTGCCCTCCCTGAGTGGGATGGGCAAAATCCCCTCTGAGCGTGTCCAGGGGTCGATGTGGCCTGGATGGGCTCCTGATCCCAGCTCTGCTAGAATATTCATTGCTTCACTCTTCTTTCTCCTGCATAAGGGGCGCCCCCATCCACCTTGGTGCTATCACAGACTCTGTGGGGCTTGTCCCTGCTGGCCTACTTCTTACTTGGGGTTTTGGGGAGGCAAAGAGAGGATAGAGAGTGATGGAGGAAGCTGCCAGTGCCTTGACCTGCCCTGATTCTTCTAAACACAGTGTTCAATGAGGAAGAACACATGTAATTCCACAGAGGTACCAGTCTTAAATTTGATCGGCTTAGTAAATTGGTTAAGGATGTGGCATGACAGCGCTTTGGTGTAACCCGTGTGCGCAGACGATTGGCTCTTAGAGCCTACATTGTTTAGAATAAAAGGTATTTCTTAAACATAGAATATTTTTAATTAAAGCATCATTTTAAGTCATAAGTATCTGTGGTTATGCTCTTACATCTTTGTATTGATCACATTTGCCTATTATTCATCTATCTTAGTATTTGCAAGGAGTGGTGGGTAATCTTCCCTATTGTTTGTCTGCTCTCTAGTTTATAAATCTCTGTTCCTGCCTTTCTTATTTCTTCTTTGCCTTCTTCGTGTTATTCTTTATTCTTTTTCTGATTTCCTGGGTTGGGTCCAGAGCTCCTTATTTTTCTTTTCTAATATGAACATTTGAGGCTATGTTCAGACTGTTCCAAATCAGAAGTGTAAAATTCTCCGAACTTACAGAAATCATCCTTTGAAGGCTGAATTATATAAATATTGTACACTTACCGAGCTTTGTGAATTCTAAATATTGCACATATTGGTTTGTGTTCCACATGTGACAGTGTCAGGTTGGCCTCTCCCAGACCGGAGGCTCCTGGAGGAGGCTTCCTAGCTCCCTCTGGCCTCCATCTGACCTGTGGCCGTGGGGTCACGGCAGACAGTTCTGTAGATTCTTATTCTTGAATGATCTGCAAATGCAATCTTTTCACTTGCTGCTGCTCAGTTTTTGCAATTTGAAGATTGACTAGAAACACTAGCAGTAGAAAGTGGCTATTTTAAATGCAATGAGGAAGATATTAGTATCTTAAAATATTAAATTGGCCTCCAGTGTTGGCTTTTCTAAGTTGTAGCCTTCATACTTCTAAAACACTTCAAGGTTAGATCCGCAGTACGACTTTGGGAGCCTGCGTTTCTTCTGTGGAAAACTAAGCTCTGTGCTAGACACTTTCACAAGTGGGGATTCACAGCATTCCAGAAGAAAGGCATGGATCGACAGCAGAAGTGGGACCAGAGAGGGCAAGGAGAGGGGAGGGAGACACTGAGGGGTCCATAGGAAGCTGCTGAAAGAGAGGGACTTCTGAGACCGTCCTGGGACTCTGGCCCGGCAGCTGGCTCTGTGTACAGTGCTCAAGGAAAGCCTGAGGAAGGGGTCATTGGCCTCCCTGCCCGCCCCTCACTGCATCCGGGGAGCCCGGACAAGACGGCTGGAGTCAGATGCAGGAGCGGCTGGGATAGTGACGATAACAGGAGTAATCCGTCAGAACTGGCTCTCATGCTGTGCCAAACCCTGTGCTGAAAGCGTGAGGAACCAGAGGCATGAAGAAGCTTAGAGACCTGCCATGGCTCAGGTGGAGCCAGGAATTGACTCATGTCCCTCAAAACTGCTTGCCCTGCTGGCACCCCAGCCTCCTGCTGGCACAGCCTCTCCACTGAAGTCTCCTTGTCTTCAGCCTCTGCCTCTGCCCAACCTAGCCCTGGTCAGCCCTCCACTATGTCACCCACGTGAGCACTCTCACTGGTCAGACCTGCTGGACCCCAAGATTCCCAAACAGCTTTTTGGTATATTTAGTGTCAGGTTAGGTAGTACTGAGCAATTTGTAATTAAGCCCATCTCTCTGTCTTCAAGAATATTTTCTCCCCAGGCTACCCAGTTTCTGGCAGGGAAATGTACCATGAGACGCACCCTTTTCCACATGGAGGCATCGCTGAATTTCTCGAGTAACGGGAGAAAGAGGCCATGGCGGTGCCCCCACACTGCACCTCACCTGGCTTTCTCTGGAGCCACTGGCTCTGAGGGCAGAGGGCCAGATGGCTGCAAAACCTCGGACTGTTCAAATAAGCAGAGAGTGTGAGAGAACACCAGGCTAAAGTGCCACCCAGGTCAAACATGGGTGGCTGGACAGCCCTCCAAGGAGTTTTAGGATCTCTCAGTTTCCGTTTTAACCTAAGAATCTGGTTTTTGTGTTTGATGGCCTGGTCTTTCCATATTCCTTGATAATCTCATAAATTAGCTCAGATAAACAGGATAATATTACAGATATGGGCAATCTAGAAGAATATTACTGCTATAGGATCAATGACTTAATTTACTACATTCTGATGTTCTGACTTCTGGTAGGATCAGTGATTTGATGGGCTACATTCTGATGTTAGGACTTTTCTATCACCATCAAAATGAGACTGGGGAAACGTGTTTGATGTTGACAGTCGGCTAAATCTTATATTGTCCTTCACCAGTGACCCTATTTCACTGGCACTAACAGTGAGCATACACGCTCCAAAGCCAGTGGTGTCAAAGGAAAGACAACTTCACTCTGCTCCTGTCCCAGGAGACACTCTTGTCCTA